GGTTCAATCTGTACCTTCCAATAACGCTTTGCGTAAAATGTAATGTCAAAACAAATAGTTACCCCTCAGAGCAATTAGTTTCAAAACGTATAGTAAAAACGTAAAACGTGATATGGTCGGATGAAATATAGATATTGCATGTTTGTCTACCAAAATTGGTCAAGTTCTCGAGACCTATTCATTTTCAACGTATTTTCATGGAATAAACATACTAACTATTACAGAGAAAGACTTAACTCGGTTGACCCAACTAGCTGCTTACAGGATGGACAAGCTATGTGGCCACACTGTACAGTTAAATATAGACAAACTTGTAATGTTATTGAACATAATTAAGATGTATAAGCAAATTAATTATATAAATCATTTAGCTTTGAACACGTGGATGGTTGAGCATACATACCAAAAAGTGAGTTAAATATCGTGAGCGTTTGCATGACGCCATCAAGGCGGTTCGGCCGATATCCAGGCGTTCCGGCCGGTGAAAACCTGGTGAGGGGATGGTATGCGCCAGTTGAGAACACGGCGAGAACGGTAAGCAAGAATTCTGAAACACGGTAAGTCCGGTACAAGGCCGATGAGAAGCCGGTACAGACCCGGAATAGAACGGTATAGTCCCGGTCAAAAATGTATAAAAACAATGCGGCCGTCGCCGTCTGGCCATAATTAGCCAAACGGTGGCGAACGGTGAGCCTACACGGCTAGTGTGACCGCTACTTTACGTCCCGCTCCGAGCGGGCAGATATAGTATATCTGCCCGCTACGTCATTATCGCCGCTCGCATATTTGTTCATAATTTGTAACGTTCGCGTAATGACTGTAATCGACAACGGCGATCTGTTTGATGGTTTAAAAAATGGAAGGAGCATTCACTTAAAAAATTCGAGAAAATAAATGTGGGAATATTTGAGAGAACAAAAAAATCCGCCCACGGCCAAGAAAACAAAACTGGACATGAATATTCTAGAATATTTCCACGATTGAACAATGTGAACCAGATGACCAAGATTGGTATGGGATAAACATATTATCCTATAGTCGGTTCAGGATATTGGGATTATCCCTTGGCCAATATAATATATTTTCCCTCGGGACCTGCGGCCCTCGGGCAAATATATTATATTTGCCTCGGGATAATCCCAATATCCTGTACCTCATATAGGATAATCTCTATATCTCCCTTTCACCTCAGCGGGAGATATTTACATCTCCCGCTCACCTCAGATATCAACAATTATATTCCCGCATGTTATTTACCTATAACACTACTAAGTATGGGATAAAAATGATAAAATGCTTGCGACAGGTTAGTGAAACATGTTAAAATCAAAACAATGATGAAATGCCTATGCGCCATGCAAGTGAAATATGTTAAAATGAAAATAAATGATGAAAATGCCTGAACGTCAGGCTAATGAATGATTTTCAAATCAAAATAATGATAAAATGCATAGGCGACAGGCTTGTGAAATTTGTTAAAATCAAAACAATGATGAAATGCCTGTGCGCAAGTCTAGTAGATTATTTAAAAATAAAATTTAAAAAAAATGCCTAGCCTAATAAAACATATTAAAGGGAAGATAATGCATTGTTGTCAGCTGATAGAAACAGATGTACTCATGAGTAAATTGTAAAGAATAACATTGTCTTGCGTGTTGTATTTGTCACTTCATTCGAACTTGACCCTAAATATCTGAAAATATTCTTAGCAACATCACTAAAGCATTTGGGGTTACACAGTCTCTTGAGAATATGAAATGAAATTATCGTCACAAATAGTTTTTTGAAGACTATCAATAACACTATACTAGACATGTAGTGATATATTGGCTCTTGAAAAACAGCCACGTATTTGTACATTCCCACTGAGGAGCCCATCAAAAAATTACAAAACATCGGATTGGCCTAGATAATGTCATCCATCCGGAATTATCACATTGTCACAATATTTCATATTGTTGATTTGTCACGAGGTTCCCCGGCGATTTACTTTGTAATAGGAACGTCTGTCAAGTCGACATCAATTGCCTTCAATCGTTCTTTATCATCAGCACATCGTAGGAAATGAAAACACTATTATGGAGATAGCCTGATAGGAATACATACGAAGCTTAGATTAGAAAAACCAACAGGGGTGACCCGGCGATTTACTTTGTAATAGGAACGTCTGTCAAGTCGACATCAATTGCCTTCAATCGTTCTTTATCATCAGCACATCGTAGGAAATGAAAACACTATTATGGAGATAGCCTGATAGGAATACATACGAAGCTTAGATTAGAAAAACCAACAGGGGTATTTATTTCATATATCATGAAGTAAAGACTGACAGGTAATGCAGGCGAGAGTTCTTTTAACTTAACATCCTTATATCAAAATACTCTCGTAGAGGGTTTGATCAACAGATTATGTTCATGGTACCATGTTAATTCTGAAATTGTCGGAACTCGGATATGACAGAAATGACATTAGCTTAGGTGGAACTTCGTTTGAATGGGAAAAGTGATGTGTGAAGACAAATACATCATCAAATTATTTCTTCTGTTTGTGTATTGATACGAAATCTCAGTGGCGCAGAATTTAATCATTAACACTTGGTTATAACTAACAATGTTGTAATCGAACAATACGCATAAAACATTGATAAATCTGACCTTTTTGACCTTTAGAGGGTTATTGAAGGTCAAATCTCATATCTAAAGTCAGATTAAAAACTTTTGAAAACTTTTAGATGATTTTGAATTTAAAAAATTCGGCAATTTAAACCAAGTTGTTGAAAACTAACTTTTGATCTTTTTTTTACCTTAAGAAGGTCGTTTAAGGTCAAATCTCAATATTGATTGGAAAAATGGCCGATTTGAAGCAAGTTGAAAAATATCTTTTTGACCTTGAGAAGTCCATTGAAGACATTGAAGGTCAAGTTTCAAATTTAAACTCAGATTTGAACTCAGATTTAAATAAAAGAAATATAAATTTTTAATTCAACTGGATTCTTAATATATCAGACCTGTACAGAAACTGTAATGATCAATAAAAAATATAAATATATCAAAAAATATATGACAGGTGTAAAAGGGTAGGAGGTCCTATCAAATCATGGTCCTACTCTCTATTGATTTGTATGGTGACCTTAATACAACTCTTTCCCTCATTATCTTATACGCAATCAGGGCCAGTAAGGGCCGTTAAGAAAGGGGACCATAATTCCTGGGGGACCATCATTTCTTTCACACCGGCATACTCAAGGTAAAAATCAAAAAGGAGGTGGCGGAGAACAAATATTCACTGTGAAGTTTTGATTCCCATTGGTTAGGTTTGTCATTTCAGTATCCGAGAGTAATTTTCTTAAGTGCAAAATAAAAACAGCTAATACAATTTTAAAGAGGAAAGTCAATTAAATATCTCATCTTATCATCTTTTCTAAAAGTTTAATGAGTTGGTTGGTCATGTCATGACATCATAATATCATGGTTTTGTATAACCTTTGTTGTTAAGGCCAGTGTTCTTTTCTTAGCCAGAAACATTGCATATTTACATAGGCCCCCTTTTTATCAGTTTATAGCCAATTTTTAAAGTTTGTTTGAGCATGTGATAGGTAAGTATATGATTTTTAACGGAAAGTGAAAAAATAGTACAGCTATGGAGGATCCAAAATTGAAAAGTAGCTTCATAGTCAACTGGTCCCAGAGACAACTCGTCCAAATGTCCTCCAATCGAAAAAGTCTAGATCTGTATATGTCTGGTGATTTAAGAAAATTATGACCGAAGTAAAGTTTAAACCACTTCGATTGCGTATCCTCATGCCATCAGATTTTTTGCAGAAAAGCTTGCATAAAAAATGATTAAAATAATGCAATAAGCGAACTTCTAGTATACAGATCAGTTCCCCTCACTTTTACGACGATGTTTGATATTAAAAGTTGGGACAGATTAAATCATTTTTTCACATTGTCTGCATCTTTGAAGCTACTTTGTTAAAGAATCTAACAGTTCTTTGTACGTCCTTATATATCACAAAATATATAATCTTGTTTATGTTAAATAATAAATAAACATAAACATAAACATATAATCTGTTTAGGCCGAATGTTATTTTATCTAAATATCTTGCAATTCCAAATAGAATAAATTCTTAACAAAAATATAACAACAATTAATCATTTGTAATATTCATATTTTTATGCGACAAACATCAATATCACAACTATTCTATTGCATGAACGAATTAGACCAAAATTACCAAAACGTAAAATAGTTAAAACATAAACATCCGAGGGAAAGTTATCCATGTTGTTACAGGAACCTTGTACACCCAAATAGATGTACCTTACATAGTACCTGATAAATAAACTAAAAATATGCACTATCTACATTTCAAACAAAGTTAAGATCGTGTGTCGTGATACCCAAGTTAAAGAAAACGAGCAATGATTATCCTCTTAAACTTAATCACATTCTCGAGTATTGTTTACAATCGAAGACCTCGATCAAATGGTTTCTTCCTTATAAGTAAGTAAACTGTGTACAGCCATTTTTCTTGATTTGCTTGATTATTTGCTTGACACATAGGGTAATATGAAGAATAATTACATTTAAAGATGAATGAACTTTCGTGACTATTTTTGTGCTGTACAACTTAAATGTGTTTCGTCATCATTTTTTAAAGTGCGCATACAACTTTAAAACCATTATATAATTCTCCTAAAAGTGAAAGTATCGGACCATTACGATATTTCTCAGACGGACGGATTGACGAACGGAGGGCTTCGCCATATCTCAGTCCTTTAATTGTGATAAATTACTTGTAACAATAGTTTTTGCACAATAAATACAATTGGCAATCCTTATCATCATTAAAATGATATAGTAAGACCATCCATTACAGTCTCATTCGCATAAATCGAGACATTTTCGACTCATCGGGTTTCTATGGTTCATTAGAATGATGTCTATTATGCTTTAATAGCAGCATATCAAATAACTTTTTTTTACTTCTTGCAGGTAGCCTGTGGGCATAGGTGACATCGTCTACAACATTCTCAAGTTTTAATCGCTGAAGATGAGATTTTTTACATGATACAATTGGATCTTACATGATACGTTGGAGTATAACTTATCCTATCCAACCTCGGCGCATTATCTCATTTGCATTAAATCAAAGAAAATTCGTTTGCAGTAGTACTTGCAATTGGAAACTGAGTTGGTAAAGTGCGTTTCAATTATCTGAAAAGGCTGAACATCAAATCTTTATGAGAATTATTAGCGTATGTCAAACAGTTGTAAAAAGTAAAGTTGAAGCAATTGGGTTTGAATGACGCTGAAACAAACGAAAACTAGTGAACCATTAAAAGAATTAAATCAACGAGTGAGAATTAGGCAGATGCTGGAACCGACCCCGCTGAATCGTTTATTTACCAATTTCACCCAAAGTGTTTTCCGTAGGTAGCCAACGATATGTGCGTTATAAAGACGAAATATCATTGCTGACAGATTCCGTCAAGTCAACCGGGAAATTACAGAAATTGGAATCGCCTTTCGTAAAAGACGCCACTCGAAGGATTTCGATACAGTTGGCGACAGTTGTCAGGGTCTACCGGAATTGAATTATATCGCATTAAATCACAGAAAATCCTCAGTGATATAAAGTAGAGCGCTAATACGACTGGTGACGTGGGACCCGTCAGAGTATTTGTTCAAACTAGTAGTGATTCTAAATCCCGGCGGTAGTATAATTCACTTAAAGTGACACTTACTTGAGGAATTAGAAATGAAGAAATATTGGAGATGATTCCATGTTTTAAGTGAGCCTTTTTCGAGAATAAATCATATTATTCCTGTTGACGAATCCTAACCACACTGTAAACGGTAACAAAACTCGGCGACGTTTGGAGGCAATAATTGGAGGCAAAAATCGCTAAGGATCGTCAATCCAATTTCAATAATGGACCTTTTCTAACTAAGTGACTTATTTTCCAAGGATACGAGGGGCTTCCTGTCCCAAAGGGTCTTCTTGACATTTTACCTTATCATAACAGGATAAAAACAAGTTTGGTAAAGGACCATGGATCAGTCAAAAACAATATCTTGAATATATATCATGGAGGACGATAACAAATGAGAAGCGCTAAGTAGAGGTAATGCATATTTGTATATTCTAATGGAAATTACTTGAATTAGTTGGTTTTAAATTTCAAGCAGAACAATGACAACAACAGAAAATTATATTTTCGATGATTCAAAAATGGGATTTTTGAACTCAACGAGTTTATTCAATTTCTCTGAAGATTACTACACGATGGATGATTTTGGAGCAGACGACGAACCGTCTGCGAAAGTTCTGCGGCGCTATTTAGAAGGAATTATCCTCCCCGTCATTCTTTTAGCAGGGATAATTGGAAATATACTGAACATGGTGATCTTAACGAGGAAAAGGATGCTGACAAATATGGATGAAATGGAAAAATCAGCGTATATTTTCTTGATTGCTCTGGCAGTGTCTGATCTATTGTTTTGTGTTACAGCGTTTCCGATTTCTTTCCGGCATCTCAAGGTCGTATTTGAAAGTAAAACGTTTATGTTGTACTATCATATATACCATGATGGCGTTATCAACAGTTTCATGATGTCGTCGACGTGGTTAACTGTTTGTATGACCGTCAGTAGAAGCGTTGCAGTGGTGTATCCCCTCCATGCTAGAAGCACCTTCAACATCAGAGTTGTCAACATCATGGTTGGCGTTACTTTCCTTCTCTCGATTCTCTTCGCCATCCCTAGGTATTGGAAACTAGAGATAATTAAAATCTCGGGTGTGAATCCAGGCGAGGACTTATATTACCCAGATTTAGGACCGTTGAACCGTGAACCGTATAAGAATTCGTTCCGTGTGTACAAGTTCATTTGGAGTATTATCGGGGCGTTTATCCCCCTGGTTTTCCTCCTTGTCAGTAATATTTGTCTGGTACTAGCGTTAAGGGAGTCGTACAGAATCAGGGCGAGTCTCGCAGAGAATTATAGCTCGGCAGGCAACGACAAGCGCAAAAAGAAGGGAAGGAGAAGCACGAGCGACAACGGACAGCGGTTGACGACGACACTCATCTCGATAGTTGTCATTTTTGTCATCCTCGTATTTCCAGTTGAAATACTTAAATTTTTCGAACTTGTTGACGACGACAAAGGTTTAGAGAGTAAACTCGAGATTCCAAACATAATCGCTAACTTTTTTCAAAGTATAAATTTTACGATCAACTTTATTTTGTATTACATTATCAATATTCCTTTTAGAAAGACAATAAAAGAACTTGTGATGTGTCAGCCCCTTAGGAACAAGCGATTTACGGGACAGTATTCTGGTCGAACGGGTTCTGTTAAATTTTCCAACCTGAATTCTTCGTGTACCGAAGTGTAAGAATGCGTTTGGAATCCGTCCTAGATGAAAAACAACATATTGTCAATCTAGCTCAGTTTTCCAAACTTGTACATAGTAATCTCGAACGTCAAAATGGGTTAGAAAAATATGTCACTCAGTCTTGTCTTGTCCGAGCATCACGAAACTAACATTTTTGTGTATCTTATTTGTGCACACATTCAAATTTATCTTCAACTCTCCTGAAATCTTGCAATATAGCGTGACTGATTGCATAGCTACGTTAGACACTAATTGTCTACAATACACATTCACCTTAATAACACAGAGAGACAATTCATTGGATAATTTATCAGATATTTGTCCTCTTTATTCTGTTTTTAACACTACTGCTTTGATGGAGTCTGAGAGTAATGCCTCAGCCACATTTGATCTACGACTACCGTACGGCGGCCGTAGCTTCCCAAAATCGAGAGAAATATGCAGTTAAAATATAATATAAGGATAAGCGCAGCGGTACGATGTAGACTTTCTATATCGATTTTGTTAAGATACAGCCGCCGTACGCCCGCCGTAGAGCAAATGAGACTGAGGCTATACAGGTGAATCAAAGGAGTGTCAGATATTCCAAAGAAAGTCACTGAGCGTTCAGTAGCTAAATTGTTGGTAAAAGACAATGATATATTAAATATTTTGTGGCATCCGTTTCTCATGTGCAGGGGATGATGTCTTTGGGATTCACTCTTGGGGAAGACACTGGGCCATATTTTTCTACCTTCTACTCTCTATTCCCAACCCCGTAAAACAGATAGAATGAGTGGAAAGGGATTTCCGATTTCATTCTGCTGAAAAATTCAACATATCTGCTGGTGATGTTGCGCCTTTTTAATATATGTTCACACTACCCTACCTCGATAGCGCATGCGCGAATTTTTTGGCTTTCAACCACGTCGCTTTTGAGAATTTCGACTGCTTAGTCAAAAGGTTAATACGTTTGGTGCTCGGAGTGAGTCAATATTGCTATACGCTGAACTTCAATGGTGCAATAGTGAAGTCCATGTTCCAAGTTATATGATAGCTGAAGAAAGAATGTAAATAATATCGTTTTAAATTTTAAAATATTTGATATGTCATAGTACACGGTACACAGTTGCAAAAGTTGATCAATACAGGGTACAAGGAATGTAAATTGCTCAATAGTACAGGGAGCGAGAAAGTAAGCTGATTATACAGACATACTATGTCCCGATCTCATGTACATTTACGTTGCAAACAGTGAAAATTATGCTAAAAAGGCCGCCTGTTGATGCTTTGAGGTGTCATCAATTGTTATTTAATTCAAATAAAGTAAACATTATTTTGTAGATTTATATTACCCCTTGAATGGTCTATTTCACTATCGTTCTCAGAAACCGATCATTTAAAATATTTTGTTCAAAATACCATCATGCCACGACTTGAGAGCATTTTGTTCTTCACGATTTGCTGTAGCGCTGATATTACATCGTATTTCTCTATTATTGTAAAAAAAACTAATACCAGATCGATGTAGTATTAGATGACGTGTTGAATGTCAGATGTTTTTGGATGGTACCTGCTCCGGTGATTTTGCATTTAATCATGAAACGCTCATCACAAGACACCTCGAAACAAACATTATCCTCTTTGTGACAAGAGGAAAAATGTTTCACAATATGTTATGCCTTACGGCAAAGTAAAGATACATTTCTGGGATGACGTTTTTTGCATCTTAAGATTTTAGAAAAACAATTAATTCACAAAAATACAGTTGAATAACATACTGGAAAACGTATCCACATATAACACGATGACACGCAGTTTAAATAACAGTTAACTGTTGTTTTTTTGTTACATATCAATGTAACATTTTCGAAGGGAAACTTACATGCTCCCTGTACGTTGATAGATTTACTGAAATGTATCGTGTATTGCATTGAGTTTTGCTTCACTGCGCCAACTATTATCTATCTTTGCCTATAGTTGTTTTTTGCCAACAACATTCTACAAACTGCTCGATGAATCAATTCTATGTCTGGTAGAATACTAGAAATAAATGTAAAATGTATTTTACGTTCAGAAATATGGAATTAAACCCACGTCCTCCATTTGCAACTTAGCTGTACCCTGTTTCCCTTTTAAACGTGGTCACGTGGTAGGGTAGTGTGATGTTATACTTAGTAGTTAAGAAAATAATTGATCGACCTATCAGATTTTACGTTCAAACTTTTTAGGAAAAAAAAATTACACAGTTTTGTTGAGTTTCTAGCAGTAATCGTACAATCCCCTTCCACTAATAGAAATAGAATTGCCTACGAGCCAATAAAATATGTGAAATTGAAAGAAGTAAGAGAGATTGAAATCAGAACTAATTATATTAAAATGTCCTCGACGATCTGGTATCAAATGGAATACTGTAAAATCATCCAATCGAGGATTATACTCATATACATGGATGTATAGTTAAGTGCTATTCTGTCTGAAAATGTGATGGGTGTATTACCTTTTGATGTATATAAATGATTGTGAATATACAGATCCAATGTTGTTGTGAATAAAATCTATAGTATTATCTGTATATTATTATTCGGATCATCTTCGTAAAACTATACTGTGTACATTCATGGTTGTCCGAGTAAACGATCGTGTAACCTGTAACACGAGCAATGAAATCCATTTAATGGGACCAATATATGAATAATCAAGCTATTTGTTTACAGGTAAACAAGGCTCGTAAAATTGTTACAGAGATTTTACAGCTAATATTACGTCCTTGGATGGACTGGCATGATATTCCTTTAATTCGTTACACTTTTCATTGTTGTTATCATAGTTGCAATGGTGGATCCAGCCCCCCCCCCTCGGATGGGCCCAGAAAAAATTTAGAGCCCAAAAATTCTGTAGGGCCTTAACAAATACAGTAGGACATTTTGGCCGTTTTTGGCCAAATTGTCAAAAATGGCTCAAAAATCTTGATGTCACACGACATGAATCATTCCATGATAGTTAGGGCCTAAAGGGTGTTTGTCAAACGTTTCCAAATGTCTGATTGGCCGTTGTTAGTGTGACGCGTTTTGAAGAGTTGCAAAAATCCATTAAAGAATTTAAAGGCCCCATGTAAAGTTTAAATCACTTTGGCTTACATTATAGTCTCTCCCAAAGGTTATCAAAATGTGTCGGAATGTGAAACTTTTCAATTTAATTCAAAAATGAAGATTTTGAAGGAGTTTTTGTCTGAAAAACTTTTTTCCAAATAAGATTATAGCTGTCGCGCTTCTGGTCGCGCATGTATATTGTCACGCAATAATTCACCTGAGAAAAGTGATTCAGAGAAAAAAGCAAAATAGATTTTAGTTTTCATTGAATCTAATAGTATAGTACAAGGCCCGTAAGATACTTTTCTCCAAGGGGGTGCGGTTTTTAGAGAAAGAGAAAAAAAAGAGAAAATAAAGTTGTCATTTTTTCAACGTAAATCAAATCGCGTAAGTCAAAGGGGGGGGGGGGGGGGGGGGGTTAGTTACTCTCTATACCTATTTTGTAGTATTTTATTGTTTTCATATTGTTTTTAGACTATAAAATATTGTATGACCAATTTGGAGAAACATTGGAATAGGGAGGTGCTAGAAGGCAATAGAATCAATTTAAAGAAGTTCTGATTTTTTTAATCATTTTCTTGTTAAAGGAGCGAGTGGGCGGCACAAGGAAATTTCACTAATTCAAGGTGCTGTCTGGTTAATTCTGAGCATTTTTAAAGTGTTTCGGTAAATGAATGCTTTAGTTTTTGGGATGCGGTGTCAGAATTATTTATGATTTCATTATGTCACTTGGTGATTTCTGGGCACTTTTAGAATGTTTAAAATTAACAAATGCAACTTCCTAACATTCCCAATTGTTTTGTGGGGGTGGGAGGAGTGCCCACCCCTAGAAATTTTTACACTATTGAGATGCTATTTGGTGCTTTGTGGGCACTTTCAAAGTGTATGAGTCAATAAAAAATGTGTTTCAATTTTTGGGGGGTGCCAAAGAGGATAAAAGGGTGAAGTGGGGTGGGGATGCCAGAGGGGAGCAAGGGGTTTTCCCTCAGAAACATTGACCATTTCAAGGTGCTATTTAATGATGTCTGGGCACTTTAAAAGTGGCAGCTGACCTGTTCAAAGTACTTTTAGTACTAATCGCATATGACAATAACTTTGGAAACAATATTATACTAAATAGATTACTAAGCATCTAAGGTAAGTAAACGAACTAGATGAACAACTGAGTCAATAGTGATAAATAGGCCAACACGAGTTGGCAGATTTGAAATAGACTGCCATCTCGTTTCCAGTCCTCTTTATAATATACGAAGTGTCTGGAGTATAATCTATGCTCCAGCTTTCGCCGAAATTCCTCGTGAAAGTGGGACCCCCTTTATAGAAGCTTTGAACTGAATTTACTCTTCTTAATTCTTAAATTGATCCATACATTTTAAGGAAATAGGTATGTCAAAGAAGATATTAAGTTAAATATTGACCTGATAGCTCAGAAAAAATAAAAATTCTCGAATTTTCTCCAGTCCTTCTTGCCCCTTTAATGCACCCCCGGGGTTGATACCCCGGCCCGAGTGACACCCCTTTGCCAAGAGCCTACTTTTCCCCTGATTCTAACCCGGGGAAGTTCGCCAGTTCTTTCCTCAATTCCCAAAAGGTAATTATCCCATGCTGACTTAAATCACGCTTTGAATCATGTTCAAAATAGAAATATAGAAGTCTCAGCTCTAAAAAATATACGAACATTGCCTCCATTCGATCGTTCGTTTCTTTCGTTCGGGATTATACTGCATTCGGAACAGGAAGAAAAACTTTCTCAAAACTTTGCTAAAAGTTTTATTTCCAAAGTTATAAATTATACATATTAAGTTTTCTTAAAAGTAAGAAGAAATGTAGATATGACGATGGCAGACAGTGTAGAAGAACTGTTTAAACAAAATTTAGATGTCCAAGTCAAAGATCGCAAGAAAAAACAGGTACAGTGAAAACACAATTTATTTTGGATCTTCATTGGTTTCAATTTCATTGATTTGGGCAATTTGTGTAATAAACTTTGAGGAAATGTAGAATATCAGATATCAGGTCACTTTTTGTGATTTTGAGTCATGTCTGCACTTCACAATTCAAAATCAACTTCTATAGTAATTTGACACCACCTCCTGATTTGCCTCATTGACCTTTTATTATCCCATCCAACGAAGTTCAGAGGGGATATAGGGTACGCCTCCGTCTGTCCATCCATACATCCTTACGTACGTACGTACATCCGTCCATCTGATTTCCCCAGGGGGAAGACTTACTAACAGGCATAGTATAACAAGCAAGATAAAAAATTGAAAGAAAGTGTGTCTAAATTCAATGTTCTGTGTCGGGATAGAACCTTAAATCCTTGGATCCTTAGCTGGGCTGTAGTGTCATTACACTATCCCCCCCCCCTTTGAAAGGACGCCCTCGTGGTCAGCCCTGCTTTCTCAGGCAGTGATTTACCACACACATGGGCGCAAAGGATAAAACCAATGCTTTGATCCCACATCTGGCAACTTGACAATAATATTAGTTAGTCATATCTTTAGTTGTGTCCACCACTCCCCACCAGACTGAAAGAGAGAAAAATACCTAAAATAATGAACATACTTGATTATTTTTGTTTCAAAAAAGGAACATTTTATCATTTGACTCGTAAAGTCTGGGAAACATGTCCCCTCTCCCATTAGCTTACGGCTCGGGCTCCTTGGTCTGTGACATGGAACACGCAAAAAGTAACACTCTCCCTTCTAGACTAAACATGTTCACCACACTGGACATTTTATAATCAAATGAGATTTTTAAAGCAAGTATGAAGTTTATTATCAAACATTCAGATGCAGCAATGATTTTTTCTAAAAATGCTTCGTATTCATATTTCACAAAAATATAATCTATGCATTTCTGACGTTTTCTCTCTGATTCTTAAAAGTTTTTTTCTCACTTCAATTTGGACACTCTCTGTATGCTTGTTTACCCAACTGCTTTGAAATATTATACAAATATTGAATTCTGTGGAGTTGAATATCTGTATATATTTCTTAAGGTGTATTCACCGCAGCCCGAACACACATGTTTTAAGTTATCAAAAGATTTCTGGTCCAAAATTTACTTTTCCCAAAACTTTATGAATCCCCCAAATTTTGTACATTTTAATTAAATAAATATATGTATTGCTTATTCTTTCCAGTGTACAGTCACCTTGCTGAAGTACAAATCTGCAATACCTCAAGGTACTTGTAAATGATGTCAATATTGAGCCATGTCATAACTAGTATTATCATAACCACAGCTTATAAAAGCATATAGCTATAAGCAAACACTTCGGTCTGTAGTACACATGTGAAACGTACTGTACATATGTAATGTGCCTGTGTAGTTCATTTCAAATTTTAATTTACCTGAAATTACCATTTACAAATTTGTACAGTTCGTTCCATTTAAAAACAAATTCTTACACAATATGTTTGTGTGAGACCCTATCTGTTGCAAGACTTATGTCTGGCACAACCGTCACCATGTTATTAAGTGTTTTTAAGTTTCGCAAGGATTCTGCCATGACCATGGTAGTGTTATTGTGATAGCCTGGTATAACCGTGACAATGTTATATTATATTGCATGGCATGTCATGACCATGATAATGTTAAAGCCTCATATGACCATGACAATGCCATACTATATTGCAAGACCTGACGTGACCGTGGTAATGTTAAAGCCTGATATGACCGTGACAATGCTATATTATATTGCAAGACCTGACGTGACCGTGGTAATGTTAAAGCCTGATATGACTATGACAATGCTATATTATATTGCAAGGCCTGTCATGAACGTGGTAATGTTAAAGCCAGATATGACCGTGACAATGGTTGCAAGGCCTGTCATTACTGTGGTAATGTTAAAGCACAATATGACCGTGACAATGGTTATATCGACATTTAGTAGCATGAGAATACTGTAATGAAAACTTTCATAGTTTATCTACCTTAAATATGTAAATCTAGAGTACTACTACTACTACATTAACTCATAATTCATTTCCACAAACTATAATTCTAATCTCATTCAAGAATGTGAACATTGTCATGGTCATATTAGGCTTTAACATTACCACGGTCATGACAGGCCTTACAACCATTGCCACAGCCATATAAGGCTTTAACATTACCACGGTCATGACAGACTTTGCAATATAATATAGCATTGTCACGGTTATACCAGGCTTTCACGATAACAATACCACGGTCATGGCAGGATCCTTGCGAAATTTAAAAACCCTTAATAACATGGTGATGGTTGTGCCAGGCATAAGTCTTGCAATAGATAGAATGTGGTTTGTGTTGTAAATACAGTGTATGCCACTGCAACATGCATGTATTGCAAATTGTTAATTTCCTTATTTTGTGTTCCAGATAGGAATCCAAGAAAACACAAATTAAAGATTGTAGCTGAAAAAAAGAAAAAAATAATCTTTGAAGAAAACATTAGTACTAGCAACTTTTATGGATATTTTAATGGTCAACAGCAGTTAAAAAAAAATACATTTTTAGGCAGATCAAAAAAGGGGACAATATTTCCTTTTCTAGCCGTCTTCATTGGTAAGTGTTACTACATAATGAACAGGGACATTTTCGTATGGTGATATATTGTTATTCGTGTTTAACTTTTCTGTGGATGGTGGTTGGTGTTTGGCAGTTGGTGTTCGGCAGTTGATGTTTGTAACAAATGACAGGTAGTGGCATTTTGCATGATAATGGCTTGTATTACTTTTGTTAAAATTACAGGCTTGTTTAAAGGGGCAATAAGGACTGTAGAGAAAATAGGAAAGTTTTTAAATTTTTTCTGAGCTATCAAGGCAACATTTGGTTTAACATCTTCTTTGACATACCTATTTTCTTAAAACGTATGGATAAATTATCAATTTCAGCATGAAAAAGTGTAAATTCAGTTCAAAGCTTCAAAAAGGGGACTTCCACTTTTATATTTTTAAGATCCACCATGTTTCAAGAGGAATACCAGCTGAAATAATGTTTATCTAGGGGGTTTCTTTGTAGATAATAAAAATAGATGTTAGTCTTGATGAAATATCCAAACTTAAATATATTTTGACACTGGTCCATGATCGTTGAATGACCCCTCTGCACTAATTATTGCACCTTTTAATTACGGATTTGACTCACCTAGATTCTGGCTTTGCCTCACCTAGATTCTGGCTTTGCCTCTGACACTCATTTTTCCTATTGTTCCAGGAAAACAGAACTCTGGTCAACCAGTCTCCAATGCCAGCCTTAGTGATGTGTCTACTGTCATATTTTCTGGGAAGGCTGATGCTAAAGGCACAGCAGAAAAACTTATACAGCTGAGGTCATGCTTCAAGTCTGAATTGAATACTAGTAAGTGATGTTCTGGATAAATTGCAGCTCATGTCATTCAACTTCATGACTAATTTTGGCATTAAACCCACTCATGCAATACCTTTCAGGACGATAGGCTTCTTTTGGGATACCCTTTGCATTCGTTTGACTTCACTTCTTTTAAGAGAGCTTCGTCTTCACTCTTTCAAACTAAAATAAACCTGCGAACTCACCGCGCCAATCAGTGTTCGTCGGCCAAATTTGACCGACGTTCTATATATGGTCATTCCTTCTGACGTCATCGTTGAGCCTGGAATTGACCAATGACATGCGCATATTTAATTAGAACGCGTTTGGCGTATATTTCTTCAAGATCGCTGATTGGTGGAAGAAAGGTCAGCCCGTAGGTCAGAAGTGATTTATTACCCAAACTGTCACCGGTACCCGTCGCGGGGGGCAGGGCTACTAAACTGTAATATGGTCTCTACTAGGCAGAGTGTAGTTTAACTAGACTCTGCACGCAGGGTACTTTTGGGACCACTATTTTTATTAACATACATCAATGAAATGGCAATATCTCTAGTTCTATTCTGTGTTTTTACAGCGATTTTTCCTCTTATATTCATGTTGGGAAAGGGTTAAGGTGAAAATATGTAGCTCATTTATCCATCTGCCAATCAGCAATTTTCTGTAATATCCTTCTCATGTTCATGTTCAAATGAAATAATGTAATGCTAATGTAAAACTTCTTTCCTCTCTGATGTTAAAATTTGAATTAAATAAAAATTATGTAAACATGAAAAGTGTTGTATGTATGATGTAAAATATGAACTAAAATTACATGGAGGAAAAAAGAATTTCTGTAAAATAAAAACTACCATTCACTTGACAAATAAGTGTGTTTTATGGCTCTAGTATTGTATATTACCACCAATGAATGTGAGCTATTTACAAGTTGTGAACCATTAGTCTAGATTTCTATTCTGGACAATCAGTAATGTCCCAATATAATTGCTCATAAAACATCATATACCTTAGATATATCTTGAGACCAAATCATAAGCACGATATTGACAATATATTGAGGATATCAACAGGACAACCAAAAGAACAACCAACTGTCAGAATTGAACGCACTAAGTTGAAAACAGAATACAATGTTTTTTTTGGGGATTTATCTATATTGTAACCCCTTAGAAGTAATAAATATGGCTTCTCTAAGCCAAAATAATCTGAAGGAAAAAGCCACTCAGACTGGAACAAATTTGAGCGGGCTTTTTAAATTTAATTTGAATTTCTATTGATGTAAGTGGAAATTCATGGCTAGGAACAATCATCGAATTGATACAGTTAACGAATTAATTCAAGCCTCAGAATTGATAAATTGATAAACAAACTTGTTTTACAACAAATAACACGAAAAAATCAGGGGGTTACTCTCATTGCGTTTTTAGGAGACAACTTTAAACAATTTGAATAATTTAACACAATAAGCAAAGTTGTTTTTCCCTGGAACAGGGATTGAACCTTGGTCCACTTCATCAAAGGTGACCACTATTCCTGAGTTATACAGGTGCATTCCTTGAAAAAGGAGGCAGAAAGTATATTTGATAGTGTTGCTAGGGGTTGTTGCTCTGGTTTTGAGTAAAATATAATGCTGACCATATTTGTATGATGCTATGTAGAGCTGGTCTGTCCAGCTATCTATCAGTCTCACTATCTCCAAACTCATCATAAGTCATAGACTGAAACATGTGTAGTGTGTGTTGTAAAACAATTGGCTTCAGTAGTTCAGTCTTCCACTAAATGTTTCAGTTATAAAGATAGAACATGTACATTGTATGTATTTTATTTGGTATAAATGATTTACAAGCAGTGATACTGTATCTCATGAATTGATTGCTACATATTCTCATTTTGCTTCATCAAGCTTCGGACCTGTCCTAGATAGATCGTGGTGATTGAGCGTATGGACTGACGATTATTCATTGTGTGTGTGGTCATGCATGTTATGGCTTTAACATTTTATCAACACTTTTTTTATTTTACAGAAGAGCATTGGACGATGGACTTTATGAGATTATCAAATGAGGCATCAAAATGTGACTATGAAACAAAGAGCCTCCATATTACGCAAGATTACCTGACCCTAGCAAATGTGCATCCCCTTGCTTTTGAGAAAAGATGGATCTGGGGAGAAACTACTGGGGAAATAACCAATGAGGGTCCTGGAAATCTCAAGCTTGCGATCAAAGCAAAACATCTGGAAGAAGGTTTGTTCCCTTTGATCATACAATTTTTAGTTTTTTTAGGGACCACTTACGCCAATAAAACAGAATGCACTTTTCCCAAATACTGTTTCACTTAGATATGAATGATATATTTTATTTTAGTACATATGAGATGACTGTTAAATCTTCAAAGTAAATATGTGGTTTCCTACTCTCAGATTTTTTATTTTTAGTTTTCCTTAAATTTCATTTTTATGTTACCACCACAAGTGTTGACATGTTGTTATAGTCTTCATCTTTTTTGTTGATGGTGTTTAGAGGTTGGCTTCTGTAACATGTGTTCTTCTATAGTGTTCTTCTATAAAAGGTTATTCTCCTTTTCAGTTACTTATAAGTTGAGGTTTAAAGAAGATGCTTCTGGTGAGGTTATTCAGAAGTTACGAGACAGACTCCAACCAGTTAACAGGGTAACTGTTTTTTTTTAATAATTTAATAATTACCTCATAAGTGAAATGGCAATTGTACTCTTACTGGCTTATTTTCAATTTCGAATGTGGTTCGGATGGAAAGAACGTGATCAGCGAGGTCTTACATGTAACTGATGATCATGTAAGTCAAAGTCTAGTAGGCCTGCTTTTGTCAACACCTGATTGTTGTATTTTTCTGTTTATCGATATTGCAGAGTCAACGTAGACAACCAGCTCCTCTAGATAAAAACAATCAGGCAGAGAAGCCAAGAACACCGTCAAATTGTTACAAAACCCCACCTTCTTCCCCTACCCACAATCTTAGCTTTCCAGGTCTAGCGAGTCCATATGACCAGTCAGTCCACCAAGAAGATCAATCATATTATTCTGATTCAAGTTCTACAGAGACTGATGAACTAACTATGACCAAAGCACAATCATTGAATGATATATTAGCAGAGCTTGATGAAATTGATGATCCTATACATAAATCCCCCAAAACTTTAAAACGAGAAGATGTCTCTCTGGATCCCCCTAATCTCCATCTCCATATTCCCAGTACCAGCCCAGGGCTAGGAAGAAAACCCATTGCCAGTCCACGATCCACTCCTTCCCTTAATGGTGCTACTCCCATTTTGTCTCCTCTAGATGCATCTCCCCCACTACCCCCTCCCCTTAACAAAGATATCGGTCTGCCAGATGACCCACCACCTATTTTTGGCAAAAAGGATACACATAAACAGGTCTGGAAGAGAAATATGTCAAAGAAACCTGCACGATACACCCAAAGTATAGATCATTGGTACGAGAATTTCCCTCATGTAAAGAAAGTTGCCCTGCCTCCTAACTGTGGAAAAAAACTCAACGATCCAAGGTACTTGTATAATCTTCATAATAATTGTATAATCTGTAATAAACCTTTTGAATATAATAAAAAGAGTTAATAATAAAAGCAGAACTATTTTTATATTTACACTATACTTAACACTTAACTATCGAAAACCAGATATGGTTTGTATGTTCAACTTGGGTATCTATGGCAACATCAGATTCAATATCAACACCAATAGTTATGGATAGTGATTTGAAAGAATGGATTATGAGAATGTTTAGTGCTATTATCAAGCCTCATGTGAAAACCATCAACAAAACTGTGAGTAAAATCGTATGTAAAGCTGTCACTAAAGCAATTGAAGCTACCAACATAAGGCTTGAATCCTTAGAAAAAGAAAATACCTCCCTTAAAACCAAGCTTAACACCCTTGAACAAATGATAGATAAACTAGAGAAAATGAGTAATCATAATGCTCAATACAGTAGAAAGAACACTATACGCATACTGGGAATTCCTGAATCGAACAACCCAGCGACCAAAGATTGCAGCTTATCGATCTCGAGTAACGATGTTATCCAGAACAAAATCCCAGGAGTATTTGATCCAGAAAAAATTGAGGCACTTCATCGGCTGGGATTCCTAAATGCATCGAGTAGATACCCACGTGCGACTAATAATAGTAGAATTCAAGTACAGAGGATCCAAGGATGAATCAATGAAACGGAGAGATTTGAAGGGATCGTCTATCATAATCTAGGAGGGCCTCAGCCCCGGGAATCGTCAGCAATATTGATCAAATCATAACTCAAGCATTCAACTCAACAAGGACCTCCAGTTGGGGCTACAAATACTAACTCTGAAGCAACATCCTAGAGTCTTTAATACTGACTTCACCATAATTAACTGGTGAATGTCGATTGATAAGTACATGTATTATTTTCTCTCATGATATTAACTTACAAACTGCATAATAGGATTCTCACCTTTTACTGGGACAATTCGATAATCAGCTACTACAGGCACAATTAGACATAAGACACTACTCTGAATTGGCTTTGCCACAGGAAATACTGTTCAAAACTGGGCAATTCTCATCTCATAAATTCCCATAATAAACAGTTTTTTGTAACAGTTATATGCAACGATCTAGTAACTTCATGTTTGACAAAAAAACATTTCTGAATTTTTAATCATAAATGCTCAAAATCACTGATCAAATCATAGTATTTCCGTGCAAAATAAGTGTAATCTTATATGTATTTAGTCAACACCAGTACACTTATTTGTTATTGTCCACCTGCGCATGCGCAGGAATATACTTGTCACTGTGAGCGCACGATTTTCTTTGAGGTGTCCTATAAATATACTAAGATATGTCAGCTCTATTTCGGATTCACCTTCTCAATTATCACTCAACCGGAGCAATATCAAGGTAATAGATTAAATATACTTTCGGTTCGTGCTTTGTACAACATTCTGTCCAACTCGTGCTGAATTTCACCATATTGAATGGCCTATCATTATTTATTCCGATTCAAACATAAAAATTAGTAAAAGCCGTGTCTGTGGAACGGGCATGAAGGAAGAATACGCATGCTGTCAAGATTCTGAAGTCGGCCGGAAAAATTTTAGAATTTGTTTGGGCTGTTCTATTTTACTCCCCGTTTTAGATTTTATACGGTGTATAAACTTGAAGTCAGCCATAGTTAAATAGTTACAGTAGTTACGGAGGGAGTAAAAAAGAACAGCTATCCCCGGACAGAGCCCCAGATGTGCAGCTGAGATGTGACGTCACTCAAAACAATGCAAATTGCAGATTGAATAGAGCATGGTCGTGCATCTATGGAGAATTAGAGAACGTTCTATATTGGCTATGCTGCATTCTGATTGGTTGAGAAATTCGAATAGAGCACGGTCATGTTTGAATATAGTATCATGCACTGTCAAAATTTTATATAAGTGGCATAAGTGGCACTGTTTTGATTTCCACAGCCGATATTGTTTTTTATAGCATACATGCTGTATTGTACATATTGACAGCAATAATGCGGCTTTTATTTTCTCCACGATACTAGTGCATGCTACGTGCAAATCACTAGACTATTGATTTGTATTTTCTATGCACTGTATGAATACTATGTTGAATCTGTTCATAGTCAGGGGTTATGAAAACATCACATTTGAATAACATGTGATCACAGAAATACCAAAAAATACACGATACCCGAATCAATTGCAAACTTTAAAATAATAACCAATATGACACAAATGGTTCACATCATCAAATGTGCAAATATGAAGTTTGCAATCGCTTCAGGTCATACGTAAAATTAATCCCTACAAAATGACTATAGAAAAATGCTCCAAAAACATCTTATAAACTTTTGCAAAACCAAAGATTTTTATATTATATTTCATTATTTAGTATCATATTTGGATCAGATGTAGGGATGCGTCGGATGCAAATGGATTTTGATAGACACAAAAATACTTCCTGGTTTGGAATCTACACCTCTACACTTCATGATTGAATTATGAGCCTAATAACACTCTACTATACCTAACACCTAGAAATGCATAAGATACTTTGTTTGTCTTATTGTATTGTTTAGTATATTTTTGAAAGTGCCTTAGTAACATCTAACATATTGTAGTTATGATGACCAGAGTACACATGTACATAAAAGAAAGACTACACAATGTAAAAAAATATGATTGTCGAATCTATATATCTAGGGTCTGTAAAAGTAAAAATATGATGGCACTTGAGATTATGACATTATTACAGATTTTCCAGAGAGCCTTAATTCACAGAGAATCATACTACAAATATGATCTTGAATGTGATCATACCTGTATGTACTATGATTGCCAGTTTCATGGCCAATGCAATGACTTGTGAACTTTACCTTTTTCGTGTTACAGGCTTTTTGTGAGGGCAAATTATTTTGTATTGTAGTTTAACAGGTGTTTCCATTATACCAGCGATATCTCTTAGACTTCAAGCAATATGTATGTGATAGTTAGATTACATAAAATTGCATATATTTCTCTGTATTTAATAGCTACATCAACATACCAGTTTCGCCACATCATAAAGAACATGAGAGTTTGAAGACCTCGTTAAGTTTGGAGGTCCCCCCTCCCATTCCAAAAACAAAGGAGAGTAAAAAATGCAAGTGAGTACCTGTCTTATTGTAGTCTTATTGTAGTCTTATCTAGTGTTTATCTACCTAAGAAAAATCAAGAACATTTCACCATAATTGAGAAAGTTCCAGAATTAGAATTGCATTTCTTTCACCCTGCAATTGCCTATGCATATCCCACTTCAGAAATATATTTATCCTAATCTATGCAGGATTTACTGTAAAACTTTTGTATGGTTGATGTTGTAAATTCCTTTTCAGTACCTGGGCAAAAGGTTCTACCAATACCAGTGAACAAGATTCAACGCACATTAGTCCCAATGAGTTAGAAGAGTTCTTTATAGTGCAATCAGATGACGGTGATGAAGAAATTGCTGACGTATGTTTTCTTTAATTATCTAAATTATTCTTGTTACAAAGTAATGAGGGTTTCAGTTTGAAATTTTGATAGTTTATTGTCCCAACCCTGAGGGATTGAAAAAATAAGAATTTCTGTTAATTTTTAGATCTTTCTGAAGAACTTAATTATGTTTAAAATGAAGGTAATTTTGAGTAGATCACAATTATTTGCATCATTTGTTTGATCGTTGCTTCTGAAAATCAAGTAAGTGAAATATAGAATTGAAAATGTAAGTTCTAGTCTGGAAAATTATTGACTCCTCTAGATGCTGATTGTGAAAGTTATGTCAAGCTTTAAAAAGTGAAAGCAATTTTAAACACCCTGTAGTGTGCATATGTGTACTAAATAAGATGAATCTGTATTACTCTAGATCACCAGAACAATACAAAACTTGCTTGACAATAAACCCCCAGAAAGGCCAGACACTTTAAGGCTAAACTACAAACAGAATGAAGCCATGGTCCAGTTGTCATACCAACCAAATAATCAAATAACAAGAGATTGGAAAGACGTGGCAACCTGTATTGGTAGGTACATTTGATAAAGTGCATTGAACAATATTGTTATAATTTTTTATATCACCAACATCTAGTGATGACATAATACATATCGTCCATATGTATATAAAAATCTCCCACTTTTTTGTGACTGGAATTCACTGGGGATCTAATAGCACATTTTTGTTGTTTTTGTTGTTATATGTTGCTATAACTCAGAAACTAATGATCAGATTGACCTGGAACTAATAAAGTGAAACTCTTTTCAAAGGGGTGCTCATTATTACAACATAGCCTTGATTATTAGGTTTGTAAATTAAATAATGTATGAAATGGTACACACATGGATTGTAATGGGCTGAATTAAAAATATTATTCACCCTTGGATCCTTCACTTATGTCATAAATCTGTTTGCTATACGTAAAGTAACATAAGCAGGTAGTCACCGTGGTAACATGAGCAAGGAGGCAATCACCATAATTAACTGAGCAAGGTGATAATAATGTTATTTTTTCAGCAGGGATATAAAACCATGGTTATCTAAACAAGGAGCTTCGGAAAATAATGTTTGTCAGGCACATAGCCTGCTGTTGCCAAGGTTTTTAAAAAATTCCAGGGGTGTTCAAATTTGACAATTTTGGCCAAAAATCACTTGAAAATAGTTCAAAATGGTGAAAAGCTGCATGAACCCCTCCTGGCTACATGTCTGTTGGTTACTGTAGCAAGAAGGTAATCACCATGATTACATTAGCAAGGGGGTAATCACCATGATAAACAAAGCAAGGAGGTAATCACCATCGTAACTTTAGAAACCTGATTGAATAAAACATATACAGACTGAAAAACCCACTTACATGTACATATTTTTCTCCATCATTGTAGGTTTACTGTTCCATGAGATTGGGCTAATTGCTGCATTTTGTGAGAGCAAGCGGTCTTTCAAGCCTACAGATCTGGTTCTACGTCACTGGCAATACATGCATAATCGAAAGGTCAAACTAGGCTATAGCTTGGACAGTGATGACTTCATTCCATGTACTCAGGATACTTTAGAACAAATCCTTGAGGAAATTGACAGGCACGACATTAAGGAAATATTTGTAAAGAACAGAGATAAACAAATCTGAGATTAAGATTCACCACAGAATTTGCCTCCATATACGCACAGACGACCCAGGCATGGCATCAAGGAAATATTTGCAAAGAACAGAAATAAATAAATTTGAGATAAAGATTCACCACAGAATTTGCCTCCATATACGCACAGTAGATCCAGGCATGACATCAAGGAAATATTTGTTAAGAACAGATATAAACAAATCTAAGATAAAGATTCCCCCCAGAATTTACCTCAATATACCCACAGACGACCCAGGCATGACATCAAGGAAATATTTCAGGCCCGTAGCCAGGATTTGCCAAGGGGGGGTTCAATTTTCAAAAATTTCCAGGGGGGGTTCACAATTGACAATTTTGCCCCAAATATGGCTAAAATCACTTGAAAAGTGCTCAAAATGGTGAAAAACTGCATGATTTTGAAAGAATTTTTGGCCAGGGGGGGGGGGGTTCGCCCGAACCCTGTGAACCCTGGCTACGGGCCTGTATTTGTAAAGAACAGAAATAAATAAATTCGAGATAAAGATTCACCACAGAATTTGCCTCCATATACGCACTGACGACCCAGGCATGACATCAAGGAAATATTTGTAAAGAACAGAGATAAACAAATCTAAGATAAAGATTCACCACAGAATTTGCCTCCATATACGCACAGACGACCCAGGCATGACATCAAGGAAATATTTGCAAAGAACAGAGATAAACAAATCTAAGATAAAGATTCACCACAGAATTTGCCTCCATATACGCACAGACGACCCAGGCATGACATCAAGGAAATATTTGTAAAGAACAGAGATAAACAAATCTAAGATAAAGATTCACCACAGAATTTGCACAGAATACCGGGGATACAATGAATCACTCAATGAAATACTAGTATACTATTAATAACAGGGTGACCAGAATAATCACGCCCAAACATTTCAAATTATTGGGAAGTATAAATATCAATTTCTAGTGTATAACCTCAAGTAATAACTGTCAGTGTATTTTTCAAAATGTCATGGTCAAAGCGCAGGTTATATTTTTGTTGCTGTATGAACGCTGAGAAATGATTTAACAATATGCTGTGCATCAATAGACTAGATGTGAGTAGAAATAATCTTTATTTACGTCATGAAAATATAAATTCAGTCAAGTCATATTTGGAAGCTAAAATACATCTAGAAATGTGGTTTCGAAAATTGTTTATCAATTTTGAAAATTCGATTTTTTCTTGAAAATGTGACTTCTAGTTCGTGGAGATATCCTATAGACCCTATGTTACAAAATCACAAAAAGTGAAATATCTTTTCTTTTATTGGACAGAAAACATTTTCTTTTACTTGAGATATTTTAATTTGCATAAATATTAGATACATAAGGGTGATATGAAAATTTAACCACTAAAACAGATGTAATTTAAGTTAAAGGGAACTTTCTACTATACCCGCCATGCTGTCTGACCTGAACGAACCTGCTGCTGAAACTGGTAACTACCTACTCGCATCGGCGTTATTCTTTAAATAGCATCATGAACAATATACACCTTTTGTGCCAGTATAATCCATGACACCATGAACAATACACCTTTTATTATGCCAGTTCTCGGGACATCGTAAACAATTTTTTTTAAATTCGAAATCATTTTTCCCCTAGAAAGAGTACTGATTATATTGTACAGTAAAACTGACTTGTGTGTTGATTGATTATCTTCCAATAGAATTCTGTCCTAAACACAAACATCCTGAAATTTATAGCAAAAATCATTCTTGTTTTGTAGTATTTGATATTACATGTATTTGGGACATGCTTTTGGGGTCACCTTGTAGGTTAAAATTAGTTATAATATTATTCATATATTATGATATTCATACAGCAATGCACTATGACCTCTACTATGACCACTACTAGATGTGAGTGGAAATAATCTTGATTTAATTCATTAAATATTGAAGATTTAATTAAAAGGATATCATATTTGAAGTCTACATGTAAAATTGCATCTAGAAATATGGTTTAAAGTTAAAGTTTTAACCAACTTTGAAAATTTAATTTTTTTTGAAAATGTGACATCTAGTTCGGGGGGATTCCCCATAGACCCCATGTTACAAAATCAGGCACATAACGATTATATGGAAAGTGATCCACTTAAACTGATAATATTCAAGTTAAAGGGAACTTTCTTTTATACTGGGTGACAGAAAAAAACTGGAACCCACTTAAAGGGACAAAGTGCCTAAATGAAGTCTCACTTTTGATCTTCATAGTATTTCCAATGGATTAATAAGTACCTGATCTTTCATCTGACACCAAAAACAGCTCATACAGACCACATCAGAGTTGACACTAGATCATGAAAAAATATTTTTGATCTATCAATTTATATTTGTCAAGTTTTTAGCAATGCCATAGAAAGATGGCATTGTTGTTTGCATTAATCATCCATTCATTTTTGATAGGATTTTCAACCATGCATCATTTTTTAATCTAAGAGTTATTTAAAAACATACACTTTGTGAAATGTGGTAATTCACTTCTTTTGATCTCTGGACTTTAAATGCTGTTTTCTATGCGAGTAATTTTTTTTCACTTTAGTATTGACCCAAATTAAAGTTTTTATCATATTTGATTGACTGTGTGAGTGATATGTCTCAAATGATATTTTGTCCTTTTTCCTTCAAAAATAGGCACATTGCCTGTTTAAGTCTTAATAACTTCGTCAATTATGTATATTGAGCTTAGTTATTTGGCACATGTATAGTCAACTGAATGTATGACAAAATGATAAAGGTTGAGCATTCTAGCTCAATTAGTCTCCAAATGAGGCAGGTTTAGATAATGTGCACCAAATGTGCATCATGACATAGGATGCAGAGCTGGATTCTTCTTGCAAAATTGTCAATGACCCGACTGCATTCATCTCTATCTATCTCTCTAATTAGTCTTCCAATGTTCAGTTTGAGGTCATCAATGGTCAGTGGCCATGGTCTTTCTGTATACACATTATCCTTGAGATACCCCCACAGATAAAAATCTGGGGGGGGGGGTTCAAATCAGGGGAGTGGGAGGCCCAGATGTGGCAGGTATGGTGACTGATGAATCAAACACCAAAGTGAGCCTGAAGCCATTGAATGGACTCATTTGAAATGTGGGATGTGGCACCATCTTGTTGGAACCATTGCTGGTCCCTTCTCAAATCATGAAGTCTACCCATCGCTCTCCAAAACTTTTGAACGGTAGGGATGTAACGTTCTGTGTTGACTGTTGACTCTGTCAATATTGTCTTGAGTTCTGACAGACCTCTGTCTCCCCGAATAGGTTGGTTTACCATCACTTTTCTTTTTTGTTGATTTTACAGTTCCTTCTGAATCAAACCTCTGTACAAGCCTAAAGATCTGTGACTTGCAAGGGGCTCTTCTTGTCCTTTGATCTCTCCTATAGGCAGTCTGTGTCTCTATAGGATTTTGTCTCGATATACTTTCTCACAATATAAGTCTTTTCTTCTGTCATCCATGGCATGATTAATATCTAAGGTACCGTACTCATTATGGTGTCATTTTGTCATGCATTCAGTCTAGTTTCTACCCTGAAAAAATGAAGAATGTAGGTATCATACGTTTCAAGAAATTTGAAGATTTATGGGTTCCATTTTTTGTCACCCTGTACCTGCCATGTTAATTAACCCAAATCAGCCATCTGGGGGTGAAACTGGTAACTAACTACTCGCATCTGGGTACTTTCTTAGCTGATTCCTCAAATTGGTGACATTTGATTTTAATAATATGTATTTTTTTAATATATGGTAAAATCTACATATTAAAAATATATTTAGATTTTTGTATTTAATGCATTTGTTTGTACATTTTTGTTAAATCTAAAAATTTTATATCATGTTTTGTAACGGAACATGAAATGTTTATAAACAAATGGAAACAAGCTGTAAATATTCTTATTTAGTATTATATATACTCGGAGATTCATTTATGCAAAATATAATGTTACGAGCTTATACACTCATATATTTGTGATTCTTGATTATACATTGTATGTATGACAGGTGTATGAGTAGGAACTTTCTTCCAACTTCATTTTCCATCCACCCGTGATATATAGCTCTTAACGTAAGTCCCTATGTCATCCCTTCTCTCTAGTCTGAATGTCACCTATTCTTTTTTGGTCTGTGTATGACCTCTTCCATCAAGTCTTTATGATTATGTTACCCCTTCCCTTAAGTCCCTGTTATCCCATCCCACAAGTTCCTGTGTTAGCCTCCCATGTGTCTGTGTGACCCTTCCCTTAAGTCCTTGTTATCCCATCCCACAAGTTCCTGTGTTAGCCTCCCATGTGTCTGTGCAACCCTTCCCTTAAGTCCTTGTTATCCCATCCCACAAGTTCCTGTGTTAGCCTCCCATGTGTCTGTGCGACCCTTCCCTTAAGTCCCTGTTATCCCATCCCACAAGTTCCTGTGTTAGCCTCCCATGTGTCTGTGCAACCCTTCCCTTAAGTCCCTGTTATCCCATCCCACAAGTTCCTGTGTTAGCCTCCTATGTGTCTGTGCAACCCTTCCCTTAAGTCCCTGTTATCCCATCCCACAAGTTCCTGTGTTAGCCTCCCATGTGTCTGTGCAACCCTTCCCTTAAGTCCCTGTTATCCCATCCCACAAGTTCCTGTGTTAGCCTCCCATGTGTCTGTGCGACCCTTCCCTTAAGTCCCTGTTATCCCATCCCACAAGTTCCTGTGTTAGCCTCCCATGTGTCTGTGCAACCCTTCCCTTAAGTCCCTGTTATCCCATCCCACAAGTTCCTGTGTTAGCCTCCTATGTGTCTGTGCGACCCTTCCCTTAAGTCCCTGTTATCCCATCCCACAAGTTCCTGTGTTAGCCTCCCATGTGTCTGTGCAACCCTTCCCTTAAGTCCCTGTTATCCCATCCCACAAGTTCCTGTGTTAGCCTCCCATGTGTCTGTGCGACCCTTCCCTTAAGTCCCTGTTATCCCATCCCACAAGTTCCTGTGTTAGCCTCCTATGTGTCTGTGCGACCCTTCCCTTAAGTCCCTGTTATCCCATCCCACAAGTTCCTGTGTTAGCCTCCCATGTGTCTGTGCGACCCTTCCCTTAAGTCCCTGTTATCCCATCCCACAAGTTCCTGTGTTAGCCTCCCATGTGTCTGTGCAACCCTTCCCTTAAGTCCCTGTTATCCCACAAGTTCCTGTGTTAGCCTCCCATGTGTCTGTGCGACCCTTCCCTTAAGTCCCTGTTATCCCATCCCACAAGTTCCTGTGTTAGCCTCCCATGTGTCTGTGCAACCCTTCCCTTAAGTCCCTGTTATCCCATCCCACAAGTTCCTGTGTTAGCCTCTTATGTGTCTGTGCAACCCTTCCCTTAAGTCCCTGTTATCCCATCCCACAACTTCCCGTGTTAGCCTCCTATGTGTCTGTGCAAGCCTTCCCTTAAGTCCCTGTTATCCCATCCCACAAGTTCCTGTGTTAGCCTCCTATGTGTCTGTGCGACCCTTCCCTTAAGTCCCTGTTATCCCATCTCACAAGTTCCTGTGTTAGCCTCCCATGTGTCTGTGCGACCCTTCCCTTAAGTCCCTGTTATCCCATCCCACAAGTTCCTGTGTTAGCCTCCCATGTGTCTGTGCAACCCTTCCCTTAAGTCCCTGTTATCCCACAAGTTCCTGTGTTAGCCTCCTATGTGTCTGTGCGACCCTTCCCTTAAGTCCTTGTTATCCCACAAGTTCCTGTGTTAGCCTCCCATGTGTCTGTGCGACCCTTCCCTTAAGTCCCTGTTATCCCTCAAGTTCCTGTGTTAGCCTCCCAAGTGTCTGTGCGACCCTTCCCTTAAGTCCCTGTTATCCCATCCCACAAGTTCCTGTCTTAGCCTCCCATTTGTCTGTACGACCCTTCCATTAAGTCCCTGTTATCCCACAAGTTCCTGTGTTAGCCTCCCATGTATCTGTGCGACCCTTCCATTAAGTCCCTGTTATCCCATCCCACAAGTTCCTGTGTTAGCCTCCCATGTGTCTGTACGACCCTTCCATTAAGTCCCTGTTATCCCATCCCACAAGTTCCTGTGTTAGCCTCCCATGTGTCTGTGTGACCCTTCCCTTAAGTCCTTGTTATCCCATCCCACAAGTTCCTGTGTTAGCCTCCCATGTGTCTGTGCGACCCTTCCCTTAAGTCCCTGTTATCCCATCCCACAAGTTCCTGTCTTAGCCTCCCATGTATCTGTGCGACCCTTCCATTAAGTCCCTGTTATCCCATCCCACAAGTTCCTGTGTTAGCCTCCCATGTGTCTGTGCGACCCTTCCCTTAAGTCCCTGTTATCCCATCCCACAAGTTCCTGTGTTAGCCTCCCATGTGTCTGTGTGACCCTTCCCTTAAGTCCTTGTTATCCCATCCCACAAGTTCCTGTGTTAGCCTCCCATGTGTCTGTGCGACCCTTCCCTTAAGTCCCTGTTATCCCATCCCACAAGTTCCTGTCTTAGCCTCCCATGTGTCTGTGCGACCCTTCCCTTAGTCCCTGGGATTTTTCTTAAAGTCACACTTTGAAAATCAAACAAATCCCTGTGTCACTCATTCCCACAGATCCCTGTGTTCGCCCTCTTTCTCTCAAGTCACTGTGTTATATACATTGCATATATTGTATACATATTGTAAAGAAAGCTCTTGTGACCTTTTCACCTGAGTTTAAAACATTGTTGAAGTTAAACAAAAAATGATAAATCAAGGTATTGAGTAAACAAAAACATGATAAAATAATATGGAGCAATTTTAAGTGGACAAAACAACAAAAACAAGACAAGAACTTAAAGAAAACTTTAAGTTCATTTCATATCTATGTTTCAATCTGTTATTAATAGGTTGGATTATGAAAGTTATCTAAAGCTATTAAGTGGCAGTAAGTGATCTGGTCAATAACCAAGTCATTGTACCCCTAAGAGCATATATGTGATAAGTGATTATATACTATTGAAGAGGCTCACTGAACTACAGTGAAACCTTTGTATTTGATTACATCGTTATTCAGCTTATATTAAGAGTGAATGTAGTTTGTTGAATATCACTTAACACACTGTAGTGTGGTGCCGCCAAATACAATGATCCATTTACAATTAACAGTCTAATTTACAGTCTAAGCCAAAATACATGTACATACTTATCGTTTAATAATTAATTGTTTGTTATAAAGAATACATATTGCTCTTGGTCATTTCCTCAGTCAATGAAAGTTTTGTATTAAACCCATAGTCCCATGAGTCAAGCATATTTGGTTGAAATACCAGAAGTAAGACTAGATGACAGATCAAAGGTCAACTTTAAATAATATTTTACCAAAATTTGGCTTCCAAAAGCCTCTACCATATCTGGAAGTGTGAAGTATTATATTGCAAGATAAGAGGGACTCAAATAAACCAGAATGGCATTCTACATTAGCTTAAACAATGTTGAGTTTAAGTTTAATGGTTTCACTGTACAGACATATGCCACTTGAAAGATTACATATACATTTTTGTACATACAAGTGGGTAAGGTATCAAAGAAGTCTACTGTAGAAATATTGCAAATAAGTAAGAAAGCTGGAACAGTCATCGCAATATAAATGTAATGAGTAGGATCATGGGTTGTGCAAACAATATGCTATGTGAATGTTTTTTATAAATGGACTACCACAAATTGGCTCAACTTTTATTAAACTAGCCAATGGTTTGATGGGGACATTTATGTTGCGATTTAATCTCAAAGATTAAGTTTTTATGTCAACTGTTGTTCTGATAAGCAGGTTATAGAAGCTTGACAGAGAGCTCTACAACCTTATAGAGGATAAGACATTTTAATGAACAGTAGTGTTTTAAGTATTAAAAAAAGAAGTAATATGAATATATAGGATTGGATAACAAAAGAATTTGAGATATAAACTACTTATACATGTATATTTACTATGAAATTTTATATATTGTAAAATTTATTAACATCAAATAGGCTCTATAATATTATGGAAAATAACGTCATTTGGTGGGACATCTGTGGAAGAAGTTCCAAATATTGGGCATTCTGGGTAAGTATTCACCTATATACAAAATATTTTTAAAATGTAATGGCTTAAAGAGATGCTCGTGTAATAAATATGACAATGACTCTCTCTTTAAATTACAGTTGAAAAAACTGCTCACATTAAGAATTTAAGAATCCATACTTTTAGCATGTGGCTCTTCAAAAACTGTTCAAAATAACCATCTTGATTCACAGGGTTTCACTTGCTCCAACCACATTGGAAGTGCAAGATAATATAAGATATCCAAAAATATTTTGCAAAAGCACAAAATTCAAAAAGGCGAATTCTCATATAATTCACTAAAATGTTTTGATTATCTTTCCTTACATTAAATTGTTCTGGTAATGATTGTTTTAAAAGTATGCCACATTTTTGAGATATTTTAGCTTTTGATATATTTCTCATGTAGAACTTTATTGTAACCTTGTGATATTCAAACTTAATATTTCAAAGTTTTAAATCAGAAAAAAGTTGCACATTAGGTTATAGGTTAAAGAGAGAATCAGATATAGCGAGAAGGCTTAAAAAATTGTATCAATTTTAGAATATTTTTGGCTCATGTCATTCCTTGTCATGCCTATTTTCTAAAAATCACAAAAGTGCATACTTTATTCCAGGAAAACTAAAGATTTTTACAACAATGTATTATTTTTCTATAGGAATGGTTATTATTATTTGGGAGAATTTAAACTTTTTTCACTCATTTTTTGCACTTTGAATCATTAATAACTTTACCAATTTATAACATATTGTGAATCTTTTGGGAGATATTGTATTTGATATTGTAAGGAATAGATTGGTAGGTCAATTATACATGTTGCTTGTAATTTTGTCACCCCCTATAGATCAGATTCTGCCTTTAATCCACTAATGTTTTAAATACACATAGAATGACTTAATAAATGGGATCCAAGATCTGAGCATTTCTTTAAGGGTACCTATATGGTGGAGATTTTCATGTTTCTCCCTTTTCCCCGTCCTGTAGTGTCTCACATTTGACAATGTCTCTCATTTCATAACTAGTTATATTAGCAATTTTGAATGTGCGTCACACCCCTTTTGTGCATCCAATCATAATTTATGTCAAGATAATGTGAACGTGGACATACATTGTGTGACCTTAAAGTGCTCTAATATGTAGATAAATGAATGGTTTTGATTGGATATTATATTCTTGAGAAATCGTAATTGTCCATCAGTGAGTTTGATTGACATCATATTTGGCATAACTATAACACCACTTCTCTGAGCAAAAGTTATGCAACTGTACTTCATATATAATATTTTTATACCTCGATCAGAATAAGATTAATAAAAAGCATACAAAAGTAGAACATTTAAGGAAAATGTAACTACAATTTCTTTAAAGGTCCCATACAAAGTTTGAAAATATGTTTTTATTATTCATTTACTATTTTCAGAAGTTATTTAAGGAATTTTTGAAAATAAAGATATTAAAACTTCACATATTTTCAGGATGACAACATATCAGTAAACACAAGCAACCCTGATCTAACCCGTTGTTTCCAAGAGACTGTCCTAGTATGGGGACCTGCTGGGTATTTATGGCTGTGTCTGCCATTCTATATATACTTCCTCTGGAGGAAACCAACCGTGTTCGGCTACTCACACTTGAGCCTTCTGAACCTGTCCAAATTGGTAGGTATTTACATAGTCTATCTACAAGCTCTTGTAGTCCACTCCCCCACTGCAAAAAGTGTGTGAGAAGGTGTGTAGTCAAGAAGAGAGGGAGGGGGGGCATGACAGGCTAGTAGCTCTCAGACTAGTTTTTACAGGGGCATTATAGGTCACTTTGTTTTTTACCATATTTTTAGAGCTCTTAAAGATCATGTTTTGGAAGTCTTTCACCTTGTTACAATTGACACAAATGAAATTGACCTCAAAGGATTGGTATCGATATAGTGAACTGAATTGAACACATGTTTGTCTTAAACCAGTAATCAAAAAATTCTGAAAATTTTACACATCGTCGAATGATCATCATCATTTTGAATGGTAACAGTTTAGTTTGAAAAAGGTATATATACTTTTCTCTATATTTAACTTCTTGGTGTTGACATAAAAAGGTCTACTTTAATTTTATCTATTTGGGGGGGGGGGTTGTGTTAATTTTTTATATACCTTTTGTTCAATCAACCAAATTTTTCTTTTTATAACTATAATATTGAGAGGTCTCAAGAATGTGTGGAAAGGAATAAAAAATAATTGCACTTGAAATCAAAAAATGTTCACAAAAACAGTTATAAAAATATATGTTAATAATTTTCGCATTAAATTGCTGTCAATTAGTGACCATTACATAAAGGACCTTGTTTTATACAGAATGTTTTCAATAATTGGTATAAGAGAAAAAATAATGTTGAATTCAGTTCGCCATATCGATACCAATCCTTTTCTTTTGGTCATTCACCTATCTTACTGTGTGTCTTGACAATAGCTTATGGAGCTTAATGCGATACTAGTAATCTCCCGACCTTATATTCTGAGATAAACTAAATGTAGCAAATATGAAGAAAAGTAAATATTTACAGTAAAATAAGATAACTGGGTGAATAGAATTGATAAAAAGTAATTAATCAATTTTTGAATGATTTAATTTTCCTGCACATTGAATATAAACGTAAAAATACACAAGGGCAATCAAGCTATTATCATAACATAATTTTTTCCCCACCCTGTACAAAGCTGAATCTTTCTTTATGAAAATGGCAAAAAGTGAATTAAATGAACTAATTTTTATTATTTTGCTTTGACAGATTCTAGGGGTCATCTCAGTGATAATTGGAGTGATGAGCCTGTTTCAGTCAGTAGCTGATGGTGTCAATGAGACAACCCCTGATCCTCCAGTTGTTATGTATCTCAGTCCAGTCATCAAAATACTCACTATGGTAGTATACTATCATATATTATATCAACATAGTCACTATCCTGATAAACCATTATATCGGAAATATCGGAAAATTAACTGTATTTGTACAGTTAGGGAGGGAGGGGTCATTAGCCTTAAAAGTTACCGTTACGACATCGTTCCCGGGAATTTTATTAGAGATAATTTTATGCTGATAATGCACAAAAATAAAAATACAAATTTGAATAGTTATAAAAATGACTATATTGCATGTTATGTTAGATATAGTTTGACCTTTCAAACAAAACATATCAACATTTCTCAAACACAGTTATGAGGGGGAGGGGGGGGGTCATACATTAACTATGCAAATACAGTTGATAATCCTACATTGAACTTTTTAGATGCTCCCTTAAAGTTTCAGTACAGTACAGTATGCATATCCTATTCTTTTTTTTTAATATAGGCATATTATGTTTTTAGACTGCAGTTTGCACATTAATTCCTTATGAGTTCAGGAAGGGGATCCACTCGTCAGCTCTCCTATGGTTTTTCTGGTTGCTCAGTGTCCTTTGTGGCATCCTCCCTTTCAGGTCTTACATACTACAAATCAACCAGGTAACTTCTTCATTCCAAATAAAGTATCTTGCATACTCACTGTGATATTACCAATCAACGAGGTAACTTTTTCATTTCATCTAAAGTGTCTTACATACTACAAATCAACCAGGTAACTTTTTCATTCCAAATAAAGTATCTTGCATATTCACAGTGATACTAGAACACAGGGCTCCTTCAAGGAGGGGTTTCTGGGTCTATCTTCTATGTAAATTAGTACGTAAAGTACGACCGTATATATATACAGGACATACCCAAGAGGTATTGCTCACCTTCATTGGTGGTAAACAAAATACAACAACAAAAAAAACAACTACAAATCAACCAGGTAAAGTTTTCATTTCATATAAAGTGTCTTGCATCAAGTATAAATCAAAGTCCGGAAGTACTTATACTATTATGTTAAAATATTTTGTACTATTTTTTAAAATATTTTTGATACATACAACTATTCAAATGTATAAAATCAACTGACAGAAAATGTTATTTTTACACTTTTTCATTTCAGTCTTCTGTCAGTTTATTTGAGGCCTGGTTGTACTTCCTGTACTTCTCCATAGTGATGTTACAGTTCTGTCTTGCGTTCATTTCTGACACTAAAGTTTTCTCCAATGACAGACAGCAAACAGAAAATGAGAGGACTCCTTTATTGATGTCTAAACCTACTGAATTCCAAAAAGAAGTTAGTATAGAAATACTATTCATGTATAATGTGCACATTTGATGTTTTGCTCTTCTATCGATGTTGAATTAAAAACTACTTTTAGCTGCTCCCCCGCTCCCCCTGGCTACGGGCCTGCTTTACACGAGAGAAGTTTCAGACATATAAGGTTTTACTCTGCCTATAATAAGGAAGGAACAATTTCAAATAGGGGCCTTTCAAATCTCCAATTTTGGTTATCTTATTGAATCTTTAAATGTGAACACCTGAATTTGAAAACAGAGTTCACTTTAGATTATCTACATCTTCATTACTAATCTCTGTTACTCTTAAATGCATTGCAGTTCCAGGTAAAGGTACAAGAGGCTTGTCCACATGAGAGATCCACTGTGTTCTCCAAGATTAATTTCTGGTGGTTAACTAGGTAAGCTTCTTTGCTAGTGGAAATAGTATGAATGTTTGAGATGGTCCCCTTTAAGTATAGTATATTGAAATTGAGATGCACAAATCCTGAATGTAATACATGTATTTTGCATCTTACAAACACCTTCCAAGAAATATTGGTAGGATATAGAATGAACATCATTGCAAAATGAGTACCGACCATGGACACAAGAAAATGGGAAAATTGCAAAATGGTCAAAACACCTATGAAACGTATTTTTAATTAAGAACCAGCACTTCAGCTCCTACAAAAATAGTGATTTTTTAGGATTTCTTTCATTGAAATGTATATTGTACGTTTTATTTACTTTTCAGTCTGATAAAGAAGGGGTACAAAAGGACATTGACATTTGATGACTTATGGGCGATACGGACTATAGACAGCACGGAAACTATAATGGGAGATTTCACTAGGGAGTGGAATCGGGAACTTGTTACCTCAAACAGTCTTCCAAGGTTTGTTTTATGAACCCTATTACAATATTGTTTACAAACTTTGGTGCCTGTAAAGTATGACATAAATCTAGCCTAATACCAATGTTTAACCTTATCTAACCAAATACCAAACCTAAATCTAACCCAATACCAAATTTTAGTGCCTGTAAAGTATGACATAAATCGAGCCTAATACCAATGTTTAACCGTATCTAACCAAATACCAAACCTAAATCTAACCCAATACCAAATTTTGGTGCCTGCAAAGTATGACATAAATCTAGCCTAATACCAATGTTTAACAGTATCTAACCAAATACCAAACCTAAATCTAACCCAATACCAAATTTTGGTGCCTGCAAAGTATGACGTTATAAATCTAACTAATACCAATGTTTCCTTGTTTCACCAAAACGTGTCAATATTTATTTGAAACATCTGCTATTAACCTCATTTTAAATTGATGGCCATTCACTTCTGTTTGTGTAAAATATTAATCTATTTTTTTAGTGGAACACCTCTAAGTAGAACACTTTTAAGAGTCCTATTAGGACCACTTGACTTAATGTTAAATGAACCTCTTAGTGAAACACCTCCCAAATGGAACACTTTTTAGATCAGCTACCAAAGCTGTTCCACTTAGACAGGTTTTATACTGTACATGTATAGGCGTATGCTTGAACAACTCATCTCTTATCATACTAAATTAGTACCATTCTGAAAATTAGTACTTATTAGTACATATTCTGGTCCAGATTTTTTGGGCTTAGGAAAGAAGAATATAACAATGTTTTGTTTATGGTTCAAATTTGATAGGAGTGAAAACAGTACAATGTAGATCCAGTTATTAAAGAAAATCGTTTTTTAAAACTGACAAATTATAGGAGTAAATTACATGAAATGGTCCAGAATGCTATTTGGGTTAAAAAATCCCCACCTCCAGAAGTCTAATGATTTTTTTTTATAAATGTAGAAATAACAATTCCATACCAACGGGAATCTACCAGAACGGCAACACAGAGAAGGTCAAGATCGATATGAAGCCTGAATTTGATGGCAAAAGAAATCAGAATAGAGGAGATCCTTCCCTTACCATGGCTCTGTGGAGGTCATGTGGTTGGGCTCTCGTAGAAGGAGGCGTTCATATGATTTTCTTCTTAGCATTTAATCTAGGAAAACCTTTACTTTTACAGTAAGTTCATATTATTATAACATTTTGCTTATAGAATATGCAATAAGTTCCTCTTGAGGTCTCATTTGTGATTCTATCTGTTTGTTTATCTTCTTATTTGTTATTTACCTCACATTAACTTCTAAATGAGGAAATTCTTTATTGGCTTTGTATTAAAAACCTCGTACAGTTTGGAACATAAATAAATGACAGGTGGATTTGCTGAAGTGGGGATTTTATCATGTTAAAAATAATAGAATTTTCAAGAGGCCATACATCAGTCTTTGATGGGTTTGATTTTTAAAATATTAAGATTATTCAATCTCCATCTATGCTAAATTGTAGATGCATTAATGCACTCGTAGGCTTACATGTATGTCTTATAGATCTAACATTTGTCTAGTCATTAAATTAGGCCAGAATTGCAAAATTGTTTATCTTTGCTATTTTATCCTTTATCAAAATAGCACAATTGAAATGCTCGTTCACTAGAACCAATCTATACTAAAATCGTTTTTCATTTGCTGAGGAATTCCAGGAAGTGGTCTAAAAGGTGTCATTAGATTGCATCATAATTTGTCTTTTTTTTAACTATAGAACATTGAGTTTAACATATTGTTTTTTTGACACACGATTTTCTTATTTGAAGTTAAGTTTGTTTTCCTTATTTGATTTTTGAGAATATTGCTTTTATTTTATTTTTTCAAATTTGATTCTTGTTACTTGTTTTAAACATTTTTTCAAAAATTCAAAATATATCAAATATAATATTAACATTAAATTTTGAGCCATTTCTGACACTATATATCACGACCCACGTACCCCAAGTACATGGGTATGTGGATACTCGTACATGGGTACCTTGGTACAAGTTACAAGGTTTTAATACAAAGCCTCCTTTGTTAGATAATATTTTCTGACCTTCCTCTTATTTAAGATAATGGCTCTCTCTTATCTGTTATGTACGTACCCCTCCTGTCTTCTGACCTATCTCAATAATCCAGGAGATAAGGGTCTCATTTGTAATTTTATATGTTTGTCTATTCTCTTACATGTCATGTTAACTCCTAAATGAGAAAATTATTAGATAATAGTTTCTGACCTTTCTCTTTAAATCTTTTATGTACCCTTGCTGATCTCCTATCATCTGACCTATCTCAATAATCCAGGAGATAAGAGTCTCATTTGTAATTTTATATGTTTGTCCACCCTCTTATTTAACATTTAAGTCCTATTGTTGTCTTCTAAAGGAGAAGCCTCTTTATTAGGTAAGACTTTCTGATCATTCTCACGTAGATAAGGTCTATCATATATATTTCTATCACTATGTTAATTTCCTTGTTTGATTGTCAAAGTATCAATAAAAGGTCAATGTACTGAACTCATATGACTCTTTTATTATCCCAACGAAAGAATTTCAGTACTGATATAGTGTAGCCCTCTGTCTGTCCATCAGTCAGTGCATCCATCTGTCCTAGCCGGAAGATAACTCGAATACTAGTTGACAGATTTTCTTCATATTTGGTTAAAAGGTGTATATTGGTAAACAGTTTTATGCAATAAACATATTTTTCAAGATTGACGCTGCTTTAAAAATCATGGGAGTTTTTCACAAAAATCTTAAGTTTTTCATTTTGAACCAAAGTAATAAATATTTTTGTTTGAAATTTTGGTAGTATATTCACATCTATCTATTTCACATATATATTCTCTGTTTTCACCCTGACCCCCAGGACCGTGCATGTTGGGGGAACAGGATTCTGAGTTAATTTTGAGATCTTTCTGAAGTATAGCTTTATTATACTCAAATGAAAGGCAATTTAGAGAAACTAGCAAATATTGTATCGTTTTTCTGATTCCGGCCTCGTAAAATTCAAAATGGCTACCTATTGTGGAATTTCGCAGTAATTTTGTAATCTTTTTAAAGTATTGCTATATTATACTCAAATTGATGGAATTTTATGCTAGTGTTTTTATGATGTGTGCCTCTGAAAATTCAAAATGGCTGCCTAGAGTAGGAATTTGCTATTACTTAGATGATACTAGATTAGATCTCAAATATTGTGTTGTTTTTATGATTTGTGCCTTTGAACCTCCTAAATGGTCACCAAATGCTTAAATCATTGAAAATTCTAATATATCTCTAATGGATGTCTTTTAATATCTGCCAATAATTTAATCAAGGGTGGTGAATATTACATAGTGACATATAAAGATTAACGGATATAGTGTTTGTTGGGATTTGCTACTCCATTGAGTTGCCATTTTCTAGTCTTGAAGCTTATTTAATCCACCCTAAGTCAACATTCAGTGCAACTTAGTGTCAGTTAGCATTAGCATGGTCAGAGCAATATCAGGTATAGCAAGTGATAAATCACATATTTGTGACAGCGATGATATTGGGGATGATATCAGCATTTGAGGGATGATATTGATATCAGTCTCATTTTTTCAATTTTTTATGTTTCAAAATTTTTTTATTTTTTCAGAACATTTCACTCTTCAATATTTTTTATTTTTTTCTAAATCTAAATCTTTTCAAAACTTCTTTTTCAAAATTTTAGTTAGAGATTGCTCTTGACCAGGTAATTCATATCGGGATGATAGTTTAGTTTATTTATTTATTTATAGCGATCAGTCTTACAATTCAATAAAATATAAAAAAATTAATAACTAATATCAATATTTTCCTCTTTCACTGCATTTCCTAGGGAAATATTGATATCATCCTTGTGATATTCCCGATATCAAATCCCTCCTGGTAAATAACTTCTTTATATGTACTAAATAATGCACAATAAATCATCAACTGAATTTTTATTAGCATTTTTTATTTCACAGGGTACTGTTAAGCTACATGAACTCAGCCACTGAGTTCCAATGGCAAGGTTTTCTTCTGGCTGGGGCCTTATTTTTTGTGAGTTTCTGCGTCACAGCTTTTGTTCAGCATGCTTTAAATAGCTCATACATACTTGGCATGAGATTCCGCACTGCAGTCACTGCGGCTGTCTATAGAAAGGTACGTGAGACCTTTGACTCCACTAGGAAGATAGGTATTGACAAAGTTGGGGGGGGGGGGTGGAGGACAAAAAGTGAAGAATGGGGGAGCGAGAATTGAGCATTGTCCCCTTAGAAAATTAGGCTTCTCCTTTAACCTTGAACCTTTAATCAATTTGGCTTCTGTCCCATAAAAAAACAAGTTTTTCAGGCTACTTGTGAACTATATAAGTTCTGTAGATGGGTTCCAATGGCAGGGTCTACTACTTGCTGTGGGTTTATTTCTCATCAGCTTCATGGTTACATTGTCTCAACAACATTTAATGAATTGTGTAACACAATCAGGGATGAGGTTTAGGACTGCTGTATCTGCAGCCGTTTATCGGAAGGTAGTTTTGATTTGATATATGCAGGCCCGTAGCCAGGGGGGGGGGGGGTTCAGGTGAACCCCCCTGGCCCAAATTTCTTCCAAAATTATGCAGTTTTTAACCATTCTGACTATTTTTTGAGTGATTTTTGGCCAAATTTACCAAAGTGAACCCCCCTAGAATTTTTGTGAAAAGTGAACCCCCCTTGAAAAATTCTGGCTACGGGCCTGATATGTATATGAATAGATACATGTACATAAAAATAAGGGATAATCTCTAACTTTAAGGCATTGTAGAACTCAATGAGACAATGTACTATAATTTACTTTGAAACCTTTAGATCGGAAAAGTAAAGCTAAAGATCTGCATCTCAATGTTTGTCACCAAACAAGTGCTGTACCTTTGTAATTAATACAACATGGCAAGGATAACCTGTTCTTTATTCTTGAAGGCTCTGAGGATCAACAGCCAGGCCCGGAAGAACACAACTGTTGGTGAGATTGTCAACCTCATGAGCGTTGATGCTCAGAAACTCCAGGATGCACCCCAGAACATACACTGGGTATGGGGAGGTAAGCTCTAAGAATTGACTGAGAGTGTGGAGGGGAGTTTGGTTCATTAATTCCCAGAATCCACTTTATGCATGGGGAGGTAAGCATCCAGAATGCTCTGTGATGTTGGGAGTTGAGCTCCCAGAATCCTTTTAGGAGTAGGGAGGTAAGATCCCAGAATGCATTGCAGGCTTGGAGGGAGGGTGATCAGAATCCACTTTATTTGAAGGGAGGTAAGGTCCAAGAATGCACTCTGATACAGGCAGGTACACTCCTAGAATTTTTCAAATAAGGGGAGATAAGTGCCCAGAATGTACTTGGGAGTAGGGAGATATGGCAAATACTAATGTACATTTAGTAAAGGGGACCCATTTTTGTAACTGTCTACCTAAACTTCAAAATAAATCAAATACCAGTGATATATCATGTAATTGTTGTTTTGCTTTTCAGGTCCACTTATGATTGCCCTTGTGTCTTACTTTCTCTACCAGCTCCTAGGGGTGGCTGCATTTGCAGGTCTCGCCACTCTGGTTGTCATAACCCCTTTCAATACTATCTACGTGGGCAAGAAAGTCAAGTCATTACAAGTAGGTACATCTTTTGATATCTATATAATACGAGTACTTAAATTTTATGATACTTCACCAAAAAAAACAGGATAGCAATAATATATTTACATACTGTAGTGTTTAACTAATTGTGAATTTCCTCACAAGAACAAAAAAAACATTTGAACAAACACTAAACAAGCCATGGTTCCATTAAAGACAGAGCAAATGATCCAGAAAGACAAGAGAATCAAGCTAATGAGTGAGATCTTGAATGGTGTGAAAGTGTTGAAACTATACGGCTGGGAAGAGAGCTTCCAGAAGAAGGTGACAGAAATAAGGAACAAAGAGCTGAGCTTGATTCGAACAGCACAATTGCTCAATGCTGCTACATCTATGACCTGGTTCTGTGGTACTTTTATCGTAAGTTGAGAAAATGACCAAGAACCAATTGCAACATGATTTTCTACTTTTAACAATGTGAAGGTCCAGATTTGTCCAGATTTTATGCTAATGCTTTGTGGTCTTATTAGAGATCTGATGATGAATTTGATGTATAACATCACGTCACATCATGGTTGTAGATTTTGCCAAAGGGAGACAATGTTACTTTCCTATTTCCTGGTTATTTCTATCATGTAGTGTCCATAATGATGGGATATTTAATAAAATCTGTTTTGTTTGGTGGGATTTGCTACTCCGCGGAGTGTGTTTGGATGTTAGATAAATTGTTTTGAAAAATCTTGGGAATCGCATGCCTTCACAGGAAATGTTTTTTGATTACATTTGTTAATGATAACACAGTATGAAATTCTATAGCCTGTTTTGTTAAAAAAAATTAACCTTTTGACTACCTGGAGTGACGAGATTTCTCGTCACCGCAGAAATGATCTTGAAACGGGTTTGTGTAAAAAACTGGGTGGCTGGGTGGCCGGGTAACCGGGTACTTAAAGTTCCTTGCAGGGTTACCAACTTTCAAAGTTTCACATTTGTAGACTACCCTTCAATATTTTTATGTAATCATTTTACCAAGAACCTGTAAGAGACTGAATTTCGGAAGTCCTAGGTCGTTATTTACACAGTTTAACGGTACGATGACGTTAGTTGCTTGATTTATTGTCTGAGTGATTGACATGATATCGATGATTGTTTTCTATGATGGCGATTTTTACTAGATATTAAACAAATCTGGAAGATTTACATATGGATAAATTGAAACGTTATTTTGCGTTTTTATCTGTTAATTAGTGTACGATGTACAATACAATGTGAGTTGCTTGATTTATTGCCTCACTGATTGACATTATATTAATTTTGTTTGTCGTTTTGCCGGTTGATATATTGGTTATTAAATTTTGTTGCTTGTTTGGTTGTTTGCTTGATTGGTTGTGTCACTGGTACGTTGATTGAGATGTCAGTTGGGTGTTTTGAGGCATAAAATGAAAAAGTCAAATTCCTAACCCTGGTAGGAAGGTAGGGTACCCGGTCACCCGGTTACCCGGTCACCCGGTTTTTTACACAAACCCTCTTGAAACCCAGAGTGACGAGAAAATCTATGATTGTTTTTAAATGTGTAGAATTGATCTCTGCCATCAAATCCTACTAAGTTGAGCAACTAAAGTTGTATAGATATGTAGTAAAATGTCAAAAGGTGGCAAAAATGAAAATTTCTCTGGTTTCAACTGATTTTAGAGCCTGGGATTTAAGAGGTTAAATCCCCATTGGAGTTACATACTTGTACATTTCATGATACTATAATTGTTCTGTAAATAATCTGACCAAAAGAACAATATATTTTCAGGTTTCGCTTGTTTCTTTCACAGTATTTCTGAAGATCTCCGATGAAAATATCCTAACAGCTGATAGGACATTTGTCTCTCTGTCTCTGATTAATCTACTAGATTTCCCTATGACTGTTCTACCACAGGCTGTCATGGGAATAGCACAGGTAAGGGTATTGTAAATCCATAAGGGTATTCCAAAACAATAAAGCTAGTGTAATATAATTAGGGTATTGTAAGACAATAAGGGTATTTTTAAACAATAATGGTACTGTAATACAATTAGGGTATTGTAAGACAATAAGAGTAAATTTTTTTAACAATAAAGGTAGAGTATTACAATTAGGGTAATGTAAACAATAATGGTATTTTAAAACAATAAATGTGTTATACCAGAACTAGGGTATTGTAAAATATAAAGGTATTCCAGCTCAATAAGGGTATTTTCAAAGAATAAAATATCTTTAGAATTCTCCGAATAATTTTATTCTTAATTGAGATAAATACAAAGGTATCAGTGTATCATCTTTATACAAATGAATTCCATATGTTTGAATTGTTGATATGGTAATTTGTTTTATGTTTTATAGGCCATGGTGTCAACTAAAAGAATAAAGAATTTTTTGCAAGAGGAAGAAATTAATGATGATAATGTCAAATACAACCCTTCTGCTGGTAAGTGAAAAAATCTACATTTTCGATAATACATTTTGTCCAGTATTTGGAACAGTAACCCCCTCCCCTTATTAAGAGAGAAGTGGGGAAGGGTACATGTACATGGTCATCCTGATAGACTGAAAATGCATCTTGCAGTTATGTACTTGTATATATTCCTTTTATTATTTAATAAATTGAGACTAGAAAATTAAGAAATCATGAAATCATGTGTGACACTATATTCTTATATGATGAGTGATGTCACAAGCTAGAGTAATTGATTTACTGGTCTATATTGGAGTATGTATGATTGCTAAAATTCATTAATGCAAATAGTTGTGTTTCCTGTCTGTTTATCATATTAGAATCGTAACAAAGACCTCAAATTTTATTCTGGCCATTGCCAAAGACCTCAATAGCTTAAATGCTTTCGGTCATTTAACAATGAACATAATAAAATTTTTGGTCATATATATTGCGCCATAAATCATAAAATCTCAGTCTTTATTCCTTAAATACCCAATGATGCTTAGTATAAGGAGAATGTTATTAAATGTTTGTTACACAAGCTCAGGGGTTAAGGTAACCCATATATTAGGTTTAAAGTTCTACTGTATATACTGTGGCCTTAGCTGGAAGAATGTATGTGTTTAAGAAATGTAGGAAATTTTATTTTTCATGTCGTTTCTTTCTAGAGAATGCAATATCTGTGCAGGGTGGCGAGTTTAGCTGGGACCTGAAAGAGGCACCCACTCTTAAAGGGTATGTTATTGTAATAACCCTCGATAGAAAATCACTGCTACAGCCTACCTGTAGTGGTTAGCTCCTATGGCTCGAGTAGTAAAGTGTCAGACTTTGGAGTAAAAGGTCCTTGGTTCAATTCCCGTACACGTCATTGAATTTAGCACACTCCCTTTTTGGTCTATCATCTGGATCGTTACACAACAGATCATGGGCGAGCGTGCCTGGGGTTGTTACATTATAATTTATGGGAAGAATATATAAAAGTGTGGTAAGGAGTTGAAATGGCAAAAATATTAGAGAGGAATGTTCCAGAGTAAGGCCTGTAAAATTTATAAAGACAAAAAGGAAATGTTACAATTATGTTGTTATTACAGTATTTAGGCTGCTATAATTAAGATTTCTCCTTACAAAAGTTCTGAGCCCAGAGGTATGCTAAAATACATGTATATGGGTAAGATGTAACTATTATATGGTTCTGATTTGAAATACAAAATGAAATGATTGGAGAAAATATCATGATTTTAAGTTTACAGGCACTTGGGGAACTTTTCAAATTGTATAGAATCAAGGCCAGGGAAACCAATTAGCAGCAAGTCCAAGAGTGAGAGTGTGTTTCTATGGAAACTCATGATACAATAGTTAGACATACAAGTATATTATAATTTGAAATGCAGAAAGTATGTGTGGAACATTGATCAATTTTTAAGAAATCATTTTGCTGAAGAAAGAATTATTATTTTTAAGATTCATTTACCTTGTCTTGCATCAAGCCATAATTACTCCTTCTCAAACACTTCACACTCATTGATAGAAGATTCAACGTTAATGTCAAAATTCAGAGTTACTAATTAAGGACAAATATGTTTGTTTTAAGGATTGATGTTACAGTCCCTGAAGGTAGGTTGATTGCTATAGTAGGCCAGGTTGGTAGTGGAAAGACATCTCTTATATCAGCTTTCCTTGGGGAGATGGTGAAGCTCAAAGGATCAGTACAACTTAAGGTAAGTATACTGATTTCACTCAAAAGTGAAAGTATAACTTGTTTTTATGTGTATAGATTTACGTTTCTTAGTGAATTGAAATTATTATCCAATATTCAATAACATCAGATCCAAAAGTTTTCTCAAAGTTGCTCTATAATCACTACACAGTTGCTGTGGCAACCATGTCTCTGCCGTTTTACAGTTAAAATAGTCACAAAATGTATGTCCATGTTTTTTATATTCTGATATACATGTGGACGAATTTTACCACCAGCAATATTTGATCATAAATGGCCTTTATTTAGACTCCAGAAATGTAACTAAGGATAAAAATAACAAAAATAACAAGCTCAAGTGATTCTGTTTTTTTAGAGCAATATCGCCTATGTGCCACAGCAGGCGTGGATCCAGTATTCAACACTGAAGGAAAACATCCTCTTTGCTCAAGGTTTTAAAAGGGAAAAGTACGATAAAATATTAGAGGCATGTGCCCTTTTACCTGACCTTGAGATTCTACCTGGTGGTGACAACATAGAAATAGGTGAAAAAGTAAGTACAGTAAAACTTGTCTAATTCGAACGCTTCTGGGACTAGCCAAAAGTGTTCGGATTGGCAGGTGTTCACATTTTAAGTTTTTTTACATGTATAGGTCAAGTTAACAAATTTGGGATCAAGAAAAAGTATTCACATTGAGAAATGTTTTTATTAGAGAGGTGTTCAGATATACAGGTTTCACTGTACAACAAAATTATGACGAAGTGGGAAATAGTTGCGGAGGTGGTAGGTTGGGTGTGGAATAGTGTGGAATATGAGGGTGAAATAAACTGGAATTTAGGTTTAGAAATATGAATGGGATTATTGGACAATAAGAATCAACAGATATATAGTAATATTTGACCTAAAAGTTAAATTATAGGGTCAAAGTTAAGGAATACAGAATAAAAAAATAAGGAATATTAGAAACCATTTTGCTCAAAACAAAGTTTTTTGGATATGTTATCAAATAAGCCAATCCAGAAAGTAGCAAATGCATCTATTTCTGCATCAAGCCTTCAATAGCCCTCCCCCATCCAAATACATAACAGAGGGGGCAGAGTTTTAATACTTATGTTCATTGTTTACCTGTGTTGTAGGGTATCAACTTAAGTGGAGGTCAGAAACAGAGGGTCAGTCTGGCCAGGGCTGCCTACCAGGACCTTGATATCTATCTCCTTGATGACCCCCTCAGTGCAGTTGACTCTCATGTAGGAAAACACATCTTTGAGAAGGTTATAGGCCCAAATGGATTATTAAAGAATAAGGTATAAATTGATGCAAGAAATCAAAATTTAAGATATTTGGGTATCTTGCTCTCTATGATTTCGTTTCATTTACATTTCATGAACAAACTCTTTTCATCAACAGAATTAAACCATTGATGACATTTTGATATTTGTAACACATGGGATCAGCTACTTGGACTAATTGATATCACAGACCAGAGTACTTGTATAACACGGGATGACATAACCCACATGTATTTTGTCTTGATATTATAGACCAGAGCACTTGTAACACACAGGGTGACATAATTACCCCACATGTATTTTTTGTATTGATATCACAGGCCAGAGTACTTGTAACACACGGGATGACATAATTACCCCACGTGTATTTTGTCTTGATATTACAGACCAGGGTATTTGTAACACATGGGATCAGCTACTTGCCCCATGTAGACCAGATTCTAGTAATGAATGATGGGAGAATATCTGAACAAGGCTCATACACAGAACTACTCAACAATAATGGTGCTTTTGCTGACTTCTTGCGTGTTTACATTAATGAAAATGAGGATGAAGAAGATGAAGGTAACAAGAGAATTGAGGAGGTGATTTAACAAGAAATAAAAATAACAAGCATTAAGTCAGCATTGGTTTCAGTAGAATTTCTAACACCATGCATGATGAATCAAACCAACAAGAAAAATTGTTGGAAATTATGATTTTAACCTGAAAGCAGTTTGAAAATTGCTCAAAGCAATACAGGTGATCTTAGTAACTGTCCAGGGAACATCAACTGTTACCTGTTGCTTAACCTTGAAATTAACTCTCTTTTACAACTTTCAGTTTTTTGACTCAAAATATTTGTGTGGCAAGTTGGCAGCATGGGTTAATTTTTAAAGGTTATTCTCATTATGAGTAGCATAATGAGTATCTCAATTTTGAGTAAATTCATATTGTATAGACTCAAACTCCTGAATGACCAACTTAATCATTCATAATTTTTTTTTAGAATTTTGGGTTGGATATGAAAGTGAACATCAGGATAATCCTATCAAAAATAGGCAAAAAGTGTGAAAACTAAGTGATTTTAAAAAGTACCACTTTGTTTCTTAAGTCTTTGTTTCTTTGTGCCATACTATCAAATAATTGTAATACTGTTTTCACTCCATACAATCACTTAGTTCCTTTTTGCCTTTTTAATCTTGTTGAAAACATGATGTACGTTGTTTATATCATGTATATAATTTTTAGATGCTGATCAGTTGGCCATGTTAAGAGAACACCTGTCCACTTCTGAGGGATCTGGTAGTGAAACAAACCTCAGTGATGATGGTCTTAAGAAAAGGTAAATTTATTTCAACCATTGTAAATTGTTTCAACCATTGGTTTAACCATTTCAATCTAGTTTCAACCGTTGCAATTAATATGCCTTCCAATGTAAACAGGGTATACTAGTAAAATGGCTGAAAAGGAAAAAAACAGAACATACTAGTACATGTCTATCTCGTTTCAAACATTTTGCATGTATATTGTTCCAATACATAACAATTTCACCCTCTTGTATATTATACAGGGGTTTAGTTGCATGTTTCTTAATTTCAACTTATAAGAAAAAGGAGGAGGTCTTCAAGACGAGACTCTGCTGCAAGTGGGTTGAGTGGTTTATCAGACAGTGATGCTTGGAGTCTTAAGAGGCAGCTGACATCTCAGACTGATGGATTGAACAATGTACTCATCGAGGAGGAATCTGCAGGAAGTGGAGGGGTAGGAAAAAAGAAAGAAAATTGCAATTCTAATTTAGTTCCACTCATTTGGACAATGTCACAAAAGCATAGATATGGGTATGGTTCTTGATTATTATAAAGCTGAATTATTGCTTCCAGGCTTCTACAAAGACAATTGGGAGGATTAAAGTGTAATATAATTTGATACATACATATATGGGCAAATCCATTGAAATGGGATATATCTAATATCAAATTCCCCTCTGCATGAACGTAATATTTTTAGGGTAAATTAGTAATAATACTAAGACTTGTTTTAGATTGGACTGAGTATATTAAAGACATACATACAAGCTGGTGGACCAAAAACATTCCTGGTCATCATTATAACCTTATCTTTATACACTGCTGCCCGTGTGGGTGGGGACATCTGGTTGAGTGCATGGGCAGATGATGGGGCAGTGAATGGGACGCAGGATGTAGCTAAGACGGACTTCAGGCTGGGGGTGTATGGAGCATTTGGAGCTGGGCAAGGTAAGGTAGTCATTTAGATGAAGACTGTACTAAAAATCTGTATAATCTGAAAGGGCGTAGCTCAGGGGTGAGGCAAATTTAAATTGGTGAGGCAAAAAATGAACCAATATTAAAGTTAATATACATGTACAGTGTACACTATAATATATATGTACACTGTTTTATCATTAGATTTCATTTTCATTAAAACTGAGCAATGAACCAAAACGACTTTCTTCAACCATTACTGCTGTATAAATTATTGACCCTCTCCAATTAAAATATGGTTACTATCGATAAAAGGAGGCAATGAACAGATTGATTTCTATGTAATCATCATAACGTTTATTTCAGTGTTATCTGTGATAATTGAGTCTGTTGGGGTCGCATTAGCAAGTGTCTCAGCCTCTAAAGTTCTGCATGACATACTCCTAGAGAGCACATTCCACAATCCAATGTCATTCTTCGATACAACGCCTCTTGGGAGAATCATGAATAGGTTCTCGAAGGATGTGGACACGATTGATGTGAATGTACCACTGATGCTTCAGGCATGGCTACAGTCTTTGGCTCCAGTATTTGCAACCATAGTAGCCATATGCTACAGTACGCCAATATTTATTGTTGTTGCTATTCCACTATTTATTCTGTTTATTCTTCTCCAGGTAAGTTAGCGTGAAGTGATACCATATTCGACATAAAGATTCCCCCAGATTGTTTTGAAATGCAAATCCTCATAAGAACCCATCTCAAAGAGGTTTTCAAGTTTTGTAACACTCCTGGCCTGTAGCCAGGATTTGCCAAAGGGGGGTTCACTTTTTGAAAATTCCAGTGTGGGTTCACTTCTGACAATTTTGGTCCAATAATGCACAAAATCACTTAAAAAGTGCTCAGAATGGTGAAAACTGCATGATTTTGAAAGATTTTTTTGCCAGGGGGGGGGCTGGCGAGTTCCACTATCGTTTTTTGGATTTAAGTAAATTTTAGAAATTTCAAACATTGGTAATATGAAGGGTGGAAAGAATGTCTCATAAATCAAGAGAAATACCTGCACCATTTTACCCAGGATTATGGTATAAACTGTTATAAAATAAGCATATACCATTAGAGTATAAGGAAATATTATTATAAAAAAACTATATGATTGGAAAAGACTATTATCTTTTTGTTTTGACTTGAGGTGAGAATAAAAGAAAAAAATGCCAAATCTTGAATTTTGATAATAAAAAATTCTGCTTCAGAGGGTCTACATTGTCTCAGGGAGACAACTTAAGAGAATTGATGCAGTACAACGTTCACCAATCTACTCTCATTTTGGCGAATCCCTTTTGGGGACATCCAGTATTCGAGCATTTAGACAACAAAAGAGATTCATCGCTCATTCTGATCAGCTATTGGATAACAGTCAAGCAGCATGGTTCCCAGTTCTCACGTCATACAGGTAAGTGTCACGTTGCATATGTAGAGTTGTTTGTCTAAGAAGTGTGTTCTTGTTTAGAGGTGTTACTGTAATGTAAATGAAATGTAAATATAAGTATTTCAACTAAAAAGTTCTATTTTCATATTATTAAATTTTCTTGTATTCATTCAATAATTTTAAAGTAATCAGGCTATGGTTACCATATAAAGCACAACCAGCCATATAAAGCACAACCAGCAATATAAAGCACAACCAGTTGATCATTGACCAGTTGACTCTCTATTGTGCCTTTATAAGACCCAGTGTTTCATTGTTGTGGCTCATGGTTCTATTAATAAAGTTAATGGACTAATTACCTTGTTGCAGATGGATAGGGGTCTACTTAGAGATACTTGGCCACATTACTGTGTTCTTTGCAGCCTTATTTGCAGTTTTACAAAAGGATACAATTAGTGCATCGTTGGCAGGATTATCGTTGACATACGCATTGAGGGTAAGGACAATATTCAAGTTTTAAAGATATGAACAATTTTACAATGTTCTCAAAAAAGTTTTTGCTTGGATTTTACACTCTTTAATATTTGCTGTAACTTAAAATTCTTGGTATAACTACATGTACATACAATATCCACGATACCATATACAGGATGTGTATGGCCTATTGTTAATAATCCATATGGCCAACATTTTTTCATTCATAGAATTTATACATATACATTATTTGTACATATACATTATACACTTGTAGTGGCTTTGCTAAAGGCACCACAATTTGAATATGATTTCAGGTGACCCTGTATATGATTCTCATGCTGAGATCCCAGAGTGAGTTAGAGACATATATTGTCAGTGTAGAGAGGATCAAGGAATATGCAGATACACCTAATGAGGTGAGGTTCTACCAACTGATCTGGTGATCTGATCTGATTGGGGAGGGTCTACTTTGGAATATGTAAAGGATTGGTGATGGGAAATGGTCTACCTGGTGTGATTTGGGTGGGGTCTATTTTGGCAAAGGTAAAAGATCTATCTGGAGTTGAGTCTATTTGGTGATGGGGAATGGTCTACCTGGTGTGATTTGGGTGGGGTCTGTTTTGGCAAAGATAAAAGATCTATCTGGAGTTGGGTCTATTTGGTGATGGGGAATGGTCTACCTGGTGTGATTTGGGTGGGGTCTATTTTGGCAAAGGTAAAAGATCTATCTGGAGGTGGGTCTATTTGGTGATGGGGAATGGTCTACCTGGTGTGATTTGGGTGGGGTCTATTTTGGAAAAGGTAAAAGATCTATCTGGAGTTGGGTCTATTTGGTGATGGGGAATGGTCTACCTGGTGTGATTTGGGTGGGGTCTATTTTGGCAAAGATAAAAGATCTATCTGGAGTTGGGTCTATTTGGTGATGGGGAATGGTCTACCTGGTGTGATTTGGGTGGGGTCTATTTTGGCAAAGGTAAAAGATCTATCTGGAGTTGGGTCTATTTGGTGATGGGGAATGGTCTACCTGGAGTGATTTGGGTGGGGTCTATTTTGGCAAAGGTAAAAGATCTATCTGAAGGTGGGTCTATTTGGTGATGGGGAATGGTCTACCTGGTGTGATTTGGGTGGGGTCTATTTTGGCAAAGATAAAAGATCTATCTGGAGTTGGGTCTATTTGGTGATGGGGAATGGTCTACCTGGTGTGATTTGGGTGGGGTCTATTTTGGCAAAGGTAAAAGATCTATCTGGAGTTGGGTCTATTTGGTCATGGGGAATGGTCTACCTGGTGTGATTTGGGTGGGGTCTATTTTGGCAAAGATAAAAGATCTATCTGGAGTTGGGTCTATTTGGTGATGGGGAATGGTCTACCTGGTGTGATTTGGGTGGGGTCTATTTTGGCAAAGGTAAAAGATCTATCTGGAGGTGGGTCTATTTGGTGATGGGGAATGGTCTACCTGGTGTGATTTGGGTGGGGTCTACTTGGGAATAGGTAAAGGATCTGTCTGGTGTTGGGTCTATTTGGCGATGGGGAATGGTCTACCTGGTGTGATTTGGGTGGGGTTTACTTGGGAATAGGTAAAGGATCTATCTGGTGTTGGGTCTATTTGGTGATGAGGAATGGTCTACCTGGTGTGATTTGGGTGGGGTCTATTTTGGCAAAGGTAAAAGATCTATCTGGAGTTGGGTCTATTTGGTGACGGGGAATGGTCTTCCTGGTGGGGTCTATTTTGGCAAAGGTAAAAGATCTATCTGGAGGTGGGTCTATTTGGTGATGGTGAATGGTCTACCTGGTGTGATTTGGGTGGGGTCTACTTGGGAATAGGTAAAGGATCTATCTGGTGTTGGGTCTATTTGGCGATGGGGAATGGTCTACCTGGTGTGATTTGGCTGGGGTCTATTTTGGCAAAGGTAAAAGATCTATCTGGAGGTGGGTCTATTTGGTGATGGGGAATGGTCTACCTGGTGTGATTTGGGTGGGGTCTACTTGGGAATGGGTAAAGGATATATCTGGTGTTGGGTCTATTTGGTGATGGGGAATGGTCTACCTGGTGTGATTTGGGTGGGGTCTATTTTGGCAAAGGTAAAAGATCTATCTGGAGTTGGGTTTATTTGGTGTACGGCTGGCACGGAACGGAATTATTGTCCGAACTGTCCGATTTTGCCTTCGGAAACGGAATTTCGGACCTACCTTCTCATATTCCGATAAATTTCGGAACTTTTATTTCCTTAAAGAACATTCACTTATCGTTATACCAACACGCTAACTCGCTATAGCGAACTAGTACTACGAAAATGAAATCAATAAATATGTATAATTATTAAACGTTTTCACTTGGTAAAGTTGTTTTATATGTAATAAATGATAGAAATAAATAAAGTATGATTGTTTTATATATATTGTGTACCTATAAGAAAAGATTATTATTGAAAGAAAGACAATATACAATATACAGTAACAGTTGTGTGCCCAGGTGCCAAGAAGGCAATTACATAACATTTTGCCATTAGTTTTGAACATTTATGCCACTTGTTCTGGCAGTTACTGTCGTTAGATAGTGTTAGTGTTTGTATTTAATAAACATAATACAACTTATATATATGTAGTTGTTCACTGCTTTTCCAATGGTAACAAAAATGAGAACTTAAGGGGAGAAGTAGGAACTATTTTAAATAAGGTCCGAAATTCCGAAAGTTCCGAATTCCGAAGCCAAGTTCCGAAATCCGTTCCGTTCCGATTCCGTTCCGTTCCGTGCCAGGCCTAATTTGGTGATGGGCCAATGGTCTACCTGGTGTGATTTGGGTGGGGTCTATTTTGGCAAAGGTAAAAGATCTATCTGGAGTATCTGGGGGTATGGAAATGGAGCTATCTGGTGTTGAGTTCGTTTGGTGATGGGGAGGGTTCTTCTTGGTGATGGTATTTTGGGAGACTATTTGGTGGTGGTAATGTATCTATCTAGTGCCGTATTGAGGGGGAGGTCTACCATTTGATGATGATGGGGAAGAGATATATTTGGTGGTGGTATTTTGGGGAGGGGTCTATTTGGTGATAGGGGTAAGGATCTATCTGATTTGATGGGAGGGTCTACTTGGTTGAGTAGGTGAAGTTTATCTTGTGGGGGTCCAAATGGTGCTGATTCTTTCTTTATCCGCTAGTAATGAAGACCATACAAAGCCCCGGATGTTGATTTGTTTTGTTGCGCATACTAAGCCCCTGGTATTAAATTAACCTTTGGTATAATTTAATGTTTAATTTTCCAAACTCCATTCAGGAAAAGTATTCCCATAATAATGAGTCAATACACATTCACAGGTCCTATTGTTAAAGAGCTGACAATAATTACACATATGTTCCAGGCCCCATGGTTTAGAGATGAGGTGTCTGTGCACTCTGGGTGGCCTAATGCGGGAGCAGTAAGATTCAAGGACTATGAGACGAGATACAGACCTGGCCTAGACCTTGTTTTAAAAGGTGTTAACTTTGAGATTAAACCAGGAGAAAAGGTATGATTCTTGATTTAATTGATATTCAACCAAATGGTCCTAATGTGACATTTTACCCTATTTTGACAGCTATCCCCCTGTATATTGTTGTGTGATTTACCCTGGGAATCAAAACCTGTATTTGCATACTGTATTTTCGTTCAGGATGTTTCCGGAAGCATGATCGCCATATTCCAGATTTGAAGCTGTATCTTTTGAGTCTCGTAATAATCAAGAATCTGTGTTTATATTATAAAGTAGAATAAAGATAACCAGGAAACATAAATTAATATCTTATGTTCGACCAGTCTGATAGATCATATAATAGCATGAAAAGTGCATAAAAATACATGAGTTAGCTGTCTGCCATATTTGCAGTGTATTAAAATCCATATTTTTATATGTTGATCCTTTCCGTGTAGGTTGGAATAGTAGGTAGAACAGGTGCGGGTAAATCCTCTCTTACGCTGGCTCTCTTCCGGCTAATAGAGGGCACTGCTGGTGGAATCTTTATAGATGGTGTCAGTATACATGACCTGGGCCTCCATCAGCTCAGGTGTAAACTCACAATCATACCTCAGGTTAGTTAATCCATTTAATTTAAAACATGGGTTTTATCAATGCCTTGGTCACATTTGATCTACAGCAACCGTATGGTGGCCGTAGCTTCCCAAAATTGAGATACGAGGGGTGATCCAAAAGTCTTGGACGCCCTGCTCTAACGTTGCTATTTTCTAATATAATTACATGAAACTTTCAGATAATAAAGATCAACATCTTAACAAGTTTGTGTATAAGTTGTCATTAGAATGTAATATATTATAGGTCGTAAACATGCAGCATAAAATTCAGGTTTAAGCAATACAATGTAGATTTTCTATATCGATTTTGTGAAGCCACGGCTGTCATATGCCTGCTGTAAAACAAATGTGACTGAGGCTGAAGTAACAACAGAGTTTATTGACACAGATATAACTGTTTTAGTGTACTTATACTTGTGGCAACCCAGGGTGTTGGGTAGCGTGGTCCTGGGTTACCCAGCTATCAAGTATCTGGATTTTTAATGGTCTACCTTGATAATAGATTGTAAAATATATGGGAATGGGGGTCTTTTCAAACACTGATCTATACCACATTCACTTTACACAATCATTCAACACAACAGAGAATGTAATGGGAAATTATATAAAATGAATATAATTCAACTCTATTTCAAGATATATACATTTGTTTGGTTATACAATTCTACATAGATTTACCGTCAGTTATGCAAAACAACAGAAAGTAACGTTCTTTTCAGTCAAATACACTTATGAAATTCAGTGTATCTAGGAAATACAATGCAAACTATAACGTAACTTGATAACCGCAATTCTGCCTGCCAGTTTTCCTCACTTGATAAAATGACCTGTCTAATTAGTTCAATACAGGCAAAAGGGGGGTTGTATTGTCATCATAAAAACAATAAAAGATAAATTCTTAGAGAGGTTATGTACGGGCCAAAATAGCCAGATACGCCTCACTACAATGAGTACAGGTATGTTTCTCCTATTCGGGATAGTGATAATGATCAACTGTTTTCAGAAGGTGTTTACATGTAATACAGATAAAGTGACCACATGGGAGCTGACTAAGACTAGGGGTTTGATTAGTGCAATGAAAATATAAAGGTGGTCGGATAGTCACTGTGTAGCAAATGGGACAAAAACTTAAGAAAGTGATGCAACACTTGAAATGGAATTGACTCACAGTAATTACAAAGGCACACACAGATCAAATAGGCTGTGAGGCTTTATATGAGCAACTTGATACTGACACTGGCTATGTTTAGTTCCCTGGGACAAACAAAAGTAGCAGCCAATTAATTGCCCTTCCTACTCTGTATAATGACCTTACCCCGGAAATATTTAAATAACTCTGTAATGAAGTGAAAAATATAACAATCGCTAGATTCTTTCAGAATTTCAGTATTCGTGCAATCAAGATTAAGATAAATAAAATATGCCCAGTGAAATGAATGGAGCGCTCAAAAGATGGTTATGCTGTGAAGCTGTTTTACAACTAAAAAATCGTAACTAGTCCATGCCTGATGATACTAACCAGGTGCAACACAGATCCCCTAAAGAGTGTCAGCAAATATGAAGATTGCCTTGATCACCCCAAACCAACTCGTCTCGGGAAATATAAAGAATAGATTGTGTAATAATACTACATGTATAAAAGATGTGGAACGGATAGCCAATGTTGCTCAGAAGTTTGCAGTTAACAATGTAATTCTCATATAAAGAGTGAATATTTTATATTATTGGTACAGTTAAATATGCAACGCTTGTTCAAATTCTTCAAGACTATGCTAGGGGGGTTTGTATCTTATTTCGAGAGCCACGCAGACTAACAGCGTAGCAGCAAATAAATTGCCATAGCTTAATTACGACAAATCAAACCCGACCTTGGGGATTTATGGAATACATTAGGCAGTTGCAATATATATAAAAGTGAAATAAATAGCTGGTAGTTCTCTCAAGTTTTCCGTTCAAAATATATATTTTAAGTATGAATATTCTAGTGACTCAAATAATCAACACTGGCAAGCAGATATTACCCTCAAATTATATAAGATAAAGCCAAAAATACCAAGTTGGCGATTGAATCTTAAATCTACATGTAGGTCAATCTGTAAATTTCAAATGAATCAGAAATGCTTCTCACAATAATGTACACGTAGCTCACTCAATGCTTATGAGATTTTAATTAGAAATAAAATTCTGAAAGTTCAAATCAATCTGCTATAATACGTACAGCCACAGTTTGAGTCAATGCGTGACCAGGCAGATCGAAATCAAAGTCGTAATCAAACAAAATGGTCCTGAATATTCTTTTTGAACCTGATATAATAACCCTCAACGTGGTTTAAATGAATTTATGCTAATGTAAATGAAGCTAAATGAGTGAGAAAAATCAGAAGATTCACCAACAAGGAAAAAGTATAAACAGTTTCTCTGTTTTAGAGTAAAAGTAATTCCATTACCTTACCAACCCGTTCACCTAGGTTGGTGTATCTAATAAGATGATATATATCCAATATGTATGTGTATTAAATCCAAAATGCAGAGAGAAAGTTAATTCCTGTTACTTGCCGGTGATTCAAAGTCTCACTGAAGAGCTGATGATTCATGCAAATCTAGGCAAAATTTTATAGTCTCAAAATAAAATGCAATCGCTTAGTTTGGCCCCCTATAAACAATCACACATAATAAACATTAAATATTGCTAAAATAAACAATAACATGACCAACATTTGATATAAAGTTGACATAATGTGCCTAGTGTAGGAAATTCATATATAAACGTTTTAATGAGACTATCAACAAACAAGGAAGTAGTGAAATAAGAAAATTCTGAACAAACTCCTGAATTATGAAGTATCTACAAACATAATTGATAAATAAAGGTAAGAGCAATTCAAACAAAGTGATAATCCTCCAGAATAATCACATAACATTGTATTAAGTATGGGAGGATCATCACACTGCTCCCCCTTTTAAAACAGTTCGACCCCGAACTCTGAAAATATAAAGATACAAATACACTTGTTACTAAAATCACCATCTACCAATTTGTACAAAAACATGCAAAAGTTAAATTACTAGATATACACAACAACAAGTGTTCATAAGCTGCTTGAGTTCATCATTATTGTTGTTGGCAGTAGTAATCCTTGAGTCTATTCTCCATTATATACGTTGTAGTCATTGGAGTTACAAACATCATATCATATGAAGTATTGTTCATAGTATGGCAATTGTCTATGGTTGTCCATGCCATATCATGTGTTGCAATATAAAGTCAAAGTGCCCAAAGCAAGACATCAATGATTTTGCTGAGAATATAGGCTGTTTGCTGTAAGAGTCATTGGTTTCCCATATCTGCATGGGGTGCACAAACTCCAAACAAAATCATATCAGGTATTAATGTTACACTTGTCAGCTTCATGGTTCTCAGATATAATTCCAGTACATGATACACATTGCGATTGTGATATTCCTCATTTGGCTTCTCATAGTGCAGATGTATCACATAGATGAGTTTATAAATATACAGTTTTTGTCTTTGTTCATAATCATTACCGGTTATCAATTGTCACTGGTTCCCCATGTCACCTCATGGGTACACCAAATAAGTAATAGTAACTTGAACCGGAAAGTTTATCATCATCGTGTTCAAATGTTCATTAGGTGGAAGGTCATAACGATTGTTCATATGGGACTGGAAAGAAATCATCACAGTCCTGGAAATAAGGCTTGTTATTCACACAATACAAATTAAAATTTTGAATATCACACAGGTGATATGCATTGGCCAAAATAAAGGGTTGTCAAATGAGATTGAATCAATCAAACGTATGATCAAGATTTATCCTTTCACAATCAGCTTCGGATTGGTAGTTTTCAGATAATATCTCATAACATTTGTACTGGAAATGATTCAAATTCAGTCACAATGACCCTTTCAATACAAAGGAAGTTGAGGTGGAATTCTGTCGGGTGAAAGCATCACCGTGTCATATTCCTGGAGACGCTGCAGTACACCAAAAAGGCAAAATGGGTAACATGACTGGGTGGGCAAGATGAGAAACACCTATCACCAACCTGCCAGAAAACCAGGTATGTCACTTCAACAAAGACAATGGATGGGCCCTATCCACGGTGTTACTCAATCCCAGTCAATCAAAAGCTGTTATCCACTGCAAATGAATCCACCTCAGGAGCTCAACAAAAGCAGTTTTCTGGGTTCAACTGTCATATTACCATGCCCTCACGAACTTTATTCACTACTTAGTTCCTCCCAGAGCAAACAGTATACATGTGTACAAACATTGGTTGATCAGGCCAATGCTGTCAATTAACACTAATGCTCGGGTAAAGTAAGGCTCTGGCATGGCAATCAATGACAATAATGGTTAATAAAAATAAATAAAGTTCCCTTACATGTGTCGAGGTTCTTGCATTACCACCTAGTTCACTGTCATGGGCTTTAAACAACATCAAGTTCAAAACAGCCTGCAATTCATGGCAGACAAAGACACAAGTAAAAAGGGAATAAAATAAAACACATGTGTTGAAAATAAAATAAAGTGTTTTCAACGTTAAACAAAGTAATGCGTACCTAAGCATAAATCTTCTGATTGGATAATAGTTTTACATCAACATCAGAAACATGGAAAATTAAGGTAGCATGGTTCTAAAGGCCACTCTTTATAGCCTTTATGGTAAATGAGGTGCATCTTTCTGGACTGATTCTAGACACACACTAACACTATAATGATTTAGTGTTCAAACTGATCTGGTCCTACTTTTAGAGAAGGACAATCAGTTATACGATGGTCATTTCCACATTTAAAACAAGCTCTGACACCAGTAACCATAGAGTTGGGGTGTCGTTGGTCACAGTCAAAGATGGAGTGTCTTCTTGTTTCACATATTTGGCAATATGAGACATATCGCTTTGACTTTGGCTTGGAATTGGAATTCTTTTTCAGGGTCTTTTTTATAACCTTTGTCAGATTTTGACCAAGTATCATCATCTGTTGCTGAACTAACTGAGTAATTGCAGCCTCTGAGATACAAGGATATACTTCTCTCTGACTCAATTTGGTTTTGGCAGGATTATTGGCATATCTTGTCAGTAACTCTTCATCTGAAGAGTCTGAACTTGGCAATCTAGGCAAAGCAGAAAATTGCTTCACTTTCCTGGGGAAATGAAGAGAATTGGATTTCATTTTACACTTGGCAGGTTCTAATAATTCACCAGCTGTTGCATAGTCAGAGCTGTCGCAGCTGTCAACATCTGCATCAACAACAGATGGGTCATCCAGAAGAGAGTTGCTCGATAACCGAACCCTCTGGGACACAGGGTTACTACCTGAATATACTCTCTTTGGGAACAAGGAAAGCTGAGGACGGGCTCTAGTTTGTCTGGTAATTGGACGCCCTCTATCAACTGTCCTGGGATTCATTCCTTCAGAAAAGATCCACATGGCTTTGTCTGGACTTTCTGTACTATACCAAGTATCTTTAGGACCTTTGGATTTGGTCTGTTCATACTCACAAGCACTGAAATAACCATCACCTTCTAAGGGATGAGTTTCACCTGATACCTTGTATTCAGTACACATGTTAGAATGTGCTAAATCTGGTAGTTGAGGAGTATGGAATTTGTAATGTTCACTCTGGCTGATATCAGAGAACATACTAGTCATCTTGTTAGTTTCAATGACTAATGAATTGGACTCGGGAGACTTTGGCCTGTATTTCAATTCATACTTTGGCCTTACAAGTTCTTGTGAATGGTAGCCACTGTCTGGTTTTTCATCTGGGGAGGCTCGCAAGGTAAACACCCGTTGTTGAACAGAAGCCTTTTCTACTGCCCCATACAAGGATATAGTTTTCCCAAAAGCTAAATTTGCATGTTTGCAACCATGCATATCCCTTAATGGTTTCCTCTTCCCGGGATCCACCTCAGTGGAATGTGGATCAAGGGGATCGAAATGCTCACTATATACTACTTGTGAGTTTTTAATTTTACTACCAGAAATTAATGTTGGACTCAAATCATGATCTGCTGTTTCTGGTTTGACAGATCTGATGAATGGTTTCAATGTCAGGTCAACTGTATGGAGTGATTCGGGTACAGTTTCCTGGATTTTAGGCATTTTGGTCAATTTCAGATGTGACAACAAAGGTTTGGATTGAGACCTCCCTTTAATTGGCGAAACGCTAGTAGCAGTTTTCTCAAGGGGTATTGCATCATCCATTGCCAATTCCAATTGTATGTCACTACACTCCTGGTGGCTCAAAACCACCTCAGAGTCATCGAATGCTGGTGTTATCCCCTCAGCATTGTTCATTTTCAACTTTGAACGGGATGCACAACTTTCTCCAGATTCGGGTGTAAGCAATGACACGTGTCTAGCTACATAAAAAGGTTCTGATGTGTCTGACATGATGTACAGTAGTGTGAATGTTCAAATAAATTGATAAAACAGTGTTTTTTTTATATATCAAAGACTTCAGTATAATAACAATCTATATCAAATCAAATAATGACGTAATCCAATGCGTGAGTCAATACGTAAAGTATCTAGACCCCAGCCGCTGGCACCATCTGTGGCAACCCAGGGTGTTGGGTAGCGTGGTCCTGGGTTACCCAGCTATCAAGTATCTGGATTTTTAATGGTCTACCTTGATAATAGATTGTAAAATATATGGGAATGGGGGTCTTTTCAAACACTGATCTATACCACATTCACTTTACACAATCATTCAACACAACAGAGAATGTAATGGGAAATTATATAAAATGAATATAATTCAACTCTATTTCAAGATATATACATTTGTTTGGTTATACAATTCTACATAGATTTACCGTCAGTTATGCAAAACAACAGAAAGTAACGTTCTTTTCAGTCAAATACACTTATGAAATTCAGTGTATCTAGGAAATACAATGCAAACTATAACGTAACTTGATAACCGCAATTCTGCCTGCCAGTTTTCCTCACTTGATAAAATGACCTGTCTAATTAGTTCAATACAGGCAAAAGGGGGGTTGTATTGTCATCATAAAAACAATAAAAGATAAATTCTTAGAGAGGTTATGTACGGGCCAAAATAGCCAGATACGCCTCACTACAATGAGTACAGGTATGTTTCTCCTATTCGGGATAGTGATAATGATCAACTGTTTTCAGAAGGTGTTTACATGTAATACAGATAAAGTGACCACATGGGAGCTGACTAAGACTAGGGGTTTGATTAGTGCAATGAAAATATAAAGGTGGTCGGATAGTCACTGTGTAGCAAATGGGACAAAAACTTAAGAAAGTGATGCAACACTTGAAATGGAATTGACTCACAGTAATTACAAAGGCACACACAGATCAAATAGGCTGTGAGGCTTTATATGAGCAACTTGATACTGACACTGGCTATGTTTAGTTCCCTGGGACAAACAAAAGTAGCAGCCAATTAATTGCCCTTCCTACTCTGTATAATGACCTTACCCCGGAAATATTTAAATAACTCTGTAATGAAGTGAAAAATATAACAATCGCTAGATTCTTTCAGAATTTCAGTATTCGTGCAATCAAGATTAAGATAAATAAAATATGCCCAGTGAAATGAATGGAGCGCTCAAAAGATGGTTATGCTGTGAAGCTGTTTTACAACTAAAAAATCGTAACTAGTCCATGCCTGATGATACTAACCAGGTGCAACACAGATCCCCTAAAGAGTGTCAGCAAATATGAAGATTGCCTTGATCACCCCAAACCAACTCGTCTCGGGAAATATAAAGAATAGATTGTGTAATAATACTACATGTATAAAAGATGTGGAACGGATAGCCAATGTTGCTCAGAAGTTTGCAGTTAACAATGTAATTCTCATATAAAGAGTGAATATTTTATATTATTGGTACAGTTAAATATGCAACGCTTGTTCAAATTCTTCAAGACTATGCTAGGGGGGTTTGTATCTTATTTCGAGAGCCACGCAGACTAACAGCGTAGCAGCAAATAAATTGCCATAGCTTAATTACGACAAATCAAACCCGACCTTGGGGATTTATGGAATACATTAGGCAGTTGCAATATATATAAAAGTGAAATAAATAGCTGGTAGTTCTCTCAAGTTTTCCGTTCAAAATATATATTTTAAGTATGAATATTCTAGTGACTCAAATAATCAACACTGGCAAGCAGATATTACCCTCAAATTATATAAGATAAAGCCAAAAATACCAAGTTGGCGATTGAATCTTAAATCTACATGTAGGTCAATCTGTAAATTTCAAATGAATCAGAAATGCTTCTCACAATAATGTACACGTAGCTCACTCAATGCTTATGAGATTTTAATTAGAAATAAAATTCTGAAAGTTCAAATCAATCTGCTATAATACGTACAGCCACAGTTTGAGTCAATGCGTGACCAGGCAGATCGAAATCAAAGTCGTAATCAAACAAAATGGTCCTGAATATTCTTTTTGAACCTGATATAATAACCCTCAACGTGGTTTAAATGAATTTATGCTAATGTAAATGAAGCTAAATGAGTGAGAAAAATCAGAAGATTCACCAACAAGGAAAAAGTATAAACAGTTTCTCTGTTTTAGAGTAAAAGTAATTCCATTACCTTACCAACCCGTTCACCTAGGTTGGTGTATCTAATAAGATGATATATATCCAATATGTATGTGTATTAAATCCAAAATGCAGAGAGAAAGTTAATTCCTGTTACTTGCCGGTGATTCAAAGTCTCACTGAAGAGCTGATGATTCATGCAAATCTAGGCAAAATTTTATAGTCTCAAAATAAAATGCAATCGCTTAGTTTGGCCCCCTATAAACAATCACACATAATAAACATTAAATATTGCTAAAATAAACAATAACATGACCAACATTTGATATAAAGTTGACATAATGTGCCTAGTGTAGGAAATTCATATATAAACGTTTTAATGAGACTATCAACAAACAAGGAAGTAGTGAAATAAGAAAATTCTGAACAAACTCCTGAATTATGAAGTATCTACAAACATAATTGATAAATAAAGGTAAGAGCAATTCAAACAAAGTGATAATCCTCCAGAATAATCACATAACATTGTATTAAGTATGGGAGGATCATCACATACTAACTGACAGTCTTAAATTATAAGACGCAAATAAATTACACATACATTCATATACAGGACCCTGTAGTGTTCTCAGGCACTCTGAGAATGAACATAGACCCAGCAGAAGAGTATTCAGACCCAGAAATATGGTCAGCTGTAGAGAATGCTCATCTTAAAGACTACGCTACAAGTTTATCTAAAGGTTTAGACCATGAGTGTGGAGAGGAAGGTCAAAACTTAAGGTGAGATTTACACAGTATATACTTTAAGGGGCATGGAATTTAGTGTAACATTTTTGAATATTTCCACATAAAACTCATAAAAGTGTTTCTATATTTTCATCCTGTGATATGTAGAAAACTTTATGTTTGTATATTTGATAATATGAACAAATATAGTTCGTTAGGAGCTTTCAATATGACTTCTCAAATAGTGAAATAATACAAACTGTGTAACTTAATGTTATTTACTCCAGTGCTATTATTGTGTATCTTAAAGGTGTAACAAAGATTAAACTAAGATAAGTTGAGAGTAACTTTCTATAAATGGTTGTACTCTTAAATGTAATGACCCTAGATAGCAAGTTGGCTAGCCCTTATAGATCAGCGAACATCGTACTTTAGAGCGGAAGGTCCTAGGTTCGATTCCCGCATTCAATTTACGTGTCTGTATATGGTTTGTTACCCTACAGCCCCCTTGGAGGCACCTCGGGTTGTTACACTTATATTCTTTGCTGCCACTTTAAATAAGAACTGAATTCTTTGTATTCCTGCAGTATTGGCCAGAGACAACTACTGTGCTTAGCTAGAGCTCTTTTGAGAAGGTCAAAGATCTTAGTCCTTGATGAAGCTACGTCAGCGTGTGACCTTGAGACTGATGACCTCATACAGAATACCATCCGTGTGCAATTCAAACACTCCACAGTCCTCACAATTGCTCATAGGCTCAATACCATAATGGATTATGATAGGTACATGTTTAATACATTCATTATTATCAATCTAGAATTACAAATAGATCTCTTTAAGGGATGGTGTCCAAAGGACCAGGTTTAGTATGGCAAGTGATTTTACACGGTCATATCTTTTACCATTAGCACTTTCTCAATTTAAACACTACATTTCTTGTTAACACAATATGTTATCTATCAAGTAAATTCTCAAGGATAATTTCAAACAGCAATCAAACAATTTGAAAAATACATGTGATGAATAGGAACCCACTGTCAACATTTTTTTTTAAATTAACAAACAGCCCTGAATAATCTTAAAAAAACTCTGGCTACAATTTCTTTGACTTGAAAAACACATATTCATTCCCTCCAAGTGAATGACATTCCTTCTATTCATTTCAGGGTAATGGTATTAGAAGCAGGAAAAGTGAAGGAGTTTGACAGTCCCCATGATCTTCTTCAAAAGAAACGATCTTTATTCTTCAGCATGGCAAGAGATGCAGGACTTGTTTAATGATATAGGACTTGTATTATGTGGCACTTGTATATGAGGGTATATCATAAAGTTCTCATAATATCTCTCATTTTTTTTATTTTTCAATATATTCTAATGAAATTTTCAGAGAATCTGCATTATAGAATACTGTATTAATCTATCAAAAAATATTTGGTATAACAGATATATTAGATAAGTAATGGTTGCCATAGTAACCGGAAATCAAGGCACCCGGGGCAAATAAAAATAATTGAGAGAATGAGCTTAATTAACCTTGTCTACATACATAATAAACTCTAATAAATTACCAAACATATTAAAATGTTAACTTGAATATGTTGTTTAATGCTTTTACTATAAAATAAATTGATCATGTGGATTGTATGGTGTCATAGGGGATGCTTACATGCTTCATTAGATGTGATACCAGACTCTGAGAATCAAAGCTTAATGATCAGAAATGACTGAGTAAGATAATGCATAGATGCAGGGATCATCAGAAAAATAATATTCACACTTATAAAAAGTTTAGTTTAGTTCGAAAAATCCTTTGCTCATCACTAAAGAGGATCTAAAACAAATATGGTGCAAATATATCAACATAATTACACCCTATAGTGGTCTATTATTATTTATTTAAAATGAACTAAAGTGGAAAATTGACTTTCTTTGGACTATTTGACAAAACAGTTGTAGTGTCTAACATCACTTCTAATGAAGCATTACAATCATCCATTATGAGATCACACAATTCACATGACCATTATAATAGTTTAAAACAGTCAAGAATACATGGTATTTAACAATTTGATGTGTTTCATAGCTTATTTGATAACTTGTTATGCATTTTAACATAGTTAGTTGGGGCTTTTCCTGCACGATTTTTTATTTGCCCCAGGTGCCTTGATTTCCGGTTACTATGGCAACCCTTTCTTAAATAATATTTCTGTTACACCAAATATTTATTGATAAATTAGTACAGCATTCTATACTACACATTCTGTGAAAAATTCATCGGAATATATTGAAAATAAAAAAATTAGAGAGATATTATGAGAACTTTATGATATACCCTCGTACATTATATGGGACTTTTACAGTGATATGGACCTAATATTATAATGTGGGACTTTCACAAGTCAAATAGGACCATTATATGGGACTTTTGTAGTGATAGGGACCTAATATTATAATGTGTGACTGTATAAGATAAATAGAACTTGTATAGTGATATAGGACTTGATGTAAGATGTGGGATTTGTTTACATTATACATGACTTGCAATGTCACATGGGCCTAGTATTTTAATGTAGCAGTTGTATAAGTTTTATGGGTTCAGTATTCCAATGTAGAACTGGGTCTTGTAGTATACTGATATGGAACTTGTATTAGAATATGGGACTTGAATAAGAATTAAAGCCACAGGTGAATATATTGTATCCCAGTGCTATACATAAAAACAGGGTAGAAAATACATTACAATGCTTCACAGTTAAATAAACAATTCACTCACCCGAGCGCCCTTTTTGAAACCCTTCTTTAATTGACTTAGTTTGTGACTTCAGCTTTGAACAGAAAATGGACTTCTAGATGTTTTTTAGCCTTGCCCAAGTCAGTATTTTTACTTATCTGATCTTGAATTATTAATAATAGAAACCAAAATAAGTAAAAGAGACCGACTTGGGCAAGGCTAGATGTTTTTAAGTTTTGTAGTTTTTAATTCCTTAGCTGGTAAAATAGTGTCATTTAATTCACAGCTACCAGATCAGTAACAAAGCTTGATTCTGAATCAAACTGATGCTTTTTATTCATGAACTACTGTTGAATGGTAGAACATACAATATATGGTTATTATTATAAAACTGTAGATATACACAGTTGTAAAATGTGCAATAACCTTTATCAGATTTTTCATTTACATTCAATTAAGACATTTGAGAATCATGTGTCAATACTCAGCAATAGTCAATAGTCTCAGGGAATAATTTGACTGAGCAAAGTGAACGGGTGAATCTGTATGTAGCATTCCATGGTGACACACATGTGTGTGAATATTACTTACCATGCTTTATAATCAACTTCTCTATTAATTACACCACTATATATTTTGTGACAGAGAACTCTCCATTAAATAGCCTAATTGAGAAGTGCAATATACTGATCTTTGCTTTTGGCAGTAAAGAACAAGAATGTATGAGCTTAGTTTTGCTTCTCAGTGTTACACTATGTTTCATAATCTATTAGTATATAGCTTAGTTTCGCTATAAATGTCAGGGATGCAGTTGATATCAGGGACTGTCCTTCATATAGGTGAAATAAAATTCAATTTGAATTTTCAAAGATCATTTTGAAGGAAAAATTGATTTATTGTGATTAAATGTGTAGGCCTATCTTGTATTTTCTCAAATTGGACAGGATGTGAAAATCAATAACCGACTGTAGTGACCTGCCATCTATAGGCCTCCTCATCCATATTGATGTTCACATCACTTTTGATTCAAGGGGAGGATATACATGATACATGATATATTTCAGTTGGTTAATTGGTTAATTTTGATGATGAAGACAATGTGTCTTGCAAACCTTCGCATGCTTGGTCTTCACTGCGTTCTGATGATAACCAAGTGAACAAAGATGAATCCTCTTAAACAGTTGCATTTTGGTTGCTAGACCTACTCTTACTTTTTATTGTGATTTGAAGGCTAAATCAAGTGTTTTTATTTCGAAAGGTCAAGGCCACATAAAAATGTCAATACTGTATATTTTGCATTAAACAGTTATGTAGAATTTTTAATTTAATTTTCCCAATTAAACAAAATGAACATACTGAATCAGTAGTACATTGTATACAACATATTTTATTTTCATTCTAAATACAAATACAATGGATTCATTTATACAAATCTTTTTTTCTGAAATATAATTTTTGATATCAAAGTACTAAAAGTGTTTGTTGAGAGTACAGTAGAACGTATAAACTACATAGGCTTACCAGTGCAATAAAATGACATGTGTGTTGTAGTGTATAAGTCTTCACATATTATCACCCAGCAGACTACTGAAAGAACATTTAGTTAATGCCAATGGGTGCTAAAAGAACACTATTTTATACCCCACTGACATCCTTTATCTCTGGGTCTCATTGCAACATATCCAGTAATGGATTCATATAAATACAGAATCAGATGAAATTTCCACTAAAACCGAAGCAAATATATACATTCATGGACTAGTTATATATACACAGTATGATTTTATAATATGCACTACATTGTACTGAAACTTGGCAATGATTTCAAATTCATATATTCTTGAGGTAACTTATTGTACAACACTGAGGTAACTAATTGTACAACACACATTCATATGTGATACAATAATCAATTCATTGTTTGGTAATGCAGGTCTAAAGAATGATCTTCCAATCCACTAAAAATAGTTTTCACTAAAAACAAATCTCCAAACTCATTCATGCATGAGTTTTAATTTCACTACAATTATTATTTGTGAATGTAAAATTGTTGACAGGAATTCATGCAAAAATTTGGAATGCGAAAATTATGTTTCTTCATTTATTTTGCCCTGCATTATTATTGCAGACCTCTTGCAAACAGGGTTTTCAATAGAATTGTGACATTTTTGCTAAATTCCTCAAAAGTTATCTTAGCTCCTACATCTAATGAAATCTCCCAGTATATCATGAAATTGAAAAGAAGCTGAAGCCCATAAATATTTCTACTGTATATGCGTTTTTCTGGGGATTTATAAATTATAAAATGTGAGAATCTCAAACCTCCTACCTGCCTAAAATATGAGAGTAGCACATGGTTTTGATTCAATAGTTTTTTGTCCGTTATATGTCCTTCCCGCTAAGATATCCGAGGCAGACTCGTTATCTATAATACTGCATTAAGCAGGCAGTTTTCCATACACTATGCATGTCCCTGGTTATGATTAGTAATTATGTACATATTTTACATCATTTATATATTGCATACACCATGCGTTAGCCTGATTGTATCAGATATATGGGCATATTTTTTCACTAAAATTTCCCAAACCACTTAATCTTGATATTCAATACGACAAATATGTCCCTGAGTATATTAGGTGTATGAACATAGCACCTTCAATCTCAAGATGTAATATCTTGTGTATATTGTGTGGTATGTACTATGTACAGGTTCCTGATTATCATGTATTATGTATTGACAGCCTGTGCTTTCTCTCTCCTTCAAATGTATCCACATAAGATCTCCTGTCTATGTTTATCATAAAGTGTATGAAGTTCTGATAAATCTGGGCTGGCATCAATCACCTGAAAATATGTGAAACATAAATTAGTGAATCTTAAAACAAACATTCATTTTGTACGAAGAAGACATGTTAAATTCCTAATTGACAAAAGTGGCTTACAACTATTTAATTGTTGAATGAACCTTTAATCAACTATAGGATGACATGTTTATGTAATCCCCAAATGCAGGGGCGGATCTGGGAACCAACAAGGGGGACCCAGATATCAGGTCAGAAAAAAAACGTTCAAAAAATTTTGGGCCCCTGAAAACTAAAAGTGGGCCCAAATTTTGAGGCCTATTTTCTTCAAAATTTGGCCTGAAATTAAAAAATAAGGCCTTAGAAGGCCCAGTAATGCCTTTTTTTGGCCCAAATTTTTTTTCTGAACTTACCAGTACAGGAGCTGGAGGCTTGAAGGTGTTCTGTTCTATCAACCACTGCTCGTGTAAATCGTGCAAGTCCTTGATCAATTGCTGAAACACCACATATAATGTATTATTCACTATTCTCATTTTAAAATATTCATAAATTTAACTGCAGTTGTTTCTGAAAATATGTGGTTTAACATTAGGTTTAACATTAGGTTTTAGCAATTATTTAAAGGCTCTATAGAGACTTACAAATGGTACACATTTTTCTTCTTTCCTGTTTCTCTTTCTTATTCTATCGTAGCAGATCTCGGGAGATGCTCTCAGGTAAACTGAAATGGTAAATGTAGATGATTACATTCCATATTCTTATGTAACGATGTCACTAAATTGAGTTTAAATGAAAAAATTCATTATTAAACCAGCTTTCCTTTTATTGGGAAATTGGTGTGAAATTCTCGTCCCATTTCTTCATGCTTAATATGTTTTGTCTAAATGTGAACATTCCTTTCATGAATTAATTTAGATTCAAAATTTTAATAGACTATTGTTCCTTATCTTCTCCTGAGCATTGGTTCATTTAAAATAAAAGACACATATAGTATAAGTGGTAATTTTGCCTAATGATTAATTTGCCTATTGCCTAATTTCTGCCAGGTTCGGAAAATAACATGTCAGAAATATTATCCAATGGGAAGTTTCTTGTCATGAGGAAAATTAAAATTAGAAAAATGACCACATTTGACGATTCGGCAAATTAACCACTCGGATTAAATACCACTCATTCAGTAATGCATGTGACATATATGTGGCCAGTCGATACTCGATATCAGTTATTTGGACTACGTATACACAAACTTATACTTGTACAAGTCAGGTATAGCACTGGGGAGGAACTCGGGAAGAAAAGATCACAACAAAATATTCAGCAAGTATGTAGTTCTTGAGTTCCAGTTTCAAAATATGATTACAACTTAGAAATTAATTCTGCCATTGCTGGGATATTCACAAATATTCACAAATCAATTCCCTCGATAAGGAAACGAGGAAAATTTTTCAAATGAAATGTATTTGTCTGGTTTCTCTGAGAAACCTTCCTCCCAGTGGTGTCATTTAAAAGTTAAAGTTGCAGTATAAGTTTGGCTGAAAACTCATATCGAAAGCTCTCTACACCAACAGAACTTTGTTGCATACAGGAGACATAAATGAGAACTGATCAATTTTTGTTCCATACATACCTATGAGGTCAACATGACAGTCCCTGTTTGCTATGGTGAAATCAAACCACTCACTCAACACAGCACCTTCTAGAGGGCTCAGAATCCCACTGTAAACACAGCATAAAAGGTAACATTACAAAAAGGCTGAACATGATTGATTGAAATAACAACTATTGCCCATTGCCCATCATACAAGATAAAGATTGGCAATCTGGAGTTTCATAATTACATAATAGTCCATGACTCTTGCATGGCTTTTAGGGTATATTGGAATCACTGCCCAGGTCAGGTGATTGGGTAATTTTGATGAATAATACATACATGTATAGAAAGCCAATGGAGCACAGTGCAATCCCAAGTCCAATAAATGAAAATGCTAAATTCTGAGGATTTCATGAATAGAAATAGCTAATCAGCTGGAATAACCTGTCATCAATATCAGTCATGACAAGGATTATGTTCAGAGGTTTTCCTTGTCATTTAAAATTTCAGCTCACCAATGAATGTACCGATTTCTGATTATCATGCACGACTCACCTTCTCATATCATTCTCCACAAAACAATATCTGGTGCTGTATAAGGATCTCTCCAACATCTTTACTGGCTTTTCCTGGAAGAACATGGAATAAGAGGATTCAAGATACAATCAAAATGACAGGTCCCTTCAGATCAATATACATGTACTCTGGTAAAACCACTATCAGGATAGGTATATAATAGCAAGTAATGAATTAAGGATTTAAGCTCTAAACTCAGTGCAGTGCAATGTAGAATGACCATTCCTTGAAGGTGTTGCACAGCATCGAGTGTTAATTTTAGGAAACAATGCCTGAAAGGAACGGTCATATGCATTGAGTCTTGGGCTAAAATTCTTTTCACATATGGCAAGATATTCTCTTCCATGTCACGTAAAAGATACAGGATCACTAAAGTTATCACTAGTTTCAATGAAACCTTTTGCAAGGGTCAAGTTGGCAAAGGATCAATTTCGATATGCAAAGTCAAGTTGTTACCTTGACAACATGTGGTGTGACCTTGGATAGTGTGACTGGTGATATAATGCACTGCAGTTACTGTAGATTGGGTTAATTTGGCGCTACTTAATTTGGTGATTTTGCCATATTTGGCATATTGGCGGCTATTTAATTTGGCAGATATGCAAAAAAAGTGTTAATGCAATGTTTAAAGTTAAGCGCTGTTTGCGAATTACCATGTAAATGGGCATGTTTGGCTATGTTCATTTTTTCTTTTGAGGACCACTGGCGAAATTCACCACGTTTGAACATTTTTGTGAGATGATCCTTCACATTTTGGACCTTGATCGATGCTGCTACTATACAGCGCTTTTCCTTTCTAGTTTTTCCCTGAGTATTAATGAGTGACTGACCAGTTCTGAGCCAATTTATGAGAGGCATTTTTTCATATTTTTGGAAAAAAACTAAACCGGAAGTGACACCTAAATACACTGGTTGAAATACCCTAGATAATTCCCGGGGATTCATTCTAAATTTTGGCGAAGATTTATATTGGCGAATATTTCAACTTCTTTCGCCAAATTCGCCAAATTAAAGCGGGTGCCAAATTAACCCAATCTACAGTATATAAAATACAGTGTTTGGATTAGCTTGAATCGGACACACCTCACCGAAAATAGAATAAAATATTCATACATGGATTATAGAAATGCAGTTCATTATTTTGTTGTAAATGTACCATTTGTGACGATTGTTGAATTCTATTTATCTGCAGCATCTTACCGTTTTATGTTCATGCATATTGAGTCTGGTGAGCTGCACGTATGTGTTGAATGAAAAGCTCCATCTTTTGGGGTCTTGGTAAAGAAGTTCCTAAAATAAACAGTTTATTTCAGTTGTAGATGTACTATATATGGCGAGTCATTTTCATTTAGGATTTGGTACAGTACACTCACCAGCAACTAACGACAAACATATTTTCACATATGACAGGTATGGTAATTCTATTTAATTTAAAGTAAGTTTCAGATCTCGAGTAACTTTATACGCTTAGCACTAATTAGAATGAAAATCCCAGTTGTTGGGATCTGCTAACTTACCAATGCATTATGTCCCCTAACATTACACCACAGATGTAGTGGTTCCCTTAGAGCCTGAAATCATCAATAAATGATTGAAAATACATTTGAACAAGTATTTCCTTGCTCCTATGCGGAGAATATTGAAAAAGGATCATACTACAAATGTAACATACATAATAAAAAGAAACAATACACACATCACTCGGAATAGATGAACACAATGATAAGTTGATAACCCTTGCATAATGAGATTGTTAACAATTCATCAAAAATTGATGATTTAAGATTAAAAATCAATAAAACTACTACTATTAATTCACAACTCATTGCAAGAGGAATATTTCTCAAATGATGTTAAAAAAGCGATGAGGGAAGCCACATCTGCCTCATCCTGGCTATGCTAGAGACTTTGAAAAGCAAACTGACAGCCATTTTATTTATCCATCACACCCAAAACCTAAGCAATTTTTGGCACTAGTCTGCTTTTGCATTTGTGAAATTTGATTGAATTAAATGATTTCTCTGGAATTTTGATGACAAGATTTTTTATGAGGTGAAGGCCTGCCCACCTGCACGTGTCAACAACAATAAAGCACTTCTTTAAAAAGTACAATAAAAAGGAACTAGAAACACTGGAAACATATCCCTCACACAATCAATTGAATACTTAAAAAAAAATTTTGTGTAAAACTGAAGTGAGAAAAATAACTCATATACAAAACAGAATCAAGTCCATGATATTATTATTATATGAATACCAGTATCTTTGTCAAATGGCATTTATAAAGGCTTGACATAGAAATTTGTCAGCTCAGAGAATATTTTTGATAATTAATTAGTTCCAATGAGGTCCGTTTGATCAAAGACAAGTAAGTCAATATTGCTAAAGTACATTGAAAAGTATACATGGAGTCATTTTAACTGCTTAAACTATGTCAATATTGTGGTTCAGAAAAGTCCTTCTGTACATGTATTTTAGTGAAAAAATTATTGAACATCTATCAAAAAAGAGTAACATTTCAATTTGTACAGAAATTCTGGAGTCTGGTCGGAAATCAACGTTTCTAATGGAGCAATGTCTCAAAATGGATATTCCATCTGCATAAAAATTTGCATTATTAATTTTGCCTGTTTTCATTCATTTAGCCTGTTGTGAGAAATTCTCATGAAAGCCCTGCTACGCATTATGCAGCACCATTGTCAGAATAGTCTATGAAATATTCTAAGAGAGATTCCACATTTACCTCAACATTTGGTGAATTCTGAAAGTATTTCAGACACGTTGATTTACCACATCCTATATTCCCTTCCACAGATACCTAAAAAATACGATGACATGTTGGTTAATTTTTGGGAATCATTTACATTTAACCACAAATCAATATGGTGTTCTCATAGGAGTTATTCACCAATGATTCATTCAAAATTTCATTAACTTTTAATAGTAAAGTACTGTATACACGATGTAGAGTATTGTACATTGATTTTGAATTCCAATGGTTTATAAACTTTATATAGATAAGAAGAGCATTTTGTCACCAAGGACGTGAAGAATTCAACGTTTTACATGCATTTTGATAAACCTAATCTGTACTTACCTCTTTCAAATGCTGATTGATCTGACAGACCAGCCTTTGCATGCCCCCTATCACTTCCTTCAGAGTCATGATGACTGAAACTGAAAAGCTGTGCTGATCAGCCCAAAAAGCAGCTGATTACTTACAGATTTTCGCAAAAGGAGGATTGAGATGCTGCGAACATTTGGAGATATAAGGCAAACAGCTGACTTTAGTTTTTCAGTCATGATTTTGAAGCAGGTGATAGGGGGCATGCGAAGGCTGTTCTGAAGCAGGTGATAGGGGACATGCAAAGGCTGTTCTATTTATTAGATCAGCCGGGTTTGAAAGAGGTGAACTGTACTGTACTTACAACAAACTTGTCCTGGTTATTGCTGAAGTTGAAACACTTCGATTCATTCAGAGATTCATCAAGACACTCAGACACTGAAAGAAAATTTTACAATGCTGCATATAAATTGTGAAATGAAAATCACGACATTGTCGGATTCATTGTCAAGGAAAACATCGAGTTGGGTCCCTTGATTCTCAAGCAAGATTTGGGAAATTTTCTGCATTCCTCAATTGAGTCACATGTTATTTTTCAAACATGAATAACTCCTTCCCCACATTGTCTACATCTTCCAAGTTTGCACAAAGAGTGCACTTCTGTGCCTAGAAAAGCCTTGTGAGAAGGTTTGTTTTGTAAAATGTATAAAAAATGAGAAAATTCAGTGAAAAAAATTTCTGAAAATTGTCTGATTTTTTTCACTGAATTTTCTTGTTTTTTATAGACTTTATCAAAACACATAAGTGCACTATTTGTGCAAAACTGGAAGATATAGACAGTGAAGGGAAGGAGTGATTCTTGTTTGAAAAATAACATGTGACTCAATTGAGGAATGCAGAAAATTTCCCATCATGCACCCTGACCTTAAAATCTACGTAAAGGCTAGAGTACCGACAATTGTCGGTACTCTAGACTCTGAGGTGGTGGCACGCTAGAGGACCATTGTCGGTACGGGAGATATGCTGTGTTTACACGCTAGAGGACCGACAAATATTGATTTTCGAATTTTCTGGCGCATGCGCAATGCGCGGGGGGATATTTCAGATATCATACGGATATTTTGGGAACAAGTGCAAAACCCGGGGAGGGCATTACCAAACCCAGTCAAAAAATGGTAGCCCGGGAACAGGGAATGGTAGTAAACGTTGAAAACCCAATAAAAAACATGAACAAGTAAGACGTTAGAAAGCTATTAATGCAGAGTAAACGGCTATACATATTCTAAACAGACAGGATATTACTCCTGAGCCGATCAGGCGTAGAAACGGGCGTTTGCTACCCATTAGATAGAAGAAAATAGCTAGAATGTTTTTTATTTGAAGCTTATGGTATGAGGTTCCATATCCATCCGCCAAAAGGTATGACCCCTATATAGTCCATTTAAAAACCAGTGGTATCGTTCTAAATAACCCATAGTTGGCTTCTAGGGTACCTAGTATGCCACTATTTGGTATCAAAATAAAGAGGAGTTCAACTTTCATTTGAATTACGAAAATAGCGATGTAGGTCAAAATAGTTCCGAACGTGAGCATGTTAACTACGCGTTTGCCCGTCATATTAGAATTGAGGAAGTGGTAGCAAACGCGAGTTACAATAAACGGACGCTGATATCTCAAAAAGTAACCTGACTCCCTATAATTTGATGTAGGTCAATCGAACCCCTATATGGACAGGTGTATTTTGATATATAACACTATGGGGGGTAAGCGTTTCATAGTTGGTCACGAACGCCATATGTGCAAAGTATTGTTATGAATTTTCGAATTTGGTGTTGGATTACGGTACTCATACCTTATAGCACAATTTTTGATGGAAGTTGCATTTGGCTCCCTTAGTTAATGGCCACGATTCCATCTCGCATGAAAGAGCTACCAAACGCAAAGTAAACAGTGATATATTCCAAATGAGATATTTCTCCTGTGCCATGGCGTAGTAAGGGAAGAGAGCGACGGGGGCGAAAGCATCCCCTCCCCTAACTGTACTATATCGACCCATTAGATAGAACAAGAAAAGAGCTTTAAAATTTTTTTTAATTGAAGCTTGTAGGACAATTTTGATGGAAGTTGAATCAATATTTGTCGAAATAAATTATGGCTCAATACAAGTTAATGCCTGTGCGATTCCATACTGCAAAAGAAGCACTATGCCCCCCCCCCTCAAAAGAAAAAAGCAAGTCCTGCCGGGATTCGAACTCGGGACCGAGTGTGTTCGAGTCGTGCTCGCTAACCACGAGGCTACCAGTGATGAGGTTATTTCTAAAAGTAAAAGTAGACGATTTATTTATGAAATTGTCGGCTCTCTAGCAAAAACACGTAGTAGCCACTTGCGTACCGACAATTGTCGGTTCTCTATCTGGCACTACTAGGGTACCCTAGCATATACCCCTGGACAGTCTCCAGTACCGACAATTGTCGGTCCTGGAGCCACTCCGTAAAATCTAATAAAAATATTTAGAATTTACTTCGACCAAATCAAACCAAATATTATCAGGAATTTGGTGAGGTATGTTATTTCAGTGTGTAGTTTGTACAATCAATTTTACAAGAGCCAATTTCATCATCATGCATGGTTCAAGTCTGAACAAAATTTTGTAGGCCCTACAGTCTGTCTATACTTTGTCTAACGCTGATGCTAAATGAACACATTTGAGAGGAGTTCTTTTAAAATAATTTTCAAATTCAAGACAACTACATGAACAGATTAGTCAGCATCATGTAAACAAACAACAAAATAATGGCAACAGTTTCACTGTTGAATTTGTGCCATAAATTCTTACCCGAACTGTCGCTATCCTCTGTACTTATAAGGCGTAACATTGTTTTGAATAGGTTCCCTGTAACTGCAACAAATGGCTTATATTGTGTTAAACGGAAAATATTGACTTTAAATGTGTGAATTCACAAAAAGTTGTTAGAAAATTCGATAAATAAATTGCGCTCAAAAACCCCGCCAACTGGTGATACAATTGACCTTCGATAGGTGGCGACCGTACTGAGAAGTGTACAGAACGAAAAGAAAAATTAAAAGAAAAATGAACTTTGATTTTTGTTATATTTCAATCTGTTTTTCAACTTGATCTTCATGATGAAAATATAGCCATTGAAAAGTAAGTAATATTCTGTTGTAAATTCTTCTGAGCTACACAATAGGTCCCCATATTCTAGGTAGGCTGAATTCACACTTTCATAAAAGTTCAATTTCAGTTTCACATCAAAAATCATTTCACTTTCTTTATCAAATTCAACATCAATGACGGGTCACTGAGTCTTTATTAGGTGTAGCTCTAGGCAGAAAGAGTTATTTGCACACCTGTCAACAGTGTTGTCCAGGTGAGTCTCACCATGGGCTCTACCACCAGAGCCCATGGTCTCACAGTCAATGGCTTGATTGATCTGTCGGTTGGTTGTCTTGTTATTTCGTTGATTGCTTTGTTGATCAGTCAGCTGGTTAGTTAGCTTGTTGTTCCGTTTCTTGATTGCTGGTTGATTGGTTAGTTAAATGTCTGCTTGGTTGTTTGGTTGGAAACAATGTTGCTTGGTTGGATAGCTTGATTGATTTTTTGGTTAAATCAATCAGTAGGCTTGATGATTGATTGGTCAGTTGCTTGCTAAGTTGTTTGGTTGGTTGCTTTGTTGTTTGGTTATCTGGTTGGTTGGTTAGGCCCGATGTTGTTTTGTTGACTGGTTGCTTAGGATCCTGATTGCTTTGATGTTTGGTTGGCTGGGCGCTCTTTTTGCTTTTTGCTTGTATTGACTTGCTTTTAATATAAGTTTCATGCTTAAGAAGTTAGTTAGATTGTTGGTTGATTGATCAGCTAAGTGGTTGATTGATTGATAAGTTGCTTGTTTAATTGTTTAGTTGGGTGTGTGATTTGCAGTCAGTTGTATGGTTGCTTGTTTTGTTGATTGATTGGCTTGTTAGTTGGTAAGGTGGTTGGTTGCTTTGTTGGATGGTTGCTCTTGGCTTGTTTTTTGGTGTTATTTATTTGATGATTGGTTGCATGGTTGATAAATTTGTTGGTTGGTTGCTTGATTGGTTGCATAGTAGGATGATTGGTTGCATAGTAGGGTGATTGGTCCTTTAGATGGTTTCCTCTTTGGTTGGTTTCTTGGTTGGTTATTTGGCTGGTATAGATGCCTGTTGAGTGGGAGGTCAGTTTGGAAGACTGGTCAGCTTGGAACGTTGATTGGCAGGGTTTGTTGGCATCAAGAGGAGTGCCAGTGTATTGAGGCACCTCACAGCTAAGATGAGAATCTGTCATTTGGTGTAAACTAGTTTAGGCCAACTAGTTTTGAAAATATTTCTCTTCATAAATTGTATACAAGTTGGTAAGTTTTATAAAATGTTAAGCCATAGAAAGATTAAATGCAAAATGTAATGCACTTTGGGGCATAAAATAATAAAATTATCAATCCTGCTCGGAATATAAGTTCTGTTACCTAGTCACCTGACTTTCCAGTTATCTGGCTGCCAAGTCTTTTTTACACAAACCCGTTCTTACAGGCTGATATTCCAAAAAATTATTTAAATTGATTTTCAGATGTTACTGTACTCCGGGTATTGTTCGCGTGGGATTTAATTTCACTTTGTTTGAGAATGTCGTAAAATCACGAACATTTATCGTCACGAAATTTGTCTTTTAAATCCCTGGGGATTTGACTTTTGATATGTTCCATTCGGTGTAAAACGTTTTGTCCAGTGTTGTTTAGTGATAATTCAAAAAAGGCCTAAAATGTCTAACATTTTGAATTGGCTTAATAGGCCAACAAAGGTAAGAACTGTTGACGACAATGATATCCTACAAATTGAGGTTAAAAAAGCCATTTAAGAATATTCAAATAAATGCCCTCAACGTGGGAAATACAAATATTATTCAGATTCTGAATGGGCTAAAATATGCATTGATTCACGGTAATCAGAAAAAAATTCAACTTGTACAATCCACGAAATTAAATAGCCGCGAAATTGCAATTTTGAAAAATCGCCAAATTTTGTAGCGTCGAAATTTACCCGGAGCACAGTATTCATATTCATAATACATTTGAACTTATTATATTGGGACACCTTGTATGCACAAAGGTGACAAGGTGATATACATGAACTCCCTTTGTCATAATATGTCACTGTCATGTTTTGTGACCCATATGCTTTCTGTGTCACATGCATCTAAAGTGTCATCTAATGCAGAAACTGTGTATCAGAAATGTTTTATTACCCTTAGCTGAAATATTGTTGAACGTACATGTTAATTTTATTCTCCATTTATTTTCGTTGCAGCTGTTTCCTCCTAAAATTCTGGTGATTCCTACTGTCATGTACTGCCAGGTGTTTCTTACCAGGTGTTCCTTTGATCCTGTGGGTGTCTCCCTCTACTAGGTCTGTAGAGATGGTTTCTGTGAGATTGGGGATACGAGGGATCAAATATAAAAAACTGATCCTGGTTATTGGAACAGTTTTGATCCTTGTGTTAATCGTGGGATCATATTTTAAACACCAGAACAACAAACTTCAAAGTAAGTACAGTAAATATAACTAACAGGTCTAATACAGGGTGGTCAAAGAGCAGAAAGCCTGCCACTATTTTCCAAATATCTTTGTTATTTTAGGGAATTACTCCCTGATATTTGTCACATTTGTACATCAATCAATTTCCTACCAGCCTACTATATTTCATGACCATCAGTCTTATAGTAACAATGTTACAGCACTTTAAACAACGTGCACCAGTGGCCACCATTGCATTAAAGGCAAACCTGCACTCATCATCCAAAATGTCCCTACCCGACTTCTACCTATGGGGATGCGCATAAGATGCCCAAAAGAGTGTTCAAGAATGACCTCAGGACAATTGTAGACCTCAAAAGGGAGATCATTTGTGTCACTCAGTCCATACCTGCTGAGGAGTGCAGTTGGGTCATTGACAACTTGTGCAGGTTTGCCTACAGCATGATGATTGGCACACCTGACACATGTTGTTCAAAGTGCTGTAACATTGTGACTATCAGTCTGATGGTCATGAAATATGGTAAACTGGTAGGAAATTGAATGATGTACAAATGTGGTAAATATCAGGGAGTTATTTTATAAAATAACAAAGATATGAGGAAAATGCAAGGTTTCTGTTTTTTTGACCACCCTGTATGTATTATATTGAAGTGTGGCCTCCTGTGAAATCATTTGTTCCATCTGTGTTATCAGCTTTGGTGTATCTCATTAGTACTACCTGGTACCCAAAATCAGTTTCAGATTAAAACACTGCCCAGTGTTTCCCCGAATACTTGTAGATGCTACTTTTGACAGCTCTTGAATTCTGTTACTGTATACAATTGTACACAATTCTGAATAAATATAAAATAAAACAACCTGGAACCTTGTGAAAGCTGGTGCAGATTGATATTGACAAAGGTTTGAGGCCGATTTAAAGATGGCAGCAGAGGTTCAATTTTATTCGTAAAGAATTTTTTCTATTGCCCTTTGGCCTATGATATTGTTGAGCCATCTTGTATTTTTCATTATATCATCCAGATCATAATAATTTGTTTAATAATATCCTATAATATCCAAACCAAATTATTCTTTTTAATCAATATAATATTGAATCTTGTGTTTTCAGAATTTATCCCCAAGAGATACGAAGAGGATGGCTTGTATGATTTCCGTCAACTACCAAACATTCCAACTGCAAATGGGGAATACCATTTAGGTAAACTTCAATCGGTACCAAAGATTATTTCATTTGATGTTCTGTTCTAATGTTTAGTAAAGTGTTGAAATGTGGTTATTGTTCAAAAGCGCTTTGATTGCAAATGATAAGATGACAGTACATGTAATACATCCAGATAACATTTATGCTGGATTGATGAAATATGAAGTTTTGAAGTTTTATGTCTCCCCTTTCAATAATGTTTAAATTCTCATTGATATCATTGCCAAATGTTTTGATTTCAAAATGCAGAGGCTTTAATATTACAGACTACATACTTGCCATTTCTTGATTTCAGAGGCTGAAAATGATGAAGAGGCTCAAAGGTTGAAGACACAAGTGCGGGTACTTTGTATGATAATCACAAACGCTGCAAACTTACCACGTAAAGCCATGGCAGTAAAAGACACATGGGCAAAAAGATGCAATAAATATGTATTTATAACTGATGAAGAGGATAAAAAATTTGGCACTGTTGGTGTACATGCAGAAGGAAGAGACCATTTAACAGCAAAAACTATTGCGGGATTTAAATATGTGTATGAGAACTATCGAAATGATTATGATTGGTTCTTTAAGACAGATGACGATACTTATGTTATTGTTGAAAATCTTCGCTACCTGTTATCTCATTACCACTCTACTCAATCTGTATACATCGGACACCATTTTGACAATGTGGAAATCGCAAACAAGGCGGGATATATGAGTGGAGGAGGTGGATATGCTTTGAGTAAAGCTGCCCTGGAGCAGTTTGTAACAGTAGGAGTTAATGAAAGTCATCCCCTTGCCCTGTGTCGTCGTGATTATGGAGCAGAAGATGCTGCCATAGGTCGCTGTATGAATAAACTGGGTATTAAACCAGCGTTCTCTTTGGATGTACACAAACGTGAAACATTTCACCCATTTAATGTGTTCACTCATCTCACTGGTGACTTTCCCTCTTGGTACAACAAATATAAACAAAACCCAGTCAAGGTAACCATCCACCATTTAACAGTTGATTATTCCTGTCACTCATTCCCTACATTTGTTCAAAATTAGGAATAGCAATAACATTGAGTTAAGGTTACTGTCCAACATTAATAGACCATTCCAGGTGAACCAGATATACTGTGAAACAATTTAAGGAAATCATGTCTATTGTAAATTGGCTGAGAAAAGTACAAAAAGCCAAGTACTTGTTGCCTCAAAGCTTGGTTGAACAGGAAATTACATTTTGCTGAAATAGTGCCTGTTTCAATATCAGCAACCTTCAAATTGTGGTCAATCCAAAACATGGTTGATTTTACTAAAAATTGAACTGAATAGATGCCTAATGTCAAAACTCTGAAAAAATTCACCAATTTAAATAGTGTCAAAATAACTCTTTCACTACAGGCATTACTATGTTCAGTTCTTTGTATGAATTTTCTCTGAGAAGCTACTTAAATAAAATATAAAATCCTCTTTTTTTCAGGGCAGGGACAGCCTTAGTGATTACAGCATAACATTCCATTATGTCGACCCCATCATGATGTACACTATGGACCACCTTATATACCATCTACACACGTATGGCATAGTTAAAGGAAAACCACCAAAAAAAGTTTTTAAAATTGAACAGACGTGATCTACATCATAAAGTGATAGCATATTGAATTTACCGAAATCAAAACATATATGAAAACATACATAAAGCTTCTTCAGAAAGTGATTTGCAACAAGTGAACGAAAAGGTACCCTGCGTGCAGAGTCTAGTTAAACTACACTCTGCCTAGTAGAGACCATATTACAGTTTAGTAGCCCCGCCCCCACGACGGGTACTGTTGACAGTTTGGGTAAATCACTTTTGACCTACGCGCTGACCTTCCACCAATCAGCGAGCTTGAAGAAACATATGCCAAATGCGTTCTAATTAAATAAGCGCTTGTCATTGGTCCATTCCGGGCTCAACGATGACGTCAGAAGGAATGACCATATAAAGAAGGTCGGCCAAATTTGGCCGACGAACACTGATTGGCGTTCACAGGTTTATTTTAGTTTGAAAGAGTATAGACGAAGCTCTCTATTAAGAAGTGAAGTCAAACGAATGCAAAGGGTAACGAAAAGGGATTCAAAAGCCAGAATTTGTCTATTTTAACTCCTTTGTCTTTGAAGGTTCATAATAATGATGAGATCTCTTTAAAGTATGACTGTATTATATTGAAATTAAGGTTGCTTAAACTAGATAACAAAAGTTGAATCCTCTATCTGATTTGAATCCTTGAAAATACAAAATTGCCAGCCAAACCTTGAATTGGCAGGAAATTTCACTGATTCCAGTGCAAATCAAGGATTTTTAGCAGTAGATTATAAATAATATACTGTGAAATATTTCAGATTTTTCATGAATAATTTGTTGGGGTTTGCATGGCCATGGAGTTGCTGTTTTCTAGTCAATTTATGCATGACTTATATGGAAAAGTCAATCACATGCATTTCCAAAGTTATGTAGTATGGACCTTTTATGGAAAATTTGAAGTTGTGTTTCTCAGAGGAGAGAGCTTTCTAACAGGATAAATTTAGCTCATAAATGTTTTGGTTTGGTTGGTTGTATAGTTTGATGATGGACCTTTAAGGAATTGTGCCATATCAATGTAGGTTTAAACTGATGAGTCTGCTGTTTGATTGCTCAATATATGTTTGTTAGGTTGAATTTAAACAATTTCTGTAAATCATTGGAAAGTCAATTTTTATTGAAAAATGTTTTATTCAGTTTATAAATCAAATTTGAAGTCATAACAAACAATATTTTCAAATGTTGCATGTGCCCTTAAATGCTACTAGGTTCTAAAATGTGAATGGAAAAATATACAGAATGTCCATCAAGTGTTTTTGCACTTTACACAGACTAACAAAATGTTTCAGAGGAGTAGTTTTACAATATTGTATTTTTAATGGAACATTTGTCAGATTGATGTTCATAATGTTATAAAGAAATTCTATACATATAATATTTACATTGTCATGAAATGTATTTTTGAAATTACTATTTTGAGTGATCTCATTCTATTTTTGTATATTTTAAGAGGACATCATGTACCATCATACTGTTTTTATTGCGATTGTAATAAATGTTTGAACAAAATAAAAACATTTCAAAATAAAAGTGCAAATTATTGTAATTGTTCATTAGGTCCTATTCTTCTGTGTGTTATTTCAAAAGTTAGTACAGTAGTAAAATGTCACCATCTAGTTGCTCACAATATTATGAGTTCAATCTTAAGTCAGATTTGAATTTATGAGAACTTGAAGTTAGATGATTTTGAAAAAATAAATTGGTGAATTTGAAGCAAGTTGAAAAAAGACCTTTTTTGACCCTGAGAAGGTCATTGAAGTTGAAATCTGAAATCTAAAGTCAGATTTGAACTTCTGAGAATTTGTGGATGATTTTGAAAAAAATTGGTCAAGATGAAAAAATATCTTTTTGACCTTGAGAAAGTCATTGAAGGTCAAATCTAGTCAGATTTGAGCTTCTGATCTTGTAGATGATTTTGAAAAAAATTGAAGTCTGTCGAAACAGTATTTGTTAAGTTAATGGAAGTTGCAAGAATTTGTTACAGACACCGATCGCCATCCACCGACCGCCATCAACAGAGACCATAACAATATGTCACACTCATAAAAAATGGAGTGTCTCAAGAAAAATTGTATCAGTGGATACTCTAAGTAGGAGTTTCACTAGAATTTCTCACAACAGGCTAAATAAATGAAAACAACAGGCAATGAAAATCATGAACTTAACATGGGAAAGTTGATAAAAACAACAGGCAATATGGTGAAAACAACAGGTGAAGATTGCCCTTTGCCTGCTGCTAATGAAACCCCTTAGTCTACCTGTATTCTTATTAAAATCAGTTTCTTTAAAAAATTGTTCTTTTGACAACCAAGGTTTTGACTAAATATCAGCGTTGTAAGAATCCATGTCATAAGTAACTTTAAGAACACCACTCTAACTTGGAACTCGCGATAGTGGATTTTAAATAAAGTAACAAGTTTAATTTTGAAGTAAAACTGAATGTATTTTCAATACTTTTTGAGTAATGTAAATCAAAACATTGTACAATTGGAAATAAATTATGAATGAAATCAATGCCAGAGTATGGACAATACTGTACCAACCTAGCACCTAGGCTTTTCTAATCACTAAGAGTCTGTCCAGTCCAATGTCAGCCCAGGGTTCTCACCAGGAAATTTTTAGACCCAGATTTTTAGCGGTATTTTGACTACGTTTTCGCGGTATCACGACTACTTCTTTCCAATGTGAGATCAGAGATATCCTATTAGTATACTTTTCAACATACTTAGATTATCTTGCTATTTTAATCCCAATATTTATTTCTAAAAGGTTTCTGACTTTCTATTCCTTGTTTGTATCCAGTTGTATGTATTTTCTCAAGAGTTACCGCAAATAATGTGACAAAAATGTAAAATTAGACTCTGGAAAAACACTGACTCCTGAAAAGCTATAACACTCTGGAGCAAAAGGGTTTTAAAACATTAGACTTTGGAGAATCTCCGGAATCTAAAAGCCTAGTGAGAACCCTGCAGCCTATACCATACATATTCTGCTTTGAAATGGCAATACAGTGTAAGCACTATCCATATGTGTTCATGAAATTCAGTATGTAGCTAGAAATAAGAAGGTACCTTGAAGTCACTAGCTATGAGCACTCCTTTGGTTATCAATATCTTCTAAAATATGTGTTTCTGTGTCATATATAGAAGCTCCATGTTTTTTATTTTTACTCCAGTGCTGTACAACTTGTAAATCCAACATGGGTTCTTCTGTTAAATGTTCTCCTTTTCTCTCTAATTCATCAACAACCATTGCCTTCAGCAATGGTGGGTATGTTATCTTAGATGGTACTACATTAGGTTTATAAGCTGGTGCATCATGGGAGCAGAATGCCTCTTCTTCCTCCTTTGGCAACAGGACCCAGTCGGGTTTGTGGGTAGAGAGAGTCAGTTTCTTGATTCCTTCATTCTGACCACGGAACACAACTTCCCCCCAAACTGTTCCACGAAGAACATCCTGAAATATGGTAGAATGTATTATATTATAAAATCGAAGTGATCTTCTCACCATTGAAGAAAGTGGGTGCTATCACTCAGATGAGATTTTGTATACAGACTAGCTCCCACCTGAAACTCAACTGCACATATTTGAAAGAAAATTAGATATTATAATAACTGCATTTTTGAGAAACCTGTTTTTTCTCACTGATTATTCTCACTCTCTGTTTGAGTGATTCACCCTCCATATTGAATACTTTCCGAATTGATGCCTATTACAACCCTCCATCACTGCATCTACATTTTTTGGTGTTTAACGCAGCAGTTATAAAAACACCCTTACATCTATCTAAAATTGATCAATACATTCTGTCGTCTTCCACTATGCCCTGTCGAGTCTATGACAATGATCAGTTTGATCTAAACCTGTCAGATCAAATTATAAAACAGACTTTTCAAAAGTGCTGAATACTCATAAAATCAGTCCGGACATTTAAGCGATATTAATATGTAAAGACACGGTGTTGTCTAAACTGTTAAATATGTCAACTAAATATTCAACATATCATTCAATTCAACAATCAATCTGAAATATACTTTCTGGGCATATTTTCAACAGAACATATCAATATATGCTATCCATCAAATTATTTTCTATAGTGTCACTTGAATGATGTAATAATACTGTTCTATGAGAGACGGGTGCTGAAGGTTGCATTGTTTGAAAGTTCTGTTCAGTTGTACTTTGATGAAAACTGCAAACATTGTGTACAATTGAATTGACCTACCGATGTATTCCTTACAAGCTCAAATATAATAATATCTCCCAAAATATTTGTGATGTGTTATCAATTGGTGAATTTATTTAAGATTTAAAGTGCAAAAATGGGGGAAAATGTTTAAACTCTCCCAAATAATAAAAATGGTAATCATAAAAAATGAAAAATATGTATTACTGTTAAAATCTTTAGATTTCCTGAAATAAAGTTTCCATTTGAGGTATTTTTAAAAAATAGACATGTGAAGAGATTTTAGTTTTTACATCGGAAATATGTCAGCAATTTTCAAAATGTCGGAAGGGGAATTCCCCAGGGATTTCCCTTATGACTGGTGCATGCCAGGAACTGAATGGAGGAATTTGACGGTTGAAATAAGTTAAATATTACACGCAAATATTGCTATCAAAATAGAAAATATCTTCGTTCTGCCGATAAACTCATACAATTGGCGATCTAACAACATAAAAAGAATTCTAAAATACTCTGGAATGTATCGAGGTAGGTCATTTAAAAGTGGAATGCGTAGTTCATTCTCCGGCATTGCAGAAAGACAGGCTTACCAATGAATCAGGCGTACGACCACAATCTAAAGGGGTCGTAGGATGCGATAAGTCTCTGATCACAATACATCTCACGAGTAGACTTCTAGTTGGACCTGTGTGTGACTTTCCGCACCAATTAGAGGTTGCTATACAATATACTTACAAAATCGACTAAAACATATGATGCTCCATGTCATATTGACATGCAGCGTATACAATACCATTTACTTACCGGTTTCGAATAATCTGGAACAGCCTCAGTTATCCTCACATACGAAGGTTCATTGGGGAAAAATCGTTTTCTCGTATCTCTGTAAACGACTCTTCCAACTCCTAAGTCTTTGAGGTTGCACAATATATCAAACAACCTTTTACACTTGTAACGATTGAGTCTCCCGACGTATTTTACAGGCATGATCGGTCTAAAGGGGAATTTTATAATTTTCAAAAATGTTTCATGGGCGCCGCCATTTGTAATTTATTTCATTAGTGCGCATGTGCGAACAGTAAAACAACAAACAGATGCACATTGTGTTTCATTCTGTCTTTACCGAGATAATGAATTGATGCACCTAAAATGAGTATCTTGTTTTGCAACTTTATGAGATAGCTTTGGAAAATGGAAATGTATCATTATATAAAAAGGAATGACCATTCAAGTAATTTCAAATTTTTCCAAGTTTAAGTTTCCCGCAGATTATAAGTGACGTCATCCTTCTTCCTGGCTAAAAAGTAAGTTTGAATATTTTATCTCCATTCTTTGGCCTGTATCTTTGCTAAAATACATTTGTTGTCCCTCCTTTGGGAAAAATAGCAGTAAGTGATTTTGTTGTCTGTAAAATTTTCATATGATATTGAAGGATAAGTTCATAAAGCATTTAGAATAAGTCAAAGTACTCTATTATCGCCCACAACAAGAAAGATAGAGGATTTACCATAGTATGTATCCAACAGACTGACTAGACGTCAGTCTGTTATGATGTACTACTTTCCTGTGGGAATTGCAGTGAAATTTTTTGCACAAAATTATCAATTGGAGGAACCATTTCTTCAATAAAATAAACATTACAAAATTTCAATTAAATAGTAAGGTACAATTAAATGCAATAAAAAGTAACACAGCATATTGTTTAAGTGGAAATAAAGCTAGTTGAAGTAACAAATGTGCAAATTAATTTTACCCAATCGGCCATTTTGAATAGCACTTCCTATGTAAACAAATATTTAGAATTACCAAACTTTAACATAGGTGCCTTATAGTCTGAATATAATTCAGACTAAATAGGATATAGTCTAGGATTTACCATAAGGTATGAGTACCGTAATCCAACACCAAATTCGAAAATTCATAACAATACTTTGCACATATGGCGTTCGTGACCAACTATAAAACGCTTACCCCCCATAGTGTTATATATCAAAATGTACCTGTTCATATAGGGGTTCGATTGATCTACAGTTGGGGACAAAAATAAATGACAGGTCGATTTTCGATCACCATTTCCTAATTATGGTGGTCTGAAAGCCCATAATTTCCAATATTGTCTAGATACATATCCCTTAAAATCTTCAGCAAATCCACCTGTCATTTATTTATGTCCCCAACTGTACATCAAATTATAGGGAGTCAGGCTACTTTTTGAGATATCAGCGTCCATTTCTTGTGACTCGCGTTTGCTACCACTTCCTCAATTCTGATATGATGGGCAAACGCGTAGTAAACATGCTCACGTCGGAACTATTTTTGACCTACATCGCTATTTTCGTAATTCAAATGAAAGTTGAACTCCTCCTCTTTATTTTGATACCAAATAGTGGCATACTAGGTACCCTAGAAGCCAACTATGGCGTTATTTAGAACAAAACCACAAGTTTTTAAATGGACTATATAGGGGTCATACCTTTTGGCGGATGGATATGGAACCTCATACCTTAATGTGTTATGACATCACACTGATTTTTGTCTCTGCAACTTTTTTTGGCAGAAAATATCATTTCTAGTTCAAAAATGCATAAAAACGTCGGAACTGGCTGAATATGTGAAAAATTTATCCATTTAGGCTAGAAAGGGTTAATTTGCCCTACCCCAAATACGTCTAAATATGCTGGTCTAACTTTGCCACTGTGACGTCACAAATCTAACCTGACTATATCTGAGTTTATTGAAGAAAATGATACGTCTGACAAACAGCTTTCATTCCCTATATGGCACACCTTCTACTAAGAGTTGCATCATTGACTAAATCGAAGACAAAGGGCCTGTGTCTCGAGGATTTTGACTGAAATTTGGCCATTTTCGCCCAAATCTAACTAAATTGCAGTTTCCCTCACACCTGTATTTTGAAATAAATATTGCTACAATGTAGCAATTTGAAAATCACACATGCTTACTGTTTCTGTCGACCTGACACGTGTATCTAGCCTGTAAAAATGAAAAATCGCTACATTGTAGCAATATCACTGAGATATGGGCCCTGAAAATCATGTAATTTTAGCAAAAAATGAAGAAATAACCTGCAATTTTGGCGGAATTTCAGAGGGCTTTCTTTCATTCCAGACCCTCCACGGGCCTCTTATGACCATTCTTATACTCACAGAATGGTTGAAAGTGATTTCAAATCATTGTTTGCCCTACGCAGAACGAACAAATCGATTCTGTTCTCAAAATCTGCTAGAATATTGGTCTCTGGCCAACTAGCAGACAATTTTAGGCCTCATATTAAGGTATGAGTACCGTAATCCAACACCAAATTCGAAAATTCATAACAATACTTTGCACATATGGCGTTCGTGACCAACTATAAAACGCTTACCCCCCATAGTGTTATATATCAAAATGTACCTGTTCATATAGGGGTTCGATTGATCTACATCAAATTATAGGGAGTCAGGTTACTTTTTGAGATATCAGCGTCCATTTATTGTGACTTGCGTTTGCTACCACTTCCTCAATTCTGATATGATGGGCAAACGCGTAGTAAACATGCTCACGTCGGAACTATTTTTGACCTACATCGCTATTTTCGTAATTCAAATGAAAGTTGAACTCCTCCTCTTTATTTTGATACCAAATAGTGGCATACTAGGTACCCTAGAAGCCAACTATGGCGTTATTTAGAACAAAACCACAAGTTTTTAAATGGACTATATAGGGGTCATACCTTTTGGCGGATGGATATGGAACCTCATACCATAATTCACCAAGAAAGATTTTATATTGATGACGAGATTTTTGGGCTCAAAATATGACACATGCTCAAAATGCCGATCTTGTCTTTGGAAGCAAATTTGAACGCATCAGGTGGAGTTTTCTGATTACATGCTAACAGATATCCACAGGGACTTGTCTGGAGGGTCGGGCAAGCCCTCCGATGAGTGTGTACTTCTTATTAAGGTAACTTATAACTTAATCAAAAAATCCGAGATGGCCGAAACCAGGAAGCACATAGCATTTGAGTATAATCTGACCATCAAAACTGTCTTTTGGTTGGATTTTCTGTCAATTTTTTAGTTCCACTTATCATTTATATAACCAGGCTCACTGTGGTAATGAAAATAGAAACAGTAAACATTTTGGAATGGGAATTTGAGTCCTCTGAAAATGTGACAGAAAAATTGACAAAAAGAGTAGCACGGCAAAGGTCCCTGAACATTTTTTTTTCTAATTTCTCTGAAACATCCCTTTAATATAGCCCAAAATGGAAGGAGCTTTAGAATTTTGAAATCTCTCATACAAATTAAAAAAAATAGAAAAAAACAAATTGAGAAGTGTACTTTTTTCCTTATTTTGATCCCAATTTTTTTATCGGGTAATTTTTCAAATTTCCGTTGCTCCTTCGTTTTTGATATATGTTTGAAGTATATTTTCTGAAATGTTCAGATATTTTGAAACAGCAGTTTTTCACGGGCTACTCCTAGAAAAAAATCTTCTCAAATTTTTGAAACTGCACTTTTTTTCTCAAACTTAAGTTTTATGTTGTTCTTTGATGTCTTTGTAATGATTACAGTGCACAAGCATATGTGAAATAATAAAAACGACTTCTCAGGAAGAGTTTGAAAATTTCAAGATTGTGAAATTTTCAATTTTTTCTGAAAATCGATTAAGTTAACAGTCACCTTAAGAGTATATGTATGACACATGCTCAAAATGCTGATCTTGTCTTTGGAAGCAAATTTGAACGCATCAGGTGGAGTTTTCTGATTACATGCTAACAGATATCTACAGGGACTTGTCTGGAGGGTCGGGCAAGCCCTCCGATGAGTGTGTATTTCTTATTAAGAGTATATATACTCTTAATAAGAAGTACACACTCATCGGAGAGCTATATACTCTTAATAAGATGTACACACTCATCGGAGGGCTTACCCGACCCTCCAGACAAGCCCCTGTGCAGATATCTTGTGGAATGGCTCTTCCTTCTGATCTCTTGTTCTTCTTTAATTGCTTTAAATGGGCTTATTAGCTTTTGCGGATTATTGATGTCGATGTAGATGTTGTTTCTTGTTGTTGTTGGTATCCATCTGGTGATTTTATGTCACCTAATAGTCTCTCTGTGCTGGTTTATCACTAGGCTCCTATATCTCTTTGTGCTGTCACTTGTTGTAAATGCTAGGTAAAAGTTTCTAAAATCCGCAGTATAAAAACAAGTTCAATAACACTTAATTGTTCTTAAAATCATCCTAAATCCATTCCACCATCCAGTTCTGAGCACGATGCTTCAATTGTTCAATAATAATTTTTTCCTTTTTTTTCCATATTATAAAGCAAAAATATTTACACCATGGTATTCTCAGTAGTTTGTTCAATTTGGAATTTCGAAGCTTAGCCAAACATCAGCTTTCTAACAAAGATCATCAAAAAAGGATTTTATCAAAGTCTTCCATACAAATGAAATGCAAATTAAGATCCACAATATGTTATCAAATGGTTAAATGCACTAAATGTGTCGATATGTTTTCCTTAATAATGTGTGAGGAGGCCTTTAAAAAAAAGTCCAAGGCACGATTTTTCTTTTTTTCCTTATTTCACACGATAGGCAGAATTCCCAAGATTTAATCCCTCACTTAAGTTACCGAAACGATATTTCGAAAAACAGTTAATATCTGCACTTTTAACCCTTACCATTTATGTAACTTAAGTGAGGAATTAACTTGAATTGACGATTCTGTTGTCTTCTGAGATATTTTTTCGCAAACATGTACCTTTTATAAAACATATGATACTGATATACATTTGTGAGAAAAAATGTCGTGGGGATTCTGCCTTCAACGAGCAAAATAAGCAAAAAAAGAAAAATCGTACCTTTGACGTTCCGACATTTTGTTACCGAAACGAACCATTTCGGTAACCAGCGTAATCGAGCGGATCACCGGTGATAATGGAATTTTATATGTTTATGAACAAAGTCAGCTTACAACATTATATATATATTGACTCTTTTATTGTCTCTTTGGATGTCATGGGATGACATATGCTTTACTTGACAATGACATATAAGTCAGTACAGAAATAAAGCTAACTACACTGCATTATACTACACTACACTACACTATGCTATCATTATACCTAAATACAGTATATACAAAATATATGTTATTTACATATTTTTTTTATACATACCACGATACCAGTAATACTTAGGGTAGTGTGATACATCCAGAATGTTCTTCAGGTAAGCTCATGTTTAACTCCCAAGTTATTTTTGGAAATATTTATCTTTTGATGACATTAACATTTGCATTTATAGTATGATTTTTATTAATACTGTAAGTCGTTATTTTATCTGCTATTTGGTATTTTATCTTGATTGCTATCTGGATTTTTTGTCTGAACCAGTTGTGGATCTGTAGATCTTGGAAAATGATTCAATATTGACATTTTACTTGTTTTTTTCAAATTTTTTTGGACAAAAAATCTTTGCTCGGAATCCCCGGAGATTTATTTACTTATTTTGGCTGTTGTAATCAATCCACCAAATCCGCCAAATAAAATGGCCGTCAAATCAAAGCAAGTTACAGTATAAATTTTGTCGATGATGATTTCAAACAATATTTTTCTATTTTCATAGTGCATTTTGCAATTATTTTACATGTATACATCTAGTGTCTGGCACAACAGGATATTTGGCACTACCTACATGGCCAGGCCTGTTGCCAAATTTTGCCAAGGGGATTCACTTTTCAAAAAATTCAAGGGGGCTCACATTTGACAACTTTGGGCCAAATTTTTTTTTATAATCTGTTTTATTTCATTATATACAAGTACAAATAGTTTCTGATATAAGTGACCAATCTCTATGAGAGGATAGCATTATAGGTTCACTTTAAATATAAAAAGAATATTGAGTATGTGAAAAAGATGTATTTTTCTGACAAAGGGGTTTACTGGTATTTGCTGGGTAATGGTGCTGGGGCAAGGTTATAAGATGATCTGTTGGAGCATAAAGAGGCCATCTTGAGCATTAAGTGGAATTGTCTGATAAAAAAATTGTAACTAGTTTGAAAATCATAATGTTCTGTTCAGTTGAAAGATCAGGATGACCAAATAAAAATGTTTTGATTAGACCATTTTTGTCCATTTGAAGGTTACCTAATAAGTGGAGGAGTTGACATTTAGATTATGAGAGTTCAGGTTGAGACCACAATTGAGAAATATGTGCTTGACAGTTTCGACTTCGCCACATTGACAGTTTGGTGAGTCTACATTTGTGAAGTTATGAGCAATCATTTGTGATTTTAAAAATTGGGCCAAAATCACGAGTCGATTACTCTGAACGAAACGTCCGGAGACTGCAAAGTCAAAGGTCATGATCCGCTAATTTCATTGCTCGAGGATTACATCATAGCGTATGTATAGCATCATATTGGCGGAAGATTGCTCAAACAAAATTTCAACAATTTCTGATAAAACTAGCGTGAATCTTGACAAAATTGACAGTTTCTCAGCCTCCGATATTCCACCAGCGCTCGAGCATATTTACATGATTCATTCTATTCAATAATCAGAAAGATAATCAGAGATTCAAAGTTACATTATTTATATTTTTTTCGATCTTCAATGGCGTCTGAGCAATTTGTGGGAAATCAGTGACGTCACTGGAATTGGACGGCATTTCCAACTAAAGATTTTTTCGGATTTGGGGATTATAGTTCAAAAAGCCTTTTTGTATATCTTAATATCATACATATCTATCATTTGTGCAAATGTAACACTATATAAATGTTTAATAAAGCCGTAGTGCGGCATTGAAAATCGCACTCCTGTGTAATCCAATGGGAAAGAACCCGGATGTAGACGAAGTTGTACCTCTCATGAGAACTCTTCAAGTGTGAAGTAACTAAACTGAACTAAACTAAAAATCTATCGCGTATTGGCTTATTGAAAAGTGCTCAGAATGGTACAAAAACTGCGTGATTTTGAAAGAATATTTGGCCAGGGGGGTTTACTGGAACCCCTGAAACCCTAGGCTATAGGCCTGAAAGCAACCTTAAAATAATAACTAATCACGTACAAATAGTATACTAGTACACATTCATATCTGAGATGCAAAACGTCTGTAAATTTCAGATAAATCAGTTTAAATGTGCAGTTAACCGACAGGCCTCTTGCAATTTATTAAGTTTCAGCAATGTTGATATTTTAGAAATAATGTGTCAAAGACGCATCAAAATACAAGAGGCCACATTCCCATCAGCTAAACCACAAACAATCCTAAATATACAGACATTTTCGCATTTAAAATATTAATTTATTTTCCATATAATATTGTAAGATTCAAGATTTTCAAGCCTAAATCACAAAATCAATTACAAGACACAATTATACACATATACGGTAAAATGAATCATTTTTCAAATAGCCAAAGTTGATTGGAAAGTTTATGCATAAATTGTATCAATTTGTTTACAATTTCATAATCATCCGAAATCTTAAAAACTTAAACTTTTCTTTATCATCCAACATATTTTCAAATGAGTCAATAAAACTTAGTTTGTTAAAAAATTCTGCAATCTTTATGACAATCACATAAAAGAAGAAAATGCTTTTCATCCTCCACTTCCCCCTTATTGCAAATTTGACAAATTCTGTCTTTTATTTCAATTTGATGCATATGTGGTCTTTTAGTTATTTTGTAGGTTTGGTTGACGCACAATTAAATTGACTAGGACTGTTACTGTCGTCAACTTTAGTTACATCAACATTCCTATCACTCTCATCAGTGTCATACAAACTGTCTAAAAATCTCTGTATTTTATTTTGGATTGATTAATCAATTTTTCAATATAGCAACAAGTTTTCCAAGCAACTGGATACAGTTGGTCCATCACTTTTTTCATGAAATATGAACAACTGGACCAAATTGGTCAAACAGACCAGTCATGTTGGGTCAAGTGGGGATTTTTGGTCCCTGGACCAATGCTTATGCTGCACCCTGTGTGTTAGGTTAAAATGATATATGTATGCAATATGGAATTGTCTCTAAATTTGGGGACAATGAAGAGCCAATGGTCCTCCCCTAATATATAAGTAGAATGTATTTATAACGTTCACACAACAACATATTCACCAGGCAGAAAAACCATCAATACAGAAAGATAATTTTTTATTACAAATTATATTATATGGACAGATTAATGAACAATTTGTCAAATCACAAAAATGTTTTCTTTCAGAAAAATGCTAAGAAAAAATAGTTTCCTTATTTTTGTCTTCTTGATTTTGATGATCACAGTGTTGTTTTATTCAGAAAAAGTTACAATAAAACCAATGAAGACTTCACAAGAAGCAAAATCAGACCATATTACAGGAGATATGTTGACAACAGGAAAAAAGGATTACACGAAGAACTTTCTTTATATAGTGAATTCTGATCAATGCATAAGAGACTATTTTGTGCAAACAGACATGTTTGGAGACCCAGAGAATTTGGACGTGTTGGTACTGAGTTATAACACTCCCTGCGAAGACTTGAAGTTAAATCATGTTAAATACGTATTTGGCCCAAATACAACTTGGGCATCGGGAAGAAACGTTGCTTGGACATATGCGCAGAAACATCTTGGGAAATACTTGTATTATGTTTTCCTTGATGAGGATATCGTATTGAAACCAACACTGCCAAGAATTCTGAGTAAAGATGCATTGAATAAAGTGAACCCGAATATTTCCATACTGAGACAATTTGAAAATTTTCTACTGGATACACGACCTGCTGTTGGTGCGCCTCTACGATCAGTGTTTGACCCTTTGGGTATTTCCGACTTTGACGAGTGTTGCCCAGGAGAAGACAATCATGACAAACAATGGAATCTCACAGAACGAATCCCAATGATACGATTTGATGAGTGTTTTGCAGCATTCCATAATAAAGCTATTGGGTATATAATGCCAATAGATGTTCAATATGACGCAATAAGTTGGTGGGGAGCAGGGCGGTACCTCCACATGAAATCATACTATTATTTTCACCGTCAGCTTGCACGATATACTCCCATGACTGTACATAATCCCCAGCATAAAGCTTATCCCCAAGGAATTATTCCATATGTGGATATAATTAATAACATCAGATTCAAAGTTCCAATGTCTTATAGAAATTCAACAATCTTTATGCAGGATCTTAAGATTATGGCTGGTGATGGATTTTCAAGTCATATTCATATTCATCCATTGAAACCAACTTTTGAATTAGCTCCTATAAATGATGAAATAGTTCCTTTCAAATATATTAACACCAAAAGACATTTTAAATAATCGGTTTATTATCTATAAAACCATATTTATTATTATTATAGAGCTGTTCCAAAAGGCTTACCTATAGGATTATGATATGGATGAGACAGGTGTTTTCCAGCATGCATTCAGACATTTCAGAATTTCAATCAAATAAAGTCCTACTTTGAGGACATCATTTGAACTGGCATTAGCATTATCATACATGAGTACATTCTGTATGTTGTATCAGATTTGGCAAATTTTGAATCGTGAATCTCAAGTTTTGTATATCTGGATACATTGTCAGAAAAAATTCTTTGATATTTGGGCGTTCGTAAACTGAAAGCTTCTTAAATCCATTCATTAACAGTGTAAACCATTAAAAAAGAATCATACATACTTTTAGTGGTCAAGCAATTAATAAACATGTACATACATGTACATTAATTTGTAAAATGTGATGTTGTACAAATGTATGAATGTGCAAATCTTGTTAAGGTATGATTTGGTGTATTTGTTTCTATATATTGTTCTGGGAGAGACTTTATTGCTTATTATATACTTTAAATAAGGAATAAATTCATCAATTCAGTTTTGAATTGATTTATAAAAGAATTTATGTTTGTCTTTGATTGAATCAGCGAGTTTGACCAAAAGGGCTAGTATCTCCAATTTTGATTCTGATTATACATTCTGATTGTAAGCTTTGCAACTACATAATTAACATCAATGAACTTTGAGACAAAACTTCTTTTTTGTAATCATTAAAGCTCATGTAGAAAGTAAATTATTTGCCTTTTAGAATTATAGGAAAATGCGAGAGTTGTGAAATTCAATTTTGTACTTACTTACTCTGTTACTAGCTGAGGAGTTTTTTTCAATATTTTCATAAAGAATAGACCAAAATTTCATGTATTTGAATTCAAAACATTTTGTCTTATGATCAAATGTACAAACACAACCCTTGAAAATAACTAATATTATACATATTTGGCTGAATTTTGACACCAACCTTGTCATGTGTCAGTAGAGCCTGTCATGGTTCAAAGATGTGCCTTTTGGTGTCAACCTAGAGCATTTTACAATATCCGGGAACCTTAAAGTAGTGTGCTCTAAGCACAATATTTACATGTTTGGGGATATAACCTGAAATCAACCTTGATGATGTACAAGTACAGGGTGTTCCAAATATAAGTATAAGTTTAATAGGCAGTGTATAAAAAACCTCCTACCTCATACCCACCTACGTGGGACATGATACAGTCATTGAAGGGTTCTATTTTAAAGATTTTAAATCTCAATATAGCTCTAATTATTAACATTTCTACTATTCCGGCTTTATTTTATGACTAGATGGATGACAGATCTATAAACAAAGGCATATGGGTGCATTGTAATGTGTAATCACTAGTAATCAGGATATGGTGTGAATGGGACATTTCTGGTGTTACTTGGTATGAAAAATATTTTTTCTACCATCTAACACCAAGTCACACCACAATCATGGTGTGACTTGGAGTGAAAGGATTAAGAGATTAAACCCCTGCTGTCTAACACTAAGTCACACCATACTGCTGGTGTGAGATGGTATGAAAAACAAAATTAATCCCTTTGATCTCTACAAGCCAAATTCCACACCAAGTCACACTGAAAGGATGGTGTTACTTGGTAGTAAAATATTAAACTTCATTTTCTTAGTCCTTGATTGCATTTTTACACTCCCTTTGATCCCGAACTCTAAATGACACATTTGATTGATACATACAAGCCATACATGTCAGTGAGACTCTGGGCAGGTAATTAAAATATCACGCCATATGAGAAGTTTATCTATAGGCATACTGGCATTGAGAAGTTAATTAAATTGTCATTTGCTCACACTTCAATGAGACTTTGTGCAGGTCCTTATGATATACCATATATTGAGTAGTTTATCTATGGGCATATCTGCCCACCCTTAGCAACATTCATGTATTATAAACTTGGCATTGATGAGATGTTGTCATTCACACATACTAAGTTTGATAGCAATGAACATTAGAACTCATCTTCATCTGCCAAAGTTACTTTTAGCTTATCAATTCAGCTTAACCTGTTGACACATGAAACTCCACAATCACGCTTGGTGATTGGAAAAAATGAATGGAGGGGAGCATCTGATTTTTGCTAGAAAATTCATCAAATCTGCAAGATTTATTTTTTCACTAGAAAGTTTACGAACAGATCTCATATTTCTAATTTTTTCTTAATTGATATACTTCTAAGGTGTGAGATCTGTTTAAAAAGGTGGAATGTCACCAGCATACAAAAGTCAATCTTTTTGTTATAAACAAGAAGCAGAGGTCTACGACCTGTAAATAATGTACACAGATGACATTATAAACAGAAAATGAATGTTGTTGCTGTTTTTATTAAATGAGTTACAAAATGTCATGAAAAACAATTCGAATATTACAGTGAATGGAGGGGGGAGTAAGCAATCTAAAATTACTCCCTACCCCCCTCTTCCGTTTATTTAGTTTATTAATAAACTTTCTTGTTAAAAATAAATCCCCCTCTATTCATTTTTTGATAATTAGTATGAAATGAAACTGATCAAAATATGAATGGATAAAACAAAGTTCAAAATGTTACTATATTTAAATAATAAAAACAAAAATTAAGTTTAATTACATTTGTAAACATATTGACAAAGGTCCATGTGCAGTATGGCAAGTGATTTTAGATGGTAATATCTTTCACCATAAGTACTTTCTGGGCATAAATACAGTGGTTTTTATTAAAACAATATGTTTGCTTTTAATTGAAGTCCCCATGATGATAAAAATAGGGACCCCACGTCAACAATTTTTTTCAAAATGTTGAACTTATTTATTGAAAGTCTAGTTTTGAAGAGATCAATTTTCGATGACCAAAATCATGCTGAAAACAATGGATAGCACGAGTTTTCCCTACAGGAAAATAACATGGGAAATGTGTTTTTTACCTTTATCGCATTTCAATACACATCCCCTTTTCAGAAGTTATTATCCCATCGAACGAAGTTCGGAGGGATATAGGGAACGCCTCCGTCCGTCCGTACGTACGTATGTCTGTCCCTCTGTCCGTCCGTCCATCCATCCGGGGAATAACTCAAATACCGTTGGCCCGATTTTGTTCATATTTTGCACACATATACCCTATGGGGGTAGAAGTTCTGCTCGAAAGCCAATTTTCAAAATGGCCGCTAATTTAAAAATGGTGGCCATTTTAGCGACGATTTTACAGTAATTTAGGTTCTGCATGTAAAACTGTAATAGCAATATGTTTTAAATGTAAAAAAGTTATATAGGACATTGGTTAAGCTAAAAATGTAAATATAGGAGAAATACATGGCAGCCATCTTGAAAAATGGCTGCCTTTGCAAGTCATTTTGCGATTTTTGCTGTAACTGGAAAAGTAGTGGAGCGATTTTGTTCATATTTGGTATGTGAATACTTTAAGCATGGTACAAAAAATCAGCGAAAAATTATATCCATTTTTTTTTTATTTTCAGCCATTTTAGTTAACATTGATTTGTCTATCTGACTCGCGAAATCCACTTTCCGTCAATAACAGTGGCACGTTTTAAAACCTCTGTCGATAGGATTCCTGTTTTAAGTTATTTCTGTTCAACATCAATACAGAAAACTCCCCTATGACTCCTGGTTCAAAAGCTCGTCTATTTTCAAAATGGCCGCCATTTTTGTCTCGCGAAATTCACTTTTGACCCATTTCCTAGCTTTACAAATAATTTCAAGTGTCCTACATTGTAAAAATCCATGTCAATGTAAAGAGTAGATGAATGAAATAATTTTGTTACGAAAAATCAGCGAAAAATTATATCCATTTTTTTATTTTCAGCCATTTTAGTTAACATTGATTTGTCCACTTGTCTCGCTAAATCCACTTTTGGACCATTTACCTTAAACTTGTTCAATATCAATACAAAAAACTCTCCTATGACTCTTGGTTCAAAAGCTCGCTTATTTTCAAAATGGTCGCCATTCTTGTTTCGCGAAATTCACTTTTTGCCCATTTCCTAGATTTACAAATAATTTCAGCTGTCCTGCATTGTAAAAAGCCATGTCACTGTAAAGGGTAGTTGAATGAAATAATTTTGTTCCAAAAAATCTGCAAATTATTATATCCGTTTTTTTATTTTCAGCCATTTTAGTTAACATTGATTTGTCCATCTGTCTCGCGAAATCCTCTTTTGGACCATTTGCTTAAAACCTCTGTCGATAGGATTCCATTTTCAAGTTATTTTTGTTCAACATCAATACAAAAAACTCCCCTAGGACTCCTGGTTCAAAAGCTTGCCTGATTTCAAAATGGTCGCCATTCTTGTTTCGCGAAATTCAATTTTGGCCCATTTCCTAGCTTTACAAATAATTTCAGGTGTCTTGCATTGCAAAAAGCCATGTCACTGTAAAGAGTAGTTGTATGAAATAATTTTGTTACAAATAATTGGCAAAAAATTATATCCGTTTTTTTTTCAGCCATTTTACTTAACATCGATTTGTCCATCTGGCTCTCAGTCAGTCCAAAATAGTGGCAAGTGGCTTGAAATAATTCTGTTACAAAAAATCAGCAAAAAATTATATCCGTTTTTTTTCTGACACCATGTGAGCCCAGTACCCACGGTAATAATTTTTACATTTTTTACTATAACTCGAAAAGTATTGGAGCGATTTTGTTCATATTTAATATGTGAATACTTTTAGCATGGCACATTGTCTAATAAAACTTTGGGGAGTAGTCGGCCATTTTGAAAAACGGCCACCATTTTTATGTGTGTTATTTTACATTTTTTATTGTAACTCAAAAAGTAATAGAGCGATTTTGTTCATATTTGATATGTGAATACTTGTAAGGATTGCATACTATCTTATGACATTTTGGGTAGTAGATGGCCATTTTAAAAAATGGCCACCATTTACATGTACGTGTGTGCGATTTTTAAAAAATTTATACGTGGCTACTTAAAAGTATATCACTTCTTCTGATGACAACTTAGCTAGTGAGCAATCATTTTGAAAATGGTGGCCTTTCTTATGTGTGTTATTTTACGATATTTGCTATATATTTCGTTTGTAAAAATGCCAGCCATTTCTGTTCGATGGGATTCGCTACGCTTTGGCGTTGCCGTTGTTCTGGTTAATATAGTGTAGAAGAAACGTTTGATATATTTAAAATGAGAAAAACAAGATCCTCTTTTAAGAAAATAAGCCTTACATTTTTAAAAAAGTGACATGGTGGGGTCCTAATCCATAATTTTTCAGAGAGTTAGATTGATATTTTACTATCATGGGGACCTCACTTTAAAGAAAACATTGTTTTAGTATTTATACCCAGAAGGTACTTATGGTGAAAGATATGACTGTCTAAAATCATTTGATGGACCTTTCTTAAGAAAAAATGTGATCATAAGATCAAAGTAATTGTAAATAGCAATCAAGAGCTTTGAAAATCAAGTTTCAGTATAATTTTCTATCAGTAACACCATCCTTTCAGTGTGACTTGGTGTGGATTTTGGCTTGTAGAGATCAAAGGGATTAAATTCAATTTTCATACCATCTCACACCAGTGGTATGGTGTGACTCAGTGTTAGACAGCAGGGGTTTAATCTCTTAATCCTTTTACTCCAAGTCACACCAGGTTTGTGGTGTGACTTGGTGTTAGTAGTAAAATTATTTTTCATACCAAGTAACACCAGAAATGTCCCATTCACACCATATCCTGATTACTAGTGAATGACCCAATGGCGCCCCAGGGGAATAACTAACTAACGACCACGAGCATAGGTCCAACCAGCCAGATAAAGAAATTGAAAGATAGTGTGCTAAATTCGATGCCCCGAGTGGGAATCGAACCCAGCTGGGCTGTAGTAGCAACTTGCTATCAAGGGTCGTTACAAATGCAACTATAATTCATCATAAACTAAGATTTAATTAACTAAGATCTTTAAAATTGAACCCTTCAAAGACTGTATCATGTCCAACGTACGTGGGTAGGTGGGTATGAGGTAGGAGGTTTTTTATACAAAGCCAGTTTAATATCTACTACCAACTAAAGTGCAATGTTGTATAATTCCCTTTAATTCTATACAAATACCAATTTACAAGTCTGGAAGTTATTATCCCAACGAACGAAGTTCGGTAGGGATATAGTGAAGCCCTCCGTCCGTCCGTCAGTCAGTCTGTCCGTCCGTCCGGAAAATAACTCAAATACTAGTAGACGGATTTTCTTCATATTTAGTGGAAAGATGTATATTGGTGAATAGTTTTATGCAAAAAAGATGGCCACCGCTTTAAAAATGACGGGACTTTTTCGCAAAAATCATGAATTTTTCATTCTTAACCAAAGTAATTAATATTATTGTTTGAAATTTTGGTAGTATATTCACAACATTTATCTATTTCACATATAGTCCGTGTTTTTCAGGAAAACAGAAATTTTCGCTAATTTTTAGATCTTTCGGAAGTATAGCTTTATTATACTCAAATGAAAGGCAATTAAGAGTAGATTGCAAATATTGAATCTTTTTTCTGATTCGAGCCTCGTAAAATTCAAAATGTACGATTTCGCAATCACTTTTCGATCCCTTCAAAGTATGGCTATATTATACTCAAATTGAAGGAATTTTGGAGTAGATCACAATTATGGTATTATTTTTCAGATTTGTACCTCAGAAAATTCAAAATGGCTGCTTTGCAGGAATTCGCATTTCTAAAATCTAATTTTTTCAATTTTAACCAAAGTAATGACTATAATTGATTGGAATTCGGTAATTGATATTTTGTTCGTGGGATTTGCTATTCCGCGGAGTTGCCATTATCTAGTTTTTAACTGGTATGGTTTGAAAATTGATAATTGAAAGATGGCGTGAATGTGAAAAGAACGAAATGAAGTCTCAGGAGGATTTCCCTGGGAATAATATTTATCCACAGCCCCCCTTTTCAAAGATTTTTTTTTTGTTAGATATTTAATTTAATGATGCAAATATGGCTCTCAGATATCCTCAGAATGTACCTTTTTGCTTGAGATGTCAGCGGCACAAGCCATCCATACACAAAATCCCCCCCCTCTTGAAAATCCTTGGATCTGGCCTGACCCGGGAATGATATTGGAATGATATATACAGAATATCACATCATTTTGAGTGATATCATTTTTATCGCCGAGTTGATATCAAATATCAACACGAGTGAGCGAAGTGAATGAGTGTTGATATTTGATATCTACGAGGAGATAAAATGATATCACGAGAAATTATGTGATATTGGGTTTATCCCATGATTACAATCACCTTGTGATGTTTTTTTTAATTTTAATTAATTTGCACCGGCCATTTTGATTTGTACTTTACTCACTGCGCAGTAATATGCACTACTTTCTGTACATGATAAAGTTCGTCATAAATACCATTTTTAATCGTTAGTTAGCAGCCTTCTAATCAAATTATATACACAATCATGATTCAATAGACCAATGAAACTTAAAGAGAATAAATTAACGGACCTATTTTCTCAAAAAAAGAATAAATTATCTGACCTAATTTCCAACAATATTGTGGCGCGAAATGCAAATGTGATATCACACGGATATGCGTGAGATAAACGATATCACACGCATATGAGTTTGATAAACGATTTTCTGGAAAATATCACACGGATTTCAATAATATCAGAAATATCAATAGCTGTTATTGTACAGATAACACATTAATCGTGGGATAAGTATCATTATCAACTCAATATCCCAATATCATCCGTTATCTGACCTGATCCCAAATATGTGATTTATTACTTCCTATTGGTTACCAGTGATATAACTCTGACAATGCTATAAACTGTGTTTTTGATGAATGGCTAAACCATAATGAAATAAGATTGCTAAACTGTAGAAGTGACCCATCTTATTTCTTCTGTTCTTCTGTTTACAGTTATCAACATGAAGCAGTGGCTTGAAAGAGGGAATAATGATAATAACTTGTGGCGGATTTCTGTCCCAGATGTATGTCTTATACCAGATACATCTCAAGGATACCTGATAGGCCACTATAACATCAACAAGCACTCTGTCATTATTACAGGAGTTGTACATACAATTGATGATGTCATACTTAGGAAATTACCCACTTCACCCAACTTTGGTATCTTAGGAGAACTATCACATGAAACAGGTGCTATCAATCTGAAAAATAGAACTTTTCCATACTGGATATCTATAGATATCATCCACTCTGATTTGCCAAAAATAACAATGATCTCAAAATCGGAGAAAAATGGACATGCCCAGGAATTAAAATTGCTGATAATTATCTACAACCCGGGAATAATGTTTGCATCTAAGTTGCTAGAATCTAATTTATCAGACTCAGAGTCAATTTTGTCAGTGAATAATCTGAAATACTCACAGACTGAAATGTACAAGCTCAAACATTTGGATATAGGTGGCTCATGTATCACAAACTTTTGTCCAGATGTTAAAAAAAGTGGATTCAGTATACCTATGTGTATTCGGGCAATAGTAATTAACCAACTAGTCTCTCCCTGGTTTAAGATGGCAGATAATATAAGCCACTCAAAGTAAGTGACATTATATCATTGCAATTTATTCACTTTATACATGTTTCTAGACATCATGAACTGAAAAGATATGTTCATATTTAGAAAACATTTATTTGCAAACTGCGACATTATACCACTCACCATAAACATTGCTCAATATTTTTAAATTTTTTATTCACTATGCAAAATAATTTGTGTCATCGTTTGTATGACTACACAGTAATTCAATATGATGTTTATGTGTGTTTGCATTTCAGACTATGGAAAAGTGCTCTATTCCAAAAGGCTCTCTATATTCCCTGTGTTACCTGTCAGTTGCAAAAGAAATTCTCTCGACTCAGGAATGTGCTGTTCAATGAACCAGTCACAGATATAGACAAATTAAGGTAGGTGCAGAGGTGCAGAGTTGCAATATTTTGCGCCACTCATTTCTATAAAACATGTTTAATTTATGAATTCAATTTTAAAAATTTGATAATTCTTTTTTTGATATTTTGCAGCTTGATGGTTTCATTATTTCAGAGTCTGTTAATATCAAATTAACATGTTTTACAGTATATAGCATCTACATACATGTTTATCTCGACTATTTTTTCATGCAATATATAAGGGTTATGTACTGGGAGGTTTTGGATACAGGGTTTATCCCAAGGGAAATATGTGTATCTCCCGAGGGACCGAGGGAGATACACATATTTCCCGCGGGATAAACCCTGTATCCAAAACCGACCGTACATAACAGATGTATTTCATACCTACAGAGGTTCTAGGTACATCATACCTTATAAAGTTCCAAAATTCCAAAACAAACTTAAGGTATGCGTTTCTTGGTCTTAAAGTAAGCGAGATTTTCAAAAAATTGAAAAAAATGTGAAAAAAAATTTAAAACAAATTTGAAAAAAATGTGAAAAAAGTTTTTTAAAAATTTTTAAAAAAATTTGAAAAAAAGTTTGAAAAAAAAATTTGAAAAAAAAGTTTGAAAAAAATTTTGAAAAAATTCTGAAAAAAAAATTTTGAAAAAAATATTTGAAAAAAAATTCTGAAAAATTTTTTTTGAGCGGGACCGGGATGGATACAGCGTGTATCCATCCCGGTCCCTAGATACAGTATATATTCCCGCTCATTATGTACCTAGAACCTCAGTAGGTATAAATACATAGAGATTATCCTATATGAGGTTCAGGATATTGGGATTATCCCGAGGCCAATACAATATATCTGCCCGAGGGCCGTAGGTCCCGAGGGTAGATATCTTATATTGGCCAAGGGATAATCATCCTGAACCGACTATAGGATGATCTGTTTATCCCATTCCAATCACATTCTCCAATTGGCCACAGTTCTGAAACTTTGCAACAAACCGTGGAATTATTTTGAAATATTCATGTCCAGTTTTGTATTCTTGTCCGTAGCCGGTTTTTGATATTAACGGGGCATACTGCTCCTTCCCTTCTTTAAAGCATCAAACAGATCGCGATTGTCTGCGTTTTTCTCCATTGTCGTTTACAGTATGCGAACGTTACATAAACGAACCAATATGGGAACAGCGATTATGACGTAGCGGGCAGATATACTATATCTGCCCGCTCGGAGCGGGACGTAAAGCTATATCTGCCCGCTGATGAAAATATAGGTTTCTACAAACCGACTTTATGTACCTGTAACAAGTCCAAGTATGGGATAAAATATCTTATTAGCCTTAATATATACAAACACGTGTTAATCTGAGCACTTTTGTCCAGTCCTAGTAGAGTTCAGACAGGTTTTACTCATCATGATAACCATGATATCTCATTTCTTCTCAGCCCTGTTTCAGGTGAAACAGAAAGATGCTAGAGTATCTGAATGGGTTTTACTTTATACAGTCCCATTCTGAATGGTCTGATCTCTTCTTTGCAAATAATCTTACTAGAAAATAACTGTTAAAAAGATGATGGCTCAATTCAGGTTTTACAGCTTTTACCATATCTTTTTTTCTCTGGGTTGGGTCTAACCAAATCATCCTAATACTATCTGACTATTGAGGACAAATAACACAGCATGAGATCAAAGCTATTCCATGAGACATGTTGAAGTGTACAGTGTAGAATTTTAATGTCCATATTCAGGCCTGTAGCCAGGATTTGCCAAGGGGATTCACCTTTTTAAAAAATTTATTGGGGTTCACTTTCACTACTTTGGCCCAAAAAGGGTCAAAATCACTTATAAATGCTCAGAATGATGAAAACCAGCATGATTTTGAAAGAATTTTTGGCCAGGGGGGGGTTCACTCGAACCATCTGGCTACGGGCTCTATGTTTCATTGTTACAGCAGAAATTGCAAACCATTTGGATCTTGGACTGAGCTCCTCACTGTCTAATATTATAAACCATAAAGAGATGGTGGATATGAATCAATCAATATATGAGCCAGGCCACAGGAAAAGGGGTCTTGTCACGGATTTTTTCAATATTCTGATTTTTTGTTTATCTTAAAAAGCACAGAGAGACCTTTCAAATAAGCCATGGCTTGTGTCTTAACAATTTTGCCTTGCATATATAAACCAATAAGTCGGATTTGAATTAAGCACATTTTCCTCTTAATCTTGGGCACATTTTTGGCTCTGTAGCACAATTTCAATTTTTGTGATAAGACCTGTTTTCCTATGGCCAGGCTCATATACAGGACCTGTAATAATATGCCCACTATTTTTATTAGTCATTAGTATCACATTAGAAAAACTGTGATGTGTATGGTATAAATTTTTCCATACTTGGAAAAACATAAACTCCTCCTTTCTTTAACCTTATTACACCCAAGTTCTTTATCATGCTTTCCAGCTTTTGAATGTCCTTGTTATACTGTGTTATATCTTCTTCCTCAACTTCTTCGTATTGGTATGCCAAAGTGATGTGATATCCTATTTGCATCAGAGCATCGTCATCATGACCAAATATTTTTGTGCATTCATTTCGGAATTGATCAACTTTATCCTTGTCTTGACGTCCAAGTATATCGACAAACAAAGTGAGATGTGGCGATCTAAATTCTAGCTTTGGGATGACTTTAACTGAAATTTCTGAAAGCTTATTTTTTGCTAGATTATCTGCAGATTCTAGCTCTGTATGTAAGGCTTCCTTAGGGAGCCAATAACTGCTGTTTAAATCATTCACCCCTGTCCTGTTCATCCATTGCATTATGGGAGGTATGAGAGAATCTTTGTGGCACCAAATATTATACAGCGTCATGTGGTATGACGATACAGGAAGTGGAGAAAAATATTTCTTCAAAGTTGACGATGCTATGAATCTCTCCAGATCTTTGAGTTGGTCATTATTTTTGCACATCGCAATGCAAGTATATCCATAAAATGGCAAGTATTCCCCTTTCTCATTTATCTTTTGAAGTTTTTTCTTCATTGAATGTCTATTATTCGAAGGTGTATTGGAGTATCTGAGTATTGAGGGTAAAACTTTTGCAGTTCTCCAAATTATCACTCCTATTGCGATGCCCAATATAACAACTTTAACTATTTCCCGATTAGAATTCATTTTTGCTATGGGTTACACAGGTGCAATCTGGAAACAATTGTTTCAATGATTAGATGTATGCATTTAACATAGTGAGTACATTGGTCACCACTAAAGATAGCATTTGGAGTTGGCATCAGCTTTCAGTGTTGCAAAATGTTGCATTTTTGGAACCACTTCAATAACCTACCAGGTGTTGACATTTTGCCATCTCAGTGGCTTGTTTAAAGCTTTATTTAGATTTAGACATGGGCAACTAATAATTGAAAGCCCATGGATTTCCACCTATAATATAACTGTTCAAGTAACTGAAAGAAGCTTATAAATTATATTAAAGTTTTTACTTACATGTGAATCTGTGTATAGTATTTGTTTTATAGTGTTGTAGTCATGCCATTTGAAGTTACTATTCTTGGCTATAATGAAGTTTCAAACTCTTGTTAAGAATCTACATTGAATTAATTGTTGTAGAATTCTTCACTAAAGTTCCAAAGGTGTTATGTTATGTTTAGTCTGTAAGTGGCACTGTTATCTATAAACACTTAGGCCCTCTGCAAATAAACATCTGTTGAGAGTTAGGCCCTTAGAAATTAACATTTGTTTAGGGTAAGGCCCTTGTAATTCAACATCTGTTTAGGGTAAGGCCCTTGTAATTCAACATCTGTTTAGGGTAAGGCCCTTGTAATTCAACATCTTTTAGGGTAAGACCCTTGTTATTCAACATCTGTTTAGGGTAAGGTCCTTGTAATTCAACATCTGTTTAGGGTAAGGGCCTTGTAATTCAACATCTGTTTAGGTTAAGGCCCTTGTAACTCAACATCTGTTTAGGGTAAGGTCCTTGTAATTCAACATTTGATTAGGATGAGGTCCTTGTAATTCAACATCTGTTTAGGGTGAGGTCCTTGTAATTAAACATCTGGTTAGGGTAAGGCCCTTGTAATTCAACATCTGTTTAGGGTAAGGCCCTTGTAACTCAACATCTGTTTAGGGTAAGACCCTTGTAATTCAACATCTGTTTAGGATAGGGTCCTTGTAATTCAACATCTGTTTAGGGTAAGGCCCTTGTAATTCAACATCTGTTTAGGGTAAGGCCCTTGTAATTCAACATCTGTTTAGGGTAAGGGCCTTGTAATTCAACATCTGTTTAGGGTAAGGGCCTTGTAATTCAACATCTGTTTAGGGTTAGACCCTTATAAATCAACATCTATTTATGTTACATCAGACCGACCTCTACCCAAAACCTAACACCATCTCCAATGCCACTTCGTTGGTACTACTTTCACTAACACAGGCCGATCCAGAAAGTAATAAGGGGTGGCCCAAATTTTGAGTTTAAGTAAAATAATTTCCGCGCTTGTGCCTAAGAATCCTAAAATAAAAAATTGGGCCCAAATTTTGAAAATTTCAGAGAAATGCTTTTGTAACTTAACATCTGTTTAGGGTAAGGCCCTTGTAATTCAACATCTGTTTAGGGTTAGGCCCTTGTTATTCAACATCTGTTTAGGCTGGGTAAGGTACTTGTAATTCAACATCTGTTTAGGGTTAGGCCCTTGTTATTCAACATCTGTTTAGGCTGGGTAAGGTACTTGTAATTCAACATCTGTTTAGGGTAAGGCCCTTGTAATTCAGCATCTATTTAGAATCTGGTCCTTGGAATCTAACAGCTGTTTAAGGTTAGTTTGGAAAACAACATCTGTTTAGGGTTAGGCCCTTGCAAATCAATGTCTGTTTAGAGTCAGGCACTTGGAATCCGATAGATGTTTAAAGTTAGGCCTTGGAAATCAACATCTAATTAAGGTTAGGCCTTAGAAATCAACATCTGTCTAGGGTAACAGGGTTAGTCCCTCACAAATCAATATCTGTTCAGGGTAAAGCCCTTGCAAATTAGCATCTGTCTTGATTCAGGGCCTTGGAATCCAACCACTGTTTAAGGTTAGTGCCTCACAAATCAACATCTGTTTAGGGTAAGGCCCTTGCAAATCAAAATCTGTTTAGTGTTAGACCCTTATAAATCAACATCTATTTATGTTACATCAGACCGACCTCTTCCCAAAACCTAACACCATCTCCAATGCCACTTCGTTGGTACTACTTTCACTAACACAGGCCGATCCAGAAAGTAATAAGGGGTGGCCCAAATTTTGAGTTTAAGTAAAATAATTTCCGCGCTTGTGCCTAAGAATCCTAAAATAAAAAATTGGGCCCAAATTTTGAAAATTTCAGGCCTATTTTTGGTAATTTGGATCTAAAAATGCCAAATTATGCCCTAAAAGGCCCATTTTCGAGGCCCTACAAAATTTTTAGGCCCTAAAATATTTTGAGCCTCAATTATTTTTCTGGGCCAACAAAAGGGGGGGACTGTCTCCATGGGTGCCCCTCCCCCTGGATCCGCCACTGACTAAGGTTATTATATTGACTAGAAATTTGATTCTTTTCATTGTTAAAAGAGAATTTGCACAATAGTTATAGTTACATTTGATGACTTGATAATATAGCAGTAACATCTAAGGTACAGGTATAATATTTCTTGATCATATAGATGCAGGAATGAACGGGTGAAGCTGCTACTGGACACAATTTTGGGGATCGTTGTGATGTTCGTCCTGACACAAAGCCACGTCACACATGATATAGCAACAGACACTCTTAGTTGGGCAGAGGTAATGTGTCTAATACTAGCATGTTCATTAATAAGGGTTATGTATGTATGGGATGACGAATATTGGATTTATCCCTTGATTATTCTATATGAGGTTCAGGATATTTGGATGATATCTGCCCTGGGGACAGATATATTGTATTGGCCAAGTTAAGCGATAGTCCCAAAGTCCTAAACTACATTGTAATTATACGATGATATGTTTTTCCCATATGCTCATTGTTCACATTACACAAATTTGGCTGTATGTCTCAGACACTAGAGACACTATAGATTTGTATATTTCTGCCTGTTACCTAGAACCTCATACACAGTACATAGAGATTATCCTAATATAATATATTTGCCTGAGGCCCGCACGTCCCGAAGGAAAATATATTATATTGGCCAAGGGATAATCACAATATCCTGAATGGACTATAGGATAATACGTTTATTCCATACCAATCTTGGTCATCTGGTTTACATTGTTCAATCATGGAAATATTTTAGAATATTCATGTCCAGTTTTGTTTTCTTGGCCGTGGGCGGATTTTCCTGTTCTCTCAAATATTCCCACATTTATTTTCTCGAATTTTTGATTGATTAAGTGGATGCTCCTTCCCTTTTTTAAACCATCAAACAGATCCAGATTGTCTGTGTCTTCTCCTTTGTCGTTTACAGTCATTACGCGAATGTTACAAATTATGAACAAATATGCGAGCGTCGATTATGACGTAGCGTGCAGATATACTATATCTGCCCACTCGGAGTGGGATGTAAAGCTATATCTGCCCGCTGATGAAAATATAAGTTTTTACAAACCGACTTTATGTACCTGTAACACGTCAAAGTATGGGATAAATATGGGTATTAACGTAGTCTTATTCTGAAGAGTTTGAAGAATTTGTTATAAAATGTTCATGCTCTACTATAGCTAGTGTTTGAATGCTTATCTCAGTCTTCTTATGAAGTGAGATATTTGTAAAGTAAAGTATAAACTAATACCAAAATAAATAGCTTCTTTTTTATTCAACATGTATTTTAATTAATATAAAAAGTGATGATTGTTGTAAAATTGCTTTTGAAATGGGGTTACATTTAGTTATATCAAAGACATATCCAAGTTGACGAAATCTTGATTTTTATCATTAAATATTCAAAAAGTCCTATGATATCATTTTGTACATTCTTTTTAACTGAACACCTTTTAAATGATATGATTTAGTCTTGCATCAAGTTTTTTGGTAACCCCCTTCATCCCATGTTATGTTTGAGGGAGAAGATACAATTACACTATGGCTTGATGCAAGACTAAAGGGTTAATAACTTTATTGCAGATAATCGCCACTAGGTTGCAGCACCTGTTACAATGGATGATGGGAGTTCCTGCGGGTCTTAAACTCAACAGCCAGTTAGATCAACTTCTCGGGAAATTTTTCTTGTATCATATCTACTTGTGGAGAGGTGAGGCTTTAGTATTTTCTTTTTATGTCACTAAAAAACATCTGTTGTGACATAAAAAGTTGATTAACAATTGAATATTGAGAGGAGAGGTGCCCACTTTGAGCATGTTTTGTAGGGTGCTGTCATTTTTTGGACTCTTTAAAATTTCAAGGTTAAATATGCACTTTTCTTCAGTCCTGTTTTTGGACAACCTTTACTTTGTTAAAAGGTTCTGTACCATTTTAACATTTACATTATTTATATACATGTATCTCCTTTATACAAAGGGCAATAAATATATACATACATACATAGCCCAGGTATTTCCATGTTTGCATGGGCAAATATTTTTAGAGTTCGCTTTTGTCATTGTTGGGGACACTAACCCTCGGTAGATCAAACACGTAGCTGAGATGTTCATTTAGAAATATATTATGAGGGTCCAAGTTGTGATTTCTCCTGATTCGTTTGAATTTCTGTATGTTCTTATCAAATGTTGTCTTCATGTGGTCTGCCATCGCAGGATAAAGGTTCGTACATTTTGCCCAATGAGGCAGGCCATCTGGTGAGAGGGCTAGTAACCGTTTAGAAATCTATAAAGAAAGTTTGCAAGGTTGAATGCGATAAAGTAGATGATGGGGAAGGGAGGCAGAAAGATTGGTCCAAGACTAACTACAGTAAAACTCGTTTATCTGAACACCTCTCAGTTTTTTGGTCCCATTTTGAAATCTCTCAAAGATATCCATATTAAAAAAGAAACTTGAAATGTGAACAGCTGCTTATCCAAACCCTTACAGTCGGTATAACCAGTAACATTTGGATTCGACAGCTTTTACTCTAATGCTGAAGATGTCTCTTTCTACCAAATATTCATTTTTAAAATTGAACTGTAAACTATTTTTAGTGTCTTATCTCTATATAATACTTGATTGAGTCAAATGGTAAATTGGTCAATATCAATAATATACAGTAAAACCTGAGTATATTGAACAATTTTGCCAAGAAAAATGGTCAGTGTTGCTATGTGTTCACTACAGAGAGGGTAATTTACACAGAAGTCAGTGGAGTATGTGCAGGAAGGGTGTCCACTAGAGACAGGTGTTCACTAGAGAGCGGTGTTCACAAAAGAGGTGTTCACTAAGACAGGTTTAACTGCATTGTTTTATTGGTTAATACCTGTTCTTGTAAATTGATGTTTGCTTGCGATACATCTGTCAAGAACTGAAGCTGGAATGTTTTTCTGAAGTCTTTGCTACAATCAACATGAGTGGATACACAAAGTACACAGTCTTCATCAACAGCTTGCCATCTTACTTCGAGGTAATATATTCTAGCTGTTGTATTGGTTGTCCACCATTCCTGGACTTGGTCCACCGTATCCTGGATTCAGAATTGTTCAGAGCAAGTTATGTATGTACATGTACATACTTTTTCTGTAGCTGTTAAGAAATCTCCTGTATTTAGAATCTGGTTCATGAATAAATGTTCAGGGTATTTTAAGGACTAAATTCTTACTTGATTTAACACTGGTCAGTATCAAGCGAAGGTAACAGCCGTCACAATCACAACCAAGATGGCGGAGGGGAAGTGTAGATTTCAATATTTTTAGTTTTCATATGATTAAACTACTTTATAGTTGACATAAAGCTTTGATATTTGAACTAAATATAACTTATATGACTTATATGACATGGTAACAGTGGAGTATGATAATTTGTTCATATATCATGCATAGGCACAGTTCAACTATATCTTCCACCGCTTAAGGGAAGGTAACTAGAAATGTAAGATACGGTAACTGTCATTAGTTTTCAATACCCGGTAACTGGATGGACATCTTAGGTCTCCATTATAAACTCTCATAACGTTACCGCATCACTGCATATCAGTTATCTTATCATCTGTAAAACCAAAATCCCAGTTACTTTCCTTTAAGCGGTGGAAGATATCGTTGAACTGTGGTGATCTCTATCGATCTCACTTTAAACTATACATTAGAGCATAAAAACATACTTTTAAAAGGATTCCACTTGAATTGAAGGATGGAGTCTCTTCAAATGTCAAGCTGAGCTCACTCACAGAGCTGCTGGGGATGTAGATCAAAGGCATGAGTTCTTCCATTGGAATGTTTGGGGGAATTGCAATAAGTGAATCTGGGAGAGTCTTATACTGAGCTGTTCCAACATAATTCGATCCATCAGCTAGTGTAACATTATACTGGAAAAGTATTATTTAAAAAAACAACAATTATGCATATTTTAGACATCTTTTGGCATGTTAATACATGTTTGATTGCTAAAATTAATAGAAACGGTATTTGTTCATAAAATAAGTGAAGTTCAAAGAACAAAAATGTGATATTATCTTATGTTCTTCTGCAAAAAAAGGTTCTTATCCAAAATGTCTGAGAATGCATATTGTTACATGTTGGAAAATGGATCACCCAAATAAAGATACCCCAAACATGTGTGTACTGATTAGCACTGATTTCCCAATGAAATATAAAATAGTCTTATGTTCAAGATCATACCTCATGTGCTTCTTTGTTTAGGGCATCTTCACTGTCATTCACTGGTAACTTTTTTGAAAGACTGAAGTACCAATTAATGTAAATTAAATCATAGTAGTAATAAACAGACTCATGAAAATGAAGTATATATTCTACAGGGTTAGCCAAAAAAGGTAACCCAAACACATCTTAATAACTCAGTCATTCAACATTTTAAGGTCACATTTGGCCCAATTAACCCTTGTTCAATGTTCTTTCATTCTTCTAAGTATCATTGGTTATAACTCTAATGGTCACAATGTTATGGCCGATACAAAACATGCTATAAAATGCGGGCATCGAGTCTGGAGGCAAACTGGAACATTTTGAGCAAAGTTGTTTACTACAGGAGCACAGACATCTTGTGTAATGGCTTACATGTTCCTTCTTATTTCTTATTATTTCAATGTTTTAAGGGTTGTTACTGTAGACATTAGCTCATAGATAATAATCTGGTGTGTTTCATATTTTCTGTTGACTATGGCCTTTTCAGCATTTGGAGCATGTATTGTAAATGGCTACAAAATCGTGACCATTATAGTCTATTAGAGTTAGAAGTTCTTGAATTTCCAATAACTTAAAGAAATAAAAGTGAAATATTTATACAGTGCATAAATTAGTAAATACCATAGCAGTTTGACTATTTATGTCTTTTGTATTTGAGAATGTATCTCTGTTGTGTTTTTGTTACTGTAAAAGTGTAACATTACATGTTCGTACTGTTAGGATCACAAAGAGCTAGTACAGCGTTAACTTACATAAAACCAACCAAGTCGTCTTCACTGGTCCAACCATCAGGAGCCCTACCATGTGTTTGGAAGTACTCCTTATCATCATCTGTTGCATGCCCTAAGAAAGGATTCCATGATATTTGCAGCTGATGATAGTTTGTTACTAAATCTTTCCTGATTTCGTCATCCAGGAATTTCTTCATTGGGATAGAGACTTGTATTGATTCCATTATTTCCATGGAGACAACCTTTAAATGTGAACTCAACGGGTTATTGTCATATTGTCAAATACTAGAATTATACTTTGCACCTAAGGTTTAACTCTTTAGATTCAGGTGTATGCATGATTCGGATTGAAGACCTTTTGCTGAGTGCTTATCTGAGTGATCATTTGATCATTTGAAATGTTGAAGTTGTCAGTTGTTATTTTTTGTGACTGAAATTCCCTACAGAATTTCTCTGCTTATCGCCCTATTTCCTGATTTTGAGAGACTATATTTTGAGAAACATTAAAGTGTCATTGAGGGAAATTAGAGTGTGGTGTCTACAAAATTTGATTTTGAACTGTGAAGTGCAGATATGACTTCTAATATCACCAAAAAGTGGAGTGACATTCTACATTTCCTCCAAGCTGCCATTTTAAAATGTTGACTATTTTATAAACAGAATTACAGAATATCTCAATATTTTATTTCCAATCAAACATCAAATGAAAAATTCACAAACCTTCAATGTAACATCATATACAATGCCACAGAGGCCAATATGTGCCTTGCAGGCAGCGAGTATATCAGCTTGTTCATCTTGATTGACATGTCTAACATAGCCTTGACCATCAATTAGAGTCATCCCTGTTACATAGCTGGACACTGATGGTTCAGTGTAGAATCCACCCTACAAGTAGAATAAATGAATCAGAAAAAAAAGAAATATTTTAACAAGGTCAGATTATTATTTTCAAACCTAGACCTATATGTACTCACATGTGCAGCTGTTGCACCGAGGCCTACATATACTCACATGTGCAGGTGTCACAACTAAGCATGTATATACTCACATATGCATCTAGGCCTACACACACTCACATGTCCAGCTGTCACAGCTAAGCATGTATATACTCACATGAGCAGCTGTTGCAGCTAGCCAGGCCTGCATATACTCATATGTGCTGGTGTTGCAGCTAGGCCTATATATACTCACATGTGCAGCTGTTGCAGCTAGGCCTATATATATATGTATTACATACCTAGCGAAGCATTTGTATGGAAGTCAATGGGAAAGTTAGCGAGCTATATCCACCGATATTGCCCGATTACCCCGATATAGCCCGCTTACCTCGTTTTGATATTAGATTTCTTTAATAACCATGATAATATCATGACGTCACGTCATTGATACAAAGTAACCATGGGAACAAAGGCATGTAATACATCAGTTATGTCACTATGACGTGAAATATGCCTTCGTTCTTGCCCAAATATAGAGCCTCCCAAGGTCGGCCTATATTGGGAGAACTCAGGCATATTTCACGTCATAGTGACATAACCTCTAAATACTCACATGTGCAGCTGTTGCAGCTAAGCATGTATTTACTCACATGTGCAGCTGTTACAGCTAGGCCTATATATATACTCACATGTGCAGCTGTTGCAGCTAGGCCTGCCACAGTTACAGTTGCAAAGGCAGCATTAGCAGGTAGCGCCACCTGGTGTTGCTCCATGAATTCATTCAGTTCTAGTAGCATAACACTAGCCAGTACATTCACTGTTTTGGCCTGGAAGTATAAAACATCATACAGCTCAAAGAGGTAACAATTGAAGAATGCAAATAAATTCATAATGCCAAACAGGTCATAGTATCCCTTACATCGTTTTTCATCTCTCTAAAATGTATATGATAGAACCCGTGATGTACATGTTTACATGCTTTTGACCGAATCTTAATGACTGATAAAATCCTGAGTGATTATTTAACCTTTTCATTGAATATAATTCTGTCCCTAGAAGTGTCCTCAAGTGATGTCATCACCAGAAAGATGTCGCCCTCATCTGGGTGTAGGACGGCTGAGGCAGAATGTGTTGCTCCACCTGCCCTGATGCTTAACCCAACCCCCCGAGCAGCATGGATCACTTCCTGGATCTATTAAAGGCAAAATTAGAGATCTATGACAATTATAGGTGGAGCCTATATTGCAAGCAGCATGTGACCTATCGTTGCCGTCTCATGCTGTGGAATTGTTTAAAGGCTAAAATTGTGTTAATTCTCCCAAATACCATAATGTTGATATTTATTTTTTCACAATTTGTTCATTGATTTATGGCCTGTGTCTCTTTATGTATCCAAAGTTGTTTTGAGGTCTTCTGAATGAGTAAATGCAGAGAGTTCACCCATCTCGACCTACAACTACAAGGCTACAATGACTGCTGATATATGCTGAGTATCACTATATTCAGAAAGCTCAGTCAAATCCACCATCTCCAAAAATTTGTTTCATAAATGAAATGGATGAGAGCTGATAGGGAACTACTTTGTGTTTCACCAATTCACTCTACTATACCTAACAACTAGAAATGCATAAGATACTCTTTTCGTCTAATTATTGTTTAGTATTCATAAGGAAGGGACACATAAAAACAACGAATATAATCCTTGCTAATTAGCCAAATGGGTTGCTCATGAAGTATAGTAGAGTGAAATTGGTAGAAAATACATACTTGTTGTAACTTTGTTGGTGTGATGAGTATGATATTGTTCCGTGTGCCTTCATTCAGCCAGTTTGTAACATTCGCTAACTCAACCGTAGCAGAGGTTAGACTGCGGAGTTTATCAACATCTGAAGTTGAACATCTTTTGATAAAGTGAATACAGTTTTGTTTTCTCTTTATTATTAATTTGGCTACTAGGTGGCCATTTACAAAAAGGCAGTGGTGGCTGTTCATCCCTTTACTTAAATGCACAGAATATTACAAACTTTTAAAGATCCACGTGCAGTATGTCAAGTGAATTTAGACAGTCATATCTTTCACCACGAGTACTTTCTGGGCATAAATACAGTGGTTTTTATTAAAACGATATGTTTTCTTCCAAGTGAAGTATCCATGGTGATAAAAAATATCAATTGAACACTTCGAAAGATTATGAATAGGGACCCATGTCAACAATTTTTTCAAAATGTTGAACCTATTTACTAAAAAGAGGATCTCCTTTTTCTGATTTTTATTGCATGAAAAGATTTTTCAAAAAAGGGGTCTAAAACTTCTTCAAAAGTAGAATGGTATTGAAAGTCTTATTTTGAAGAAATCAATTTTCGATGACCAAAATTATGCTGAAAACAATGGATAGCACAAGTTTTCCCTATGGGAAAATAACATGGGATATGTGGTTTTTAACTTTAAAACTCGAGAAAAACAAGATTCTCTTTTAGAAAATATGCCTAACATTTTTTAAAAAGTGCCCAGCCTAAACCATAATTTTTCAGAGAGTTGGATTGATATTTTACTATCACGAGAACTTCACTTTAAAGAAAACATATTGTTTTTATAAAAACCACTGTATTTATGGTCAGAAAGTACTCATGGTGAAAGATATGACCATCCAAAATTACTTGCCATACTGCACATGGACCTTTTAACATATTTGGTTGTCTTATGAAGCAGCTATCTAGGAGTGTTTTTCTCTCATCTTCAAAAAGTTTACATTCTAAAATATAATGGTACTCATCTTCTAGTCTGTTGCATTTGGTACACAATCTCTCTAAACTTGATCTTTTCATGTACATGTATCTCCCTGTTTCTATAGGAAGATTATGATTTGAAGTTCTTAGTTTTGTTATATGTAATCTAGTGCTTATTGATTGACACATGGGCATTCAATGAAAGCCCATGGTTGACATAAATAGGGTTCAAAAATATAACCTTCCTCTAAGGCCACTGTATTGTGGCCTTTTTCCAAAGATAAATTCCTGCATGTCGTAATTATAAAATTTGAAATCAAAGGTCCGCCATTTTTCCACATCACAATTTGAATTGCCAGTTTTGGTCTTATTACCTCACCAAAAATTCCAAAACACACATGAAGTGATCAATGTGTTAGTTCACATCTTCTGGATCGCTAACTTAGAATTTACAGCCAGTTACTAATGTCAGACATTAACGTCATTTCGTCCAGTTTTCCATTTTTCTTGGAGCCATCATGCAATATCTCATCAAGGAGCCAAGCCTGTGCCATTTTAATTAATGATTTATTTATCTGGCAATTTTAAAAATATTCAATAAATTTATGACACGCCGGCCAGCTTTTTTCAAATGGAGTTCACAGAATTCCAGATGAAATTACTTCTAGCCAATTCTTGGCTAGAGACACAAGTAACAAAAATAAATTTATCTTTAATGTTACAATATGTGAAATATGAAGTTTTAGATTTATCTAAGTCTGATAGCCATTGCTATTCACCTTTCCACAAAGTAAAGAAAATTGATAATTTCCGCTGCACTGATTGGCTGTATGCAAATGAGCGCAATCGTTGACATCTATGGGTTAAAGTTTTGATGATTTTAGTACATAAGGTATATGAATATTTAGAGAAATGCAATAAAAAAATGACTATACACTGGGCAAAATCGGTAATATTGTAGGTTTCTGCACGCCTCTTATTTGCCCCTATAAGAGGTTTTAAACGGGTGTAACCTAATATAATATTAGCCGAATAACAGGAGTAGATACGGGTATCTTATTCGGAAAAAAAAATATATTCTACTATATCCTGTTATCTTCGGCAAATAATAATATTATACGCCAAATAATAAACCTAGCTCAGCGAATAAAATAAATTATTCTTCAAGAAATGTTCAATCAAAAACGGATATACGCGGATATTCTTGGCCCAAAGTCTTATGTAAACAGATAAACAAAGTCTAGATCTGCCCTGTGTTTATGATTGGCGCGACGATATAATTGCCTCTGTGTGTATATAACATGACATGTCTCTGCCTAGTACATTTGCATTATTTTTAATTCATATATTTATAAAATTTATTTTCGATTTTTTTTAAAGGAATGTTTGTTTTGCTGAAATTATAGCACAACTGTAGAGGGTTAATGGGGATGAATGAAAGATGCGACGATTTGCAAAACATAAATGTAAATTTGCTCATCGCATAATTAAAATAAAACGATCGAATATCCTTTGGCAAACACTCGATTTTACAACGTAGGGAAAATGAATGTGTATAATGGAAAGATTGCGATTTTTTATTTTATTACTTTCAATATTCGGGAATCACGGTCTTGGCAAAATCAGTTATGCTGGTTGTTCATCCTATTATCCATTTCATATCTGCTTTAAATAGAAAAAATAAAACAAATGTGAATGAAATAAAACGAATGTCTTTTTCGTTAACAATGAGTGAACCAGCATCTATTTCATTTAAAAGCACGATAAACCATGCACTTTCATCAAATTGCCACGTTCAAAACAAATGGCCTAACAATTAGCAATCACAAGATCAAAATATCTATCTACATATCCCATTCAACCATTCAATCAATCAATCCATTTTAACACATTTTAACTACATGTAGATATTCATAATTTAAATTCTCTTTTTAAAGAAAGGGTGGCCCTGAAAAGGGCCGTTTGACAGGCGTGTTGCTTGAGTTCTTAGCTGCTCGGAGAAATAGGATCCACTTGGTGACTACTTGGGGGACTTGTTTTAAAGTCCTGAAAAGGACTGGTTTAGCCCTGAAAAGGGCTGTGGACGATTCGTTACCCAAAGTATAAGATTATGTGTTTAATGAAAGCAAAAGAAATTGCCGAAAATATATTATAAATTTACAGGAATGCAAAATAGAGTTGTTATTGTCTGATGGACAACTAAAATGCCCTAAGGCGCGGTTAATCCATCAAATGACAATGACGTGTCGCAAAAAGGTCGCGCTCGCATTGTTACACATTTTCGCTTTTTAACACCACAAAATGTGACGTTTTTTGAGAAAAATGTACATATATTGAAATCCTTTCGTCCTCCACATTTGCCTCTATATCTCAAAATATTTAAGGCGAATAACTCTGATATCGTATATGTATTAGCAATGGGATAGGAGCATCATAAAACACGAATCAATTGATATTTTAGGTGAAATAAATATACGTGTTGCTGTGCTTGAAAATAGGCGAATGGCGTAAATTAGCCCTATTTTAATGAATTTTGAAAACCTTTCGTCCTCCACTTTTCCACATACAACTGAAAACACATACTTTTGCGAACAAAATCAACTATTTATTAATAAACTTGAGTTTAAGAGCAAAATAATCATGTATGATTTATTAAAAATTGATCTCGTATTTTTTGTTTAATGTACACCTGAAAAGTTGAAGGTAACAAAAAATGAGCAAAAAAGGTCGCTGTCAACAGATTCTACGAGATTTACGCATTATGAACTCATCTTAGAATATATTCAAACAAATAGTAGTTTCCCTATAGTTATTTCCCTATAGGCTATCGTCTGACTTTTTATTTGAAAGAACGGAAATTTTGAATATACAAATGATCTCATTTCAAATGGCAACAAAGTAAAATCTTGGCACAAGGGCACAAATGAATTGTTTAAAACATTTAAAACAAGGAAAATCATTAACCTTGAGCATTTGAATCTTATAAAAGCGTTTTAAACGGCCTTAAGATTATACTTTTTGGTTCCCATGATTTGACATCTTTAATCAATTAAATATCTAGAAAAACAATATCAATTGACATTGGACAAAGTCTAACAATTCATGAACAAATCAAACTAAATTCATTAGAAAACCGGAATCAAATGTTTTAAATTAAATCCAAGTTAAACATGGGTATTTCCAAACATGGGTATTGTCAAACTTATCCCCAATTTAACAATGATGCAAAAAGCCATCCTTTGATCATTAGGTTTATCACAAGATCAGATTATGTGGATTATAAAATTAAAACTCTTAAAGAATAATCCCTTGTCATTGATACTTCTCTTTAAACCAAACTCAATATTTGGAATATACCTCTCTGTATAAAACATATACTTAGGCCCGTAGCCTTAGGGGGGTGAGGGTTGCTCGCACCCATCCTGATTCCTGCTATTTTTGGACCAAAATTGTCACAAGTGAACCCCGCCTGGAATTTTTCAAAAAGTGACCCCCCCCCTTTGCAAATCCTGGCTACGGAATTGTTACTCTTTGGTTTAAAATAAAGGTTATTGTGCTTAGCGCCTGTTTCGAGATTCGCTTGCAAAATTAAACCCTGATTCAATTTAACTGATTCAATTTAATTCATTGCAGAACACCAAACGCTGAAAAAGGACACATCATAAAGTAAAGGAAAACAAAAGTATTATTTTCAAAATGCCAAAACAATCATGTCTTATTTTATTCTATAGCTACATCAATTGAATACATGTTACAGGGGTGTAGCCAGCTTTCATTCAGGGTGGTGCGATCGTCAAAAAAAATTGGTTTTCAGTCGGGGGGACGCGATAGGCATAAACAAGCCAAAATATTAATTTTTATCTTGAATTTTACAAAAATTGATACAAGTTCCTTCAAAATTGAACTAGAAGTTTTAAATAAAAGGCATTAAAAGCTCCTTTCATCTTCCTTCTTTATTGGTTATGGGGGGGGGGGGGGTGCGGGGTGCGATCATTCACCCATCGCACCCCCCCTGGCTACAAACTTTACACAATATCAACTGTATATTGTAAGTGGCTTATTAAGCATCAGATCAATCATTTATTCCTTTTTAATTCTACGTCAAACATTCTGTTACGCCAGAATCCCTCTCATCTGCCGTTTGCTTTTGGAAGGATAAA